AGCCTCCCTACATGCAGGTACTGACGGTCTACAAGACTCTAAGATACGACCCCTTGTACACAAACTTAAGATCCGCTATGAGCACGTTCTTAGATAGATATAAGTATCCAAGTCACATAACCATTGCCCAAAATAATAATATAAAGTAGATAATATATATATATAAGTAGAAAATGAGAGAATTAGAATGTGTATGTGATATTCTGATAGTGTATTGTGTTTTTTTCAAATGTGAAGGAGGAGTAGCCTTTTATAGGCATCCAAAAACATGTAACCTTCACCAACCATAAAAGTTCACCAACCAAAAATTAAGGCATTCACCAACCAGAAATAAAATCTGAATATTAAATATTTATAACCCCCACAATAAATAAAATAAAACATCCAAAATAATTAAATAAATAAAATGGTTAAATTTTTAAAACCTTTTAAAATTCCAACATTCAGTAGAGGCGTCACCTTGTTTTTGTTCATTCAATGGGAGTAAAGCCAAAATAGCTTCCATTAAATTTGTGATTGACAATAAGTTACTAAAAAAATAAATATATTTCAGTTTGTTGTCATTGAACTATAGATAAAAATTCGGTAATACACCACTGAACAATGTTCCATGTTACGGTGGATCTCCACCACATCTTAAGTTAACGGCCGGTCAAACACAACTGAAATAGGTTTTCAGTGGCATCCCACCGAATGTGTTGGTGTGCTGAACGCAACCAACAACCGTAATGAAATCCTAAACTTGAAAAATGACAAAAAATAAACTCATACCTTATTCGAAGCCTTTCTAACTTTACTCTCACCCTTCATGAATAAATACAAGATATTTTTTCACAAATATAAGCGTATAAACCTCGTTAGGGTTGTAAGAACATGATGGTTTGATAAAAAAAGTCAAACTAGGGTTGCATGAACATATGTGGGGTGTAAGGTGTAATGAGCAAATTTAATTTTTATTTTAAATGTTTTTTGTCCTTAACGGTAATTATGTACAAGGGTAAAATAGGTTATTCATGTTTAAAATTAGTATGGAGTGCAAAGAGCAAATAATAAGGTGCCAATAAAATTTCCCTTACCTTTTTTTATTTTTTTATTTTTGCCAAAAAGGAAATCAACTTCTCTACATATACTCATCCTTTAAAAATATAATTTTTGGCACTAGCATATATATAGAAGAAATTATTTATATTTTTATATTTAAAGTATAAGTATATGTAGAGAACTTGATTTACAGTTTCTATCTTAAAGAAAAACATATACTAGTTTATATAAGAAATAATTATATAAAATATATACACTCTCATTATAGTTTCAACTATCGTTTATATTTATGAAAAAATAAAAAACTATCAACATATAGAGATCATTGATCTGAACTTATTTTATTGAAGCCATTCAAATTTAATCCGTTCATCAATATATATAAAGTAAAAGATAGAGAATGGTGAAACATTCAAAATACTAGAAAATATCATTGGTTAATGCAAATATTAAGAAGTGAAATTATTAATTAAATGAGAATAATATGGTAAATTCACACTTTTCATATTTAAAAAAATTAAAATTAAAAGGAAAATCAGATAATAGATCATATTTTTATGAAACACAACTATCCAGTATCATTTTTAATTCTAAAATAAATTTTAAATTTTTTTAAAAAAAGAGAGGCTAGTTACTCATTAAAATGTAACTTGGCCACAATAAACAAGAAAGTCATTGTCTCAATTACGTAAATTCGATTAGTTTTGTTACTATAATATTCTTTGTCGACCCCCGAAAAACAAAAAGACTATTTCAAACCCTTCTTGGTTGTGGCTGGACCAAACCCACAACAATACATTGCTTAAAGACTCGCAAATTTTTTTTTTTAAAATTTTTTTTTACAAATTATTGTGTTTTCCGATTTACATGGAGTGGCTGCGTCTGTTGTTGTTGCTATCAGCGTTAGCAATAACAAATCATGTGTCATGTTCATGGGGTTTGGAGGCTGGTCCGAGATGGGAGCTGAGTAAACTGAATCGGGGGCTGCTGGACTCGGCGAGGCAGCCCGAGTTCTTTGATTGGTTGAAAAGGGTTAGGAGGAGGATCCACGAGAATCCAGAGCTAGCCTTCGAGGAGCACGAGACGAGTCAACTCATTAGATCGGAACTCGACTCGCTCGGGATCCAGTACACGTGGCCGGTGGCCAAGACTGGGTTGGTGGCTTCTATTGGTTCTGGGTCGCAGCCATGGTTCGCTCTGAGGGCTGACATGGATGCTCTCCCAATTCAGGTTTGCCAATATTCTCTCTTTTCTAGAATGTCAACAACCCCACAAAAAAGTACCCAAAAAAAAAACCAAAATTATCCGGTCACCTTGCCCAATTGGACCCATAACAGATGGAGAGAAATTCTCATACAAAGGAGATAACATTTTTTGCTATCCAATAGCAGTAGGAATGGCAAAATACAAGTAAGTGTCTTTCCTGTGGAGGGCCATTGTGGGTCCCACCTAAGCACTCTGAATTGATTGGATACATTTGATCAGTATTTTGAGAATCAAAATGGGAGTGAAAGACTGTCGTTAACATTCCTAACAAATTTGTATTTGAATTTACTCCAATGCTAAACTTCATTAATTTCCTTTTTTTTTTTTACATGTGTTGTGTATGCACATTTGTGGAGCAAATTTAGTGAATGTAGCGTTATCGAGCACATTTGTTGAGCAAATTTAGCAAATGTAGTAACATTATCGAAATTGATTGTATCGGGTTTCTTGTTTGTTAGGAATTGGTTGAGTGGGAGCACAAGAGCAAGAACTCTGGAAAGATGCATGCTTGTGGGCATGATGCTCATGTAACAATGCTGCTTGGAGCAGCTAAGTTACTTCAGAGCAAAAGCAAAGAAATAAAGGTAAACCAATTGAAATATACGCTCAAATCAGATATTTTCCTGTTGTTTTATTTATATATACATACCATTTTATACATTGCTTAAGGTTTTTGCATATATCTGTACAATATTATAGGGCACAATCAAGCTTGTCTTTCAACCTGCAGAAGAGGGTCATGGAGGGGCTTACCATATGATAAAAGAGGGTGCTCTTGATAACATTCAAGGCATTTTTGGGTTACATATTCAACCTCTAATGCCCGTTGGTACTATTGGTTCCAGGCCAGGTCCAATTCTTGCAGGCTCTGGTAGATTTTCAGTCACAATTCATGGGAAAGGTGGGCATGCTGCATTTCCCCATTTGGCCACAGATCCAATTCTTGCTGCCTGCTCGGCTGTCATTGCCCTTCAACAGCTTATTTCTCGAGAAACAGACCCTCTAGAGGCCAGGGTATAATTTTTGCATTTTCTCATTAGTTTTCTACTTTCTACTTTGTTATGGTTAGTCTATACATGAGCATTATGTGAGAGGTTGTACCGTATATCGATTTCTTTTTTGTTTTGGACCGGTTATAGGTGGTCACTGTTGGGATGGTTGAGGGTGGCCAAGCAGGAAATGTGATCCCAGAGACAGTGAGACTTGGAGGCACTTTTCGAAGCATGTCTTCAGAAGGTCTATACTATCTTCAGCAAAGGATTCAAGAGGTATAATCTGAGGTCTAATTTAATTTAAGCCTGCAATATATAATTGTTTTTAACTCCAACAAAGATGGAGTTTTGACGTTTTATGTTGTCAGACAGTTTGACATGTTATGTTGTTAGAATTCTTAGTTTAAACTATTGGGATAGAGCATAAATGTGTACATGATTGGCAGGTCATAGAGATGCAAGCTTCGGTGCACCGGTGCATGGCAACAGTAGACTTCATGCTGGAAAAAATGAGGCCCTATCCAGCCACAGTTAACGATGAAGCAATATACAAACATGCAAAGAATGTTGCAGAAACTTTGCTTGGGGAACCAAATGTGAAGCTTCTCCCAATGTCTATGGGAGCAGAGGACTTCAGCTTTTACACAGAAAAAATGGCAGCTGCATTCTTCATGATTGGGACAAAGAACGAGACTTTGGACCCAAAAAGACTTTGGCATTCACCCTATTTGGTAATTGATGAGGAGGTTCTTCCAATAGGAGCTGCCCTTCATGCTGCTGTTGCAATTTCTTACTTGGATAATATTGATGCTGCTGTAACTCATTAGAAACTTTTAAATCTATTTATGTGAATAACTCATAAATAATTGAAGTGGAGTTTTTTTAAAAAGTCAATTAATTGAATTAGAGTTGGAGATGGAGAAGCAAACCAATCAACATCACTAAATAAAGATGAAGATGCCAACCAGGTCTAGCTCCAAGGTCTCAGGTTCGAATTTCCATGACACATTTGTAGTGTGTGTGTGTGAGAACCATCATGACAGTATCGCTTGTTATATCCTGAGATCTTGCTTTGAGTGTTTGTAGCTTTCCACTACTTTTGAAAATGCGGAAATTTCTTTGCACTAATTCTCAGACTCTGCTTAGCTTATGTAGGAAAAGATTCCAAATTTTCTACCTCACGGAGCTTATTTTCAAAATCTTCTTTATCTCCTCATGTCTATTTTGTTATATGCCGGCCTAATAGCAGTGTTCATAAATAGATATAAAACAAAAAAAGGACCACAATTTTGTACTTCCTAGATCATCTATTTGTGGCAGGGCTCAGTGTACACCATGGATTATTTTTTATTTGAAGCCCATATTTTCTTTTAACCTGCACTTTTAAAATTGTTATTGTAATTAGATTTCTGTCTGCTAAAGAAGTATTTCTGTATTTACGTATAAACATATTATTTTCTGGACGAGATAGGTGTGACTGGGTGAACCGACCACACATGAATAGGTGGCAATTACAAACAGAAACAACCCAATTAACAAACAAACAAATGGAGCAGAAACTTTCAGACCAAAACAGAAGGCCAAAAATGGAAAGGGAAAGTTTCAGGCCCAAAACTGTAAACAAATACACTGCTTGAGGAGAAAATAAGCTTCATTCACTTACAAATTTCACCAAAAACCCAAAAGTCTTTTCATTCCACCATGGGGTTGATGATGCTCTTGTGCTTATTTTTGTCAACAATCTTGGGCCAGTCTCGGGCTGTGGAAGCTTCTGAGTCAGAGCTCCCGAGTCAAGAGCTCGAGTTCTTGACTCGGGGACTCTTGGGGTCGGCCAAAGAGGCTGAGTTCTTTGAATGGATGAGAGGAGTGAGGAGGAGAATCCACCAGTACCCAGAGCTTGGATTTGAGGAGCACAGAACGAGTCAACTCGTCAGGTCCGAGCTTGACTCGCTTGGGATTGAGTACGCGTGGCCTGTCGCCAAGACTGGTGTGGTGGCTTCTATTGGGTCAGGCTCCAAACCAGTTTTTGCTCTCAGGGCTGACATGGATGCCCTTCCACTTCAGGTTCTCTCTCCCTCTTTCTTTCTGCTATGAAACTTTGACTTGTTGTTGACCAGCAAAATGGAAACTGTTTTTTTTATTTTGTTTTTTTTTTTTTTTTTTTTTTGTTTGGTCACTGATAAACAAAATGCACCCATTGAATTTGGAAGGAACAAGTAGAGTGGGAGTTCAAGAGCAAAATAGATGGCAAAATGCATGCTTGTGGTCATGATTCTCATGTGGCAATGTTGCTTGGTGCAGCCAAATTACTCCAAAGTAAAAGAGACATATTAAAGGTGCATATTCTCTTGTCACAATTACTGATAATAGCATTTAGTCTCTATTTGAGTGGAGGAAGTTCCGAGTTCAAATCTCATGGACGATGTAAATACCTTTTTAACAACAAACCCAAGTCATAAAATTTGATGTCTTTTTGATGCTTTGAAGGGTACTGTGAAGCTGATTTTTCAGCCGGGAGAGGAAGGTTATGCCGGAGCTTACCATATGTTACAGCATGGTGTTCTTAACGACGTTGATGCCTTCTTCTTTATACATGTTACCCCATCACTACGCACTGGTGTGATTGCTTCAAGGCCTGGTCCAATGCTGGCTGGTGCTGGCCTCTTTTCAGCCACAATCAGAGGAAAAGGTGGACATGCAGCTGCCCCACATAAGAACAAGGACTCAATTCTAGCAGCAGCATCAGCTGTGGTGGCCCTTCAACAGATTGTATCAAGAGAAACAAATCCTCTTGAGGCCAGAGTAATCTTTTCTCTTCTCCCTTTTAATGAAATTTGATTAAGCATATAATTTCACATGTTTTAATTTTCATATTCAAAACCAGTGACAGGAAGAGCCCATAATTCCATTCTTGGTACATTTGAATTATCAATTATGTAGGTGGTGACAGTTGGATTCTTAAAGGGAGGTGAAGCAGGAAATGTGATCCCTGAATCTGTGAAATTTGGGGGAACTTTTAGGAGCTTGACTAATGAAGGCCTCACCTATCTCCAAAAAAGGATCAAAGAGGTAAAATAGGCAATCATTCTATGACCATGAATTTCCTCCATTACAATTTTCAATCGAATAAAGTACCAATTTTCAGTCGGAGTGATCTAACCGAAAAAGTATTGCAGGTCATAGAACTGCAGGCAGCTGTGCATCAATGTGAAGGTACAGTGGACTTCATGGAAGACACACCATTGCCTTATCCTGTAATGATCAATGATGAACCGTTGTATGAGCATGTGAAGAAAGTTGGAGAAGCCCTGCTTGGGGAACCTAATGTGGAGCTTTGCCCAGTGATAATGGGAGCAGAGGATTTCAGCTTCTACTCAAAGGAGTCTGCTGCAACAATTTTTATGCTTGGAATAAAGAATGAGAGTCTCAAATCAGATCAGCCATTGCACACATCTCACTTTGTCATTGATGAAGAGGCTCTTTCTGTAGGAGCAGCTCTCAATGCTGCTGTGGCAATCTCATACTTGGATGCACGTGTTGTTCGGACTCATTAAGACCTTGAATTTTGGTTTTCATTCAAAATCCATCATGTAAATTGGCCTCAGAGTATCAAATAGAAAACATTTTGGATTTGAAGAGACCATGAGCTTGAATGTATTAGAATTACATTGAAACTTAATGAGACACCCGTTATATTGATTTCTAATGATACAGTCCCTGAACTTATCTACACCAATAATATTTAAGGCATTTTTTGGTTACATATTCAACCTCTAATGCCCGTTGGTACTATTGGTTCCAGCCCAGGTCCAATGCTTGCAGGCTCTGGTAGATTTTCAGTCACAATTCATGGAAAAGGGTGGGCGTGCTGCATTTTGCCCACGGCAGCTCCTTCAGTTGATGATTCTCTTACTATTCTCTCTGACTGCAAAGGTAACCAGGGAAAAGCTTTGGTACTTTCCGACCAACGAGATACATGGGAGTCTCAAATCAGATCAGCCATTGCACATTGATAATGGGAGCAGAGGATTTCAGCTTCTACCCAAAGGAGTCTGCTGCAACAATTTTTGTGCTTGGAATAAATAATGAGAGTCTCAAATCAGATCAGCCATTGCACACATCTCACTTTGTCATTGATGAAGAGGCTCTTTCTGTAGGAGCAGCTCTCAATGCTGCTTTGGCAATCTCTTACTCGGGTACACATGTTGAGACTCATTAAGAGATTGAATTGGTTTTCATTCAAAATCTGTCAATGTAAATTGGCCTCTGAGTATCAAATAGAAAACATTTTTGGATTTGTAGAAACTAAAAGCTTGAATGTGCCAGAATCACATTGATTATGAGACACCCTGTATATTGATTACTAATGGAACAGCCCATGAAGTTATCTACACCAATAAATTGTAGTAACAATCCTTGAACTACACTGCAATTTGCATTTTCATCATTGAATTCCAGTAATAGTTGTTGTTGTCCTTCAACTTGAACCCATGTTGGACGAAAAATCCAAACCAAGGTATAATGGAGTAACAATAGCTACAATTTAGTCTTTCTTTTTTTAAATACAACTAAAGGGGATTGAACGCTCAACTTAACCTAATCCTCACTCATTTTCCCGATGCTCTCACCATTTGAGCTTAACATAAAAGCTTTCGACATCAATAACTTAATTCCTTGCTGGATCAGCATCTACCGTCAGGTCAGGTCAGTACGAAGTTTAAGATTTCAATCATCTGTTAAAGCAGAGAATGACCTTCCTCTTCCATGACTTTTTATTGCTATTTCTCATCTCAACGAAGCAATTTTGAAGGGCATCTCAAAAGTTTATCTCAGATTGGTTAATGCATGTAAGTATGGTTTTCTATTGCCTCCCTATGACATGACCTTATTGAAAGCAAATCCTACCACTATCTATTATACACCAAAAATGTCAGTATCAATGTCACCCCTATTTTGCTCCATTACTTTACCAAGATTTATTCTTCTTCTTTTTTTTATCTGAACCAAGAATTATTCTTTTGCTTTGATCATTCATACTAAACCAGCACTTCAAATTGACATATCAGCCATATCACAATAAATTGTTTTCCATTTTTGGCTAAACCAGCACTTTAAATTGACTTAATCAACCACTTCAAAATAAAAAGGTTTCCATTTTTGGGTAAATGCAGCTACCTAGTAATGAAAAGAACACAACTTTCTCAGGCACGTGTGCAAATCTGACCTACCCCTCTACTTGATCTCAATCTTAAAAGAGGCACACATGGTGTTCTTGGAATCTCAGAAGATATTTTTCAAATGGGTTTCAATTTCACTTTCTCCTTGTGCTTCTTGTTATCACTAAAAGCTGCACTCTTTCATCGAACTTGGGCTGAATATGGATCAGAGCTCGAGTTCTTGACTAGGGAGTTGCTGGAAGCGGCAAGAGATCCCGAGTTCTTTGAATGGATGAGAGGGTTGAGGAGGAGAATTCACCAGCACCCTGAGCTGGGATTTGAGGAGCACAGGACGAGTGAACTCGTCAGGTCCGAGCTTGACTCACTGGGAATTAAGTACAAGTGGCCTGTAGCCAAAACTGGGGTGGTGGCTTCTATTGGCTCTGGCTCTAAGCCTGTCTTTGCTCTGAGAGCTGACATGGATGCCCTCCCTCTGCAGGTTCTCTCTCTCTCTCTCTCCTCTCTCTCTCTCTCTCTCTCTCTCTCTCTCTCTCTCTCTCTCTCTCGTACACAGAGTTGCCATAATTCTACTGCTTCATATCTTCAATCACTCTGCTAAGCAACCCACGAAGTAGGTCTCAACCTTACAATCTGAAAAGGTTGACATCCATTATAAAATTATGCATGAGAATGTGATATGGAGCAGTTCATTATATATGTTTATAATAGTATGATATTTAGCCAAGTGTCACATTTGGGTCAACTTGGTTCCTCATGACTGCGTTTTATGATGAACTCCCTTTCGCAGTAGTAATTTTTAAGTAGCTGCTAATATTGATGTCTGATTCCTTGAAACCAATCTTATTTTGTTTGGAAGGAATTGGTAGACTGGGAATACAAGAGCAAGATTGATGGGAAGATGCATGCTTGTGGTCATGATTCTCATGTAGCAATGCTACTTGGAGCAGCCAAGTTGCTTCAAGACAAACGAGATATGTTGAAGGTAGATGAAAATCTATGTCTTATGTTATGTTTAACAGCCAAAAAACTACCAATCTACTTCTGCAGGTCCTAATATTTCAATATGTTATTGAAGGGAACTGTGAAACTAGTTTTCCAGCCTGGAGAGGAGGGTTATGCCGGCGCTTACCATATGTTACAAGATGGTGTTTTAAATGATATTGATACCATCTTGAGTTTACATGTTTTGCCATCAGTGCCTACTGGTGCCGTAGCTTCGAGGCGTGGTCCAATACTTGCTGGTGTAGGGCTCTTCTCAGCTACAATACAAGGGCAAGGAGGGCATGGAGCATCCCCTCATCAGACAAGGGACCCAATTCTTGCAGCAGCCTTGACAACCCTTGCTCTCCAACAGATTGTGTCTCGAGAGACGGATCCGCTTGAATCCAGAGTACTCTTAATTGCTTCTTTTTTCTGCAAATTTTTCTAAGACATTGAAATTCAGTTAAAAGCTTTTCATAAATGAGTAGACTACTATTGATATGGTTTCGAACCAGTCGATACAATGGTTGACATTAGCCTCTATATACCCATGATACAAGCCGAATAAAAATTAGAATGAGGGCTGTCATTGGCTTTAGCATCTTACCAGCAATTGACAACCAATAATTCTGATCCATCATCTTGTATCTTGTAGGTGGTAACAGTTGGGTATCTACAGGGAGGTCAAGCACTAAATGTGATCCCAGACAGTGTGAAACTTGGGGGAACTTTTAGGAGCTTGACTTCTGAGGGCCTCTCATATCTCAAAGAAAGGATTAAAGAGGTAGAAATGCCCTCCTTGTCCAAAGATTTTAAACGCATATTCAATCTAAGTAGATTTCACTAAATACATTCCACTTACAGATCATAGAGCAACAAGCAGCTGTGCATCGTTGTACTGCGGTGGTGGACTTCATGGAGGACAGACCACTGCCTCATCCACCAATGACTAATAATGACGCGCTGTATGAACATGTGAAGAAGGTCGGCGAGGTCCTTCTTGGGAAACCTAATGTGCAGCTTCTGCCACTGACAATGGGTTCGGAGGATTTCAGCTTCTTCTCGGAGAAGACTGCTGCTGCAATCTTTGTTGTTGGGATAAAGAATGAGACTCTGAAATCAGACCGAGACTTGCACTCGCCCTACTTTTTTATCGATGAGGAGGCTCTTCCAATAGGAGCAGCACTACATACTGCAGCTGCAATCTCATACTTGGATGGCCATGATGATGTTAACACTCAGTAGGAACATGGTTCGCTCTACAATTCTAGGAATAAGAACAATAAAGATATTATAAAATGATAAAAAAAAATTAAGAAAATGAATGCTGCAAATCCCGTCTTACTAAAGCACAAATGCAGTACTCATATCACTTGGTGATTGTGCTAGTGTGTAGCCACACTTGGATAGCCATGGTGCCAAGACAGAGTAGGAGCATTGTTCTATTTTCACTTTAAAAAAATATGTGGCCTTAAACTCTAGTACTTTCACCAAGCACTCAGAAGTCAGAAGGAGAGAGAAAATTGACACACATAAAGCCCCAGCCATATCTAAACACATCATCTAATCACTAAAATTTGTTAATCAAATTCCAACTCCATAATGTAGACGTCAGAGAGCATTGGCTGTCATCTGCATAAACTCTAGGCATTGCATCAAGAGAGTTAGCAAGAAACTCAGCCTTTTGAACTAATCCAACTGCGACCGCTTATCTTTTTAATTCCCTGCTCTTCCATTTCTCTGCGGCATCTGATCAAACAGCCTGTAGGCCTCGACCAAATCCCCAACACTCGCATCGCATGCCCAGTGAGCAAAGTCGCGATTGAGGGCAAAAACGAACTGGGTAAGCTATTGGGTGAAGCTAACGATGAGCAGAAGAGGATGGTAGGCATGAGATTCAAAGAAGGTTTGTGCTTTGCATGGCTTTAAAATCTCTTCTTCCTCGTTAGGATTTTCGTCGCACAGACACAGAGCCTTCTCACCTGACGACATGTCGTTTGTCCTCTCCTTAAAACGGCAACTCTTATTCACTGGTATAAATATATTAGAGAGACGCCGAAAACCGAAACACAAGAGAGATATATGGCGGTGTGGTCGTATCCACCGACGCCCAAGCAGCTGGCGGTGACGGCGTGCTGTTTCGTGACGGGGGTGGCGCTGTTCGCCGTCGGAGCTCATCTTTCACTGGCCAACGTGGGCCCACAACAGGACCGGGTCAAGGCTCGCAGGAATTTCGTCAAGGACCGACTAAGAAAGCTCCTGGATGATTAATTGGTTTGATGCTTTTCAAGCATTGAATTTTGTTCCTTTTTGTCTCACAGTTGAGTAAGAAATGTTATGTTGTCAAGTTGTTAATTTCAACTGTTGATTGAGTGATGTTTTTTTTGTTCTAAGTTACTTATGATCACCAAATGTTTATATGTAGACTGAGTCTTTCTTGCCAATGCCATGTAATTTTTCAAGAAAAACCCTGATCCTCAAAAGTCAATTCAACCAGCTGTTTGTTTGAGAAAGATGTCTTTGGTTCCTTTTCATGAATGCATCTCACCTAGTTGCATTTGGTCCATTGATGGAAAAACATCCTTGTTGATATCAATCTTTCCATAGTTCTGGTGTTCTTTTAAAAACAGTAGAAAAAGATGCAAACTTGCACCTTTCATCTTCATCTTGGCCAAAAGCAAAATGGAGAAAGGACTTGACCAGACCAGGCACTAGATTTCTTACAAGATTAATGACATGTTCATGTAACTGACGTGGCAAAATGCAATCTTTTTTCAATTTTGTTTTCTCTATAATACGATGAAGAGCAGAGGAAAAGACAGACACTTCACCATTTGAACTTGCCCAAAGGCCAAAGAGAAAAGCAAAGCTCTTGACCAAAAAAAAAGTCGTCTGCTCAGCCACATTACATGCATTAAGCCACTACACCAAGTACCAACCAAAAGCAGAGAGAAAATTCAAATGGAGATCAATCAAACCTTACCCACCAACACACTCGCCATCACAGACCCACCAGAGAACCCTTCTTTACAAACTCAACCGCCACAACAACAAGAGCAGCAACAGCTAGAACGGCGTCGTTACATTGACAAGCATTCCACAGTGAACGGCCGTCACAGGCGGGTCAGAATACCCGTGACCTGTTGCCCCGGTATTTTCCGGCTGACCCAAGAACTGGGTCACCGATCCGACGGCGACACCATCCAGTGGCTCCTCTCCCAGGTCCGACCCGAGCTCGTCCTCCCACCACAACCTAACAACAGGACCCGTCGGCTTCCACCCGACCCGGTTCCCCAACCCAATTGCAGATACCCGGGTGCAGCAGAAGATGGGTTGGATCACAAGGCAGTGGCTCGTCTTCCGAGCGTCACTGTGAGGGCTACTGTGGTTCAAGCATCCACTGTGTTCTTCGACACTCCAGCGACTCTAGGTAGCCACTTTGCCCAACTCTCTCAAATGGGTTGTTTTTGTTTTCATATTTGGGGTCTTGTTGAGGTTTCTGGGGTTTATGGGATGCTTAAGATCTTTGTTTTCTTTATATTCTATGATTTGGTTAAGTGGGACCAGGATTTGTGGGTCAAAATATGTTCTTTCTGTATGAAGACTGGGAGATTAAGGGCCCACTACCCTCCTCCTTCCTTAAGATTGTGGACCTGAGGTTTTGTTATGTACTCTGGGACCATGTCCTTGTAGGCCATTGCAAGTTCATATTATATTTTTTGATCCCCAAATATTTTAATTTCCCAACCATTTACAATTTGGGTTTCTGTCATTTGTGGGTTGTTGGCAGATAAAGCAGAGAGACTTGTTGCTGGTGCAGCTGCATATGGATCGCAATTGGTTGTGTTTCCTGAAGCATTTGTTGGTGGTTATCCCCGTGGTTTGATGTTTGATTCTGCAACGGCAACTCTTTCGCCGGAGGAGAAGCAGGCCTTTGAGAAGTACTATGCCTCAGCCATTGATGTGCCTGGTCAGATTCCTTCCACTGAAGATGAAGTTTTCGTTTGAATGTGGTCTTCTGCATCATATTACCTTCTTGCTTGTTCTGAGTGTTAGCATGTGTGACATTTAGAATTGTTGATAATCTTTCCCTCTATGTTTAGAAGCACTCTTAACAATTTCACGCTGGTTTATATCAAGTCTCTGGCAGTAAAAAATTTTGGTATATACTTTGTAAGAAGTTAAGAACTATTGTAAATCTTTTCTCAGATGCACATAGCTGTTTGTACCTTTATATGTGGTTGTCTTGACCCCCGGCTAAAGTTGGAAGCTTGTGTAAGTTTAGCTTTCTGATAAACTATTTATTTGTTTTATCTAGTCAATGTCTTTGAATTTTCAGTTTTATGATAAATCATTGATTTACTTTATCTGTGGCTGTTGAAATTCTATGTCATACGTATAATACATTCTATCTTTTTTATTTGAATAATGAAATTATCTTTGGTGTTTGATATGCAGGTCCTGAAGTGGACAGGCTAGCAAAAATTGCAAGTAAATATAAAGTTCACTTAGTAATGGGAGTAGTGGAGAGAGTTGGATTCTATCTCTGTAGCACAGTGTTATTTTTCGATTCATTTGGCCAGTGTCTTGGAAAACATCCCAAGCTACTACCACTGGCGTCAGAATCTCCAGTATGGTGTTCTGGAGCAAAATTGCCACTGTCTGTGTATGACACTGAAATTGGGAGAATAGGTGGCCTTGTTTGTTGGGACAACAGAATGCCAGATCTAAGAACTCAATTATATGGCAAAGGTAAATATGCTATCATACATAAACACTCTTGCTTAGTGTTTTCAACTTTTGAACCAAAATCACCATGACCATCCAACATAAGAAAAGGTTCCACTTATCTGCCGCAGCCATGGTCATGATTTCAAGTCCACTAGTTACTTTATCACCTTTAGAATACTACGATTGTTTTCTTTAACATGGGACTCACTGGAATTTTAGTCCAAGAGTTCTTGGTTTCTGATCTTAGTTTCTTGCCCCCATATCATTAGGCATTGAAATATTGTGCACCCACAGCTGAAGCAAGGGAGATTTGGCGCTCATCCATGACCCATATTGCCCTAGAAGGTGGCTGCTTTGTTCTATCTGCAAACCAGTTCTGCAGACGAAAAGACTATCCACTGCCACTGGAATGTGTTTCTGGAGATTCAAATGATGCGACATCCTTGGATATCATATGTGCTGGTGGGAGTGTTATTGTTTCCCCATCAGGAACCATATTGGCTGGACCTAATTACCAAGGAGAATCCCTTATCTCAGCTGATCTAGGTATGAACAATTTGTTTCAGAAACATGTAAATCACAGTTAGGATGATATGCAAACAGCCATCTCTCTTTCTCCCTCACACACTCACACACAGTTGAGATGATATCTAAACTACTATGTGATGTTCTTAGATCTTGTAGAGATTGCTCGAGCAAAACTAGAATTTGGCGGAGTTGGGCTTGGGCACAACGCAGGGCCAAATGCTGTTGGTTGGAGGAGGACAAGCATACCGAATCCCGATTTGTTTGCGGCAACCGTGAAAACAGAAGTTTCTGATCATGCAGATGTGCTGTATGCATGACTCCGACTCTACCTTGTAGTGCCCCGACTCTAACTACTAATGTAGACTCTGCTTGAAAATAGCCACCTTAATCTACTAGAACTAGGAAGTATCTTGTAGTAAGCTTTTGAACTTAGTAACTGTTGTAGCCATATAAATATTTTTCTCCAGCTCATGCCTGCCTATTAGATTATATTGTACAGTTGATCAGATGTTGGTTAGATTAATTTGAAGAAGTTACATCTCACGATCTTTTTTGCTCTGAATTTTGGCAGCTCATGATCGAATCGGCCTCCGAAAGCTGTCACAATTTAAATTCATCCAAACAAAAAAATAAACCATTTACATGTTGGCATGAATTGTACAATGTGCAATGGCCTCCTAAACCTCCATACATTAGACGAATTCCCTTGACCATTCCTCGATTTAAATAAGCTCATAATATAATATGAACCAATATTCTAGACTGCATGATCCCCCCCTTGCGTTGCATGTTTTTCGAATTAAGTACTTTGTAAATCTAATCCATATTTGCACGAAATGGATTATAAAAACCCCTGGACGATTACGTTGCGTTTAGAAATTCAATGGGTTCCTCATTTCAGTCAAAGTACCCCTGGATACGTGCGTTTCATCTGTCACTGCACTATTATAATGCTGTTGGGTATTGGCTAATTATAAGTTTTGTTGCCTCATCCTTAATAATCATACACAAAATTGAAAAGTTGCCCAGAAACTAAAAAAAAACAAATGGCAAATACAAAAAAGAAAAACAGAAGTGAAAAATTTTAAAAAATGAAAAATATAAAAAAAAAAACGACGAAAGGAACAAAAAAAAAAAAAAAAAAAAAAAAAAAAAACAAAAATATAATATTTCTAGTATAAATTGAGACATGCATGATACATACTAGAAGCTTTTGTACAGGACAAGCTCGCTAGATTATCACAGCTTTCTTCGAAAAATCTACAACACAAGCATTTCAAGAGAGAATGGTCTAGCACAAAATGAGCAGAGATTGCTGCGACTTAGCAGCACCTGGTGATCACAAGCCAAAAGCATCGATGAGCCAAATCGTTTTCCACCAGCCTGGGCTTTTACAAAACCACCATGGCAAAACAAAAGGCTCTGACTATGGCAAGGCATTGGCAAAAAAGAGAAATTTTCACCGTTTTGACCTTCTGCCATTCTGGCCTTCGCCTCTAGCTTCCCCTAGCCTCGACTTTGAACCATTGCCTTGCGCACTGGGAGGCCTATCTTGAAATGTACCGGTAGGATCCCGTGAAGGCCATGGCTGCCCCCATTGCCGTGTTGGACTAGCATGAACTCTAGCCGGTCCAAGCCTGGAACCAGACAACATTTGGTCCCTAAGACCCTTTGACGATTTATAACCTTTCATTTCATCTCCGCGACCTTTTCCTTGCTCTTGTCTTTGCCTCTCCAGTTCAGGAAATCTCTCCCAATCTATCCCATCTCCTGAATTTTGGAGCTTTTCAGCTTGCATACCCCATTCCACTCCATCTGATATGCTTCTTTGCAAAGAAGTGCTTCTTCTTGGTGGCTTCCCAGATGTAGACTTCCTCCCTTTAATTTCTTCAACATCAAGTGCAGCCCACCTTGGATCACGAGCAGCTCCAGAAGCATGAATCAAGTTGTAGCTTCTGTTGTTGTTGCCCATGCTTAACTCTATGGAATGAAGATCACTTTCAGCAGAATCCTCTTCACATTCTATTCCATCTTCAACTTCTCCTCCATCCTCATCTTTTTCATCATCCTGATGGGAACCAAGATGAGCTCTGCTTAGATACGCAGAAATTTCTTCATCATTCAGATGAGCAGAACCACGTCCCTTTTCTTTGGTTCTTTTACTTCCCATAAAAGCTTCAAGTTGACTCCTCAATATATCAACAGCTGCATTCTTCTCCTCAAGCTGATGTTTTGCCTCTGAGAGTTTCACTTGAGCTCTCTCTTCACGCAACACATCTGCAAACTGCATCATCTCCCTTTCCTTCTCAACATCTTCCCGAACTTTTGAAGACTCCCTCTTCACTTCCTCTGCTTCAGATTTATCTTCATCAATGTCCCTGGCTAATTCATCACATACTTGTTCCATTATCTCTCTAGTTCTCTTCTCACTCTCAAGTTCTTTCACCGCCTTAACAAGAGAGGCTTTTGTCTCTGCCAGTTCTTTCCCAAGTTTCTTATTCAAGCTTTCAGACCTTCTTCTCAGTTTCCTCTCTACCTCAAGTTCACCTGCAACAGCCTCAATAGCAGCCTCAACAACTTTGTGCTCTTTGCTTTTCCAAGCTGCCTTTTCATCAGCAAAACACTTCATGAGATAATTGATCTCATTCTGGTCTGCGCGTTGTTCTTGGATAAGCTGATTGACCTGTAAACGAGCCCTCTCCAGCTCAGCATGTAAGGCTGAGATGAGGGCCATGCTTGAGGAAGGCCGATCTTCATTACCCCAAATGCGGTTGATAATTTTCAGTAGCTCTTTAGACGTGGTCAAAGCATTGCTAACATCCTTCAAATGAGTCTTGACTCCAACAGTGGAAGCAGTAGGAGTCTGGGCTCTAGATCTAGTCTCAACCTGTATAACAAAAAGATGAGAACAAAACTATCATCTAATAATAATACCATCTGATACAATTTAATCAGAAACAAAAATCTCTAGTTATAACAACTTTGAAATGTTAAGAAAAGAGCAAGAGGAAAGCAAGGTCCTTTCCAAGAACCAAGTAGATTATTGACCAATGTACCTCCATTAAGCTGCCATTGCGATGAGAATCCAACATTCCAGCATGGTGGTCTGTGAGCCTGAGCCTCTGTGAAATGGAGGGCGTCCTTCGATGGAAACTACCAGTTCCAGATCTGTCCGTCCTCTACAAAATGAGAATGCATAACAGGTAAAATTAAGGGCAATTTCTCCACCATGCCTAACTGATAGTGACAAATAACAGGTACAATCAGACTTGCATTGATCAGGGGTATGTATCACATCGTTTTAGAATGGGACACCTACAAAACTCCAAATTTAACAAAACCTAACAATCAACCGACTATCTAACCACAACATCAATTTCTCAATTCAATTCTAATTAATAATTCAGATAGAAAAAAAAAAAAAAAAAAAAAAACAAGCTTGCTCAAAATTGTATGTTTGATGAGACGTAAAAAACCCAAAGAGCAACTTAAAAACAGTAACTTTAAGCTAAACCCAACACACAAGTGACATAGCACAAAGTCTACAAACTACATTTTCCATCAGATTCCCGCAAATTCTCAACAACCAAACAAAACACGAAGCAAAGAGAAAACCCACCTCGGAAACAGGACTATGAGACGGATCGGAGAGATGGGGAGGCAGAGAACCCGAGTGCGCCGATCTCGCGATCCTTTCTCTCTCTCTGGCCTTACTATTCATAATCTCCATCTTCCTCAGCCTCCTCTCGTCCGACGACCCTTCCCTCACTCTCGGAGACGGCATGTCGTTCATTTCCCAGAGCGTGGCGGCGAGCTTCCTGGCAGACACTGGCGCTTGCTGCTTGGACCTGCTGGCGCCGTTCTGGGAGGAGGCGGCGTAGTTGGGGGAGTCCATGGCGCGCAATGCCGACGCGGTAGGTGACCTGGAGCTCATGAGCTTCCATGTGGGCACGGGCGTACTGGATCGGCCCCTCTTGCCCACCAGTATCGCCCTCTTGAATCTGTAGTTTTGGATGATCGAAGACGACGAAGATGCTGACGACGAGCACCCTCGCTTTCTGATTTTGCCAGGTATCAGCAGGTTCATGCCCAAGCCGTTGTTCTGCCTCGGCATTTTCACTTTTTCGAAAACCAAAAATCAAAATAAAAAAGAAAATGGAAAAAATTTGAAATTGGTAGATTTGGGTTCAGGGGGTGATGAAACGTACCGTCTGGTTCATGGTGGGAATGAGAGGAAAACGAGGAGTGAAACCCTAGAAACTTATAAGAGGAGAGAGAGAGAGAGGTTTGATGGCTCCCACTTAGCTCAAGTTCCAGATTTGATCAGTACAGAGACAGAGTGTTGAGCTTGTGCAGGGGACTTTCTCCTGTAAAGGGGCTAAAGAGGAAAGCGAAGGTGGAAGGCGCGGGAATGATTGAGTGAGGCCGAGATCAGGTGAGACTGAAACCGCGGTGGGTAGTTATTGGGCGGCGTTGATTGGGCTTTTCTTTTCCTGGGTTTTAATGTTTCAACCAACCGTGTGGCCGTGGTTTCGCTCTGCTTCTTTTAAAATTTGAAGTGTATTTATTAGCGAAAATTGGGTGGATTTTTGGATTTTTTTAAGCTTTGGATAAATAAATAAATCCAGCAAGCATTTTCCACTTGGATAAAATTTCGTCCACTTCGGTTGTTTTAGGAAAAAATTCCCTTTAAAAAAAAAGTTAAGAAAAATATTTCTGTTATTTATCCGTAATGAAACATTCGAATTTGAGACTTCTTCCATTATTGGTATAAATAAAAAAATTAATTAGACCCAAGAGTACTAAGACAACCCTGCATTAATCTAACCATGCATTGGCCTCGAGTTGAGTTAGGGCGTAATCTTATTCTCTAGAGTCTCTGTTAAGAGATGTTCATCCCATCTAACATTCCAAAGGAGGTCAAGTAAATACAATTTAGGGGCAAAAAATAGTAGCAGATCAGCAATTAGTGTAAAAAACAAATTGGTGTTTCAGATGAATTTTTTGTTTGTTTGACTGGAAGATTGTTGTTGCTTGCCATTGAATTTAACATCATTATTGCAATTTTCAAGGCTGAATTTGACATGAAGCGTAGCGCAACTTTAAATAATGACTCAAGTGCAATGATTTTCAATTGTGTGCAATTCAAATTTCACCCTACTTCACCTTTTCAAACAAATAAATTTTTTTTTTTAATATACAATAAGGAAAAGGTAAAGATTCCTCCTTCGATCACTGGAGAACTTCAAACTTTGCCGGTCAATTCAATTATATATATTGGTTGGAGACTTGAAGTGAAGAAACAATACTATTGTTTTGGTAATAAAAAGAATACTATATTTGTTAAGCCATTTTAGGATGTCAATGAGCTGGTTAGGTTTGGATTCGTTTGGATTTCAGCTAAACCCATAATATATAATATAAGTTCCATTTGACTGGTGAGGTTAAAATGAAAATTATAAGTTTCATTTGACTGGTGAGTTTAAAGTGAGAATTTTATACTTGATTTTGTTTGCCCATGCTCCCACAAAGAATTTACTCTTTGAACATTTATATAGGACCGAGAATTATAGGGTCCGTCTGATAACTATTTTAATTTTAGTTTTTATTTTTTATTTTTTTGTGTTAGAGTATAGAGGAAAATGAAAGTGGGAATGGGAATGAGGATCAATTGAGTAACTGGATACACCACGTGGCTGATGCCCTAAAATATTGGAAATATTGTTCAATATACATAGGACATAAAAATAAAATATTTCCATATATCCTATGTGTATTGGATGGTACACCAGACATGTGGTGTATCCGGAACATACAAATATTTCTCCAAATTGAGATAGAGAGGGGAGGATAGGAGGGGAAGTGAAAAAAATGAAAACAAAATGTGAAAGTGAAAATAATTTCAAATAAATTTTAGTTTTTTGTTTTTGTTTTCACTTTCATTACTCCTCCTCTCATCCTTTCCTCCCGTCTTCCCTCTTAATCTCATCTCCACTCTCATTCTCACTTCCATTCTCCCACTTTCTTCTCTATACTCTACCACAAAAAATGAAAACTAAAAACTAAAATTGAAATGTTTATCAAATGGCCCATAAGTTTTGTAATTTTTTTGGGCTTCAGCCTTCCTTTTTATCAAACTGAAGAATTGTCCTTTTTATTAAGGCTCAAAAGAAAATTACATATTTAAGTGATGTTAAAATAGATCTTAAGTATGAATTCCCTCATTCTCGTTGATTTACATAAAACTTTTGCCCTTCATTTATTTTGTACTATCTATGTGTCACGTGGAACGTTTGGCATTGTTGAAAACAGTTTTTTTTCTGTGGCTATAATCTTAAAGGCTACCCCATGCCCTATAATATAGTATGTGAAGGTTGAAGTGGATTTTACACACCAATGCCATAAAACATAAGACTTTTATGTGATACGTTGTCCAAAATTTTCCTTGCTTCAAATTGGTTTCCTTTCTAAAGTAGGACATATTTTGTAGCTTGGTGCTGACGTTGCTCCTCTTACTGTGCCCTCGCACTCAAGATATAGGCTTTTGTCAACAGTGGGACTCTTTTTTATTTTTTACCCAATTGATGCTAAGAATAAGAGGTTCAAAACCAGCCACATCCCATGTGGTTTCTTTTTCTCAAGACCTAGGAAGTCCCTTTGATCCGTTCAAGGAGCGACAGAGAGGAGGAAAAAAACATATGGATTAAAGGACAACTCATATGCATAGGTTTCTGTTTCTGTTTCTGTTCGGTGGTTGGTTGCTTTTTAAACTTGTTTGTGATTAAACTTGAACCTTTGTTGGCCCACGAAGAAAAATATAATTTGTACATAAACTTTTCTTTTACAAAATTTGTCATAACTATTTTTTTATCTACTTGTAATAATAGTCTAAATTACTCGTATTTATAAAGAAGATAGAATTCATGTGTAAGGGAGAAGACACACTAACCCACAACAGCAATTTTATCAAATGACATAATGTGTGAATTAATAACATCGTGTAAACATGTAATTTACAATAAATTTCCGTGAAAACCCCGAATTTTTTTATTTTTTTAAAACTAATTATACACAAGCCACCAAGCCAATTTGGGAAAGAACAAAAAAGTTTTTTTTGGTCAAATGGAAAAAAGAAAAAAAAAGAGTTTAATGCAAACTCTTTGTAACTTTAATATCACTATCAAACGAGAAATTCTTGACAAGAATGGCAGGCAGGCACAGAACACAGCTGATAGGGACGAGCATTTTGTATGGGAATGACTAAGCACTTCCATGTCCATCCATTTTGTGTGTCTAGGAGGTTAGCTAATCCCGTGAATAAAAACAAAGTGGAAAAGCTGGTTCCAACTGAATTTCGGTCGGCAACAAGCCCATCTATCATGTCACAGTCACTGAAAATGGACAAGGAATTTTAATATTCATCTATATATATAAAACAAAGATCAAAAATAATAAAAATTTAAAATATCAAAAAATATCATTGATTAATGTAAATATTAAGAATTAAAATTATTAATTAAATAAAAATAATATGATAAATTCACACTTTTACATATTAAAAAAATTAAAATTAAAAGAAAAATTAAATAATTAATCATATTTTTATAGAATACAATTATTCATTATTTTTTTAAATTCTAAATTTTTTATTTTTTATTTTTTATTTTTAAAAAAATTCTCAAATAGACAGAAGCGAGTGCGAAGAGGTTAATTTTAAGCTAATAAAATAAAAGAGCCTAGCATTGACCTCGATTTGAAAGTCTTTTTATCCTAATATACTAACATGAAAGAGCATGCTCTTATTCTTTTTGCCCCTTTTGTCTGTTTTTCTCAAAAATCTAGATTTAAACTTAAATTTAAGCAAAATGATAGGGAAAAAAAAGGAGATTATGAATCCTGCCAAGAATTGTAACTCGAGCATTAAGATAATTTATTCCTGTACTTGATGCCCAATGTTTGATTCCTCACATACAGAACTACGAATCATACTATCTAGCATCTATCACCCACCACACCACACCCCATATCAAAACTTAAATAGGACTTAATCACAGCAGGTAAACCCCATCTCCATGAATTACATGTGCTTTACTTCTCTACCCACCATTCTATTTTCCTTTTATTTGTGAGTCTCATTTCCAGAAAAACAGTAGTCGATTTTCCCAACAAAAAGGAAATCAAACTTTTCGTGATTTTTTTTGTCCATGACAGCCCAACTCCTTTGACTCTATCCTATAAACCTTCTGGACTTTGGACTCTCTCTCTCTCTCCCTCGGAGTTGCCAAGAAACGGAAGCCACAAAAATGAAGATAACAAAATTATCCATGTCCCCATTTCTCTGTTTTTCTTTCTTCTTTTTGCTGCAGTTTCCTCTTATTTCATTTTCCAAAACCACACCTGCTGGTGCCAGGTTTCCATCTTCACTCGTTACCCCTGAAAAGATCTCTGCTTCTGCTCAAAACAAACTTTACAGAACCAAATACTTCACCCAAATACTTGACCATTTCAATTTCTACCCCAAAAGCTACCAAACTTTCCAGCAAAGGTATTTGATCAATGACACATTCTGGGGAGGAGCCAAGAACAATGCTCCAATCTTTGTCTACACAGGGAATGAAGGAAACATAGAATGGTTTGCACAAAACATAGGTTTTCTCTATGAGACAGCACCCCATTTCAAATCCCTTGTCATTTTCATTGAGGTAAAATTTTGATCCCCAAATCAGATTCGAGATGATTTTGTTATGTTGTTGCACTGTCAATCTAGTACCTGATTAACATCAGACTGTCTGGTAAAGAAGGTTTGTATGCAATTTGAAAAACCGTAACGCATATATATAAGATGATCAAATTTGCAGCATAGGTTCTATGGGAAGTCTATACCTTATGGGGGCAAGAAGAGCGTGGCTTATAGCAATGCAACTACACTTGGGCATCTGAGCTCAACGCAGGCATTGGCAGATTATGCTTCCTTAATTATTGATTTGAAGAAGAATTTATCAGCAACTGACTCTCCTGTGGTGGTCTTCGGAGGTTCCTTGGAGGAAGTATGTGATACATTCATCTTTTTTTATTTTTTTTTAATATTGTATAATGTACGTTTGATTGAACAGCTGGCTGGATTGTTGCTTGTGATATGTCGGGTGATCAAATTAATTTAAGTTTAAAATGCAGTGCTGGCAGCATGGTTTAGGTTGAAGTATCCGCACGTTACAATCGGAGCCTTTGGCATCATCTTCACCTATTCTCAATTTCGAGAATATAACGTCTCCATATAGCTTCCTCAACATCGTCACTCAAGACTTTAAGGTCCTCTCTCTCTCTCTCTCTCTCTCTCCTCTCTCTCTCTCTCTCTCTCTCTCTCTTTTATTTTATTCGAAAAGGAATTCTATTTTTGTGAAATGTGAGACAGTCGAGTCAACCGGCTATACATGATTAACAATTGACAGTCTCACATTTCATAAAACGGAATTTTGCCTAAGATTGAACGAAACGATTCAAAGGCCTGAAATCACATTGACCCTCCTTCTCACAGAGTCCTTTTATACATATAGACTATGATTGCTGAAAAAAACAAACAAACAAACAAACAAACTTAAATATCTTATCTATAAATGGTCCAATATTAATATGTCAATGCACGTGTCACACACATACCTATAATACTGTTATGATAAAGTAATGTTATTATTGGGAGCATATTTAAGATTTTTAATTACAGTCTGCAAAGCACATGCATCATAATTAACCTTAATTAATGCTAATAAACTTTTCTGAATAATTATGTTATTTTTTGCATGTGTATTAGAGTGTGAGTGAAAATTGTTACAAAGTGATCAAAGGCTCATGGGAACAGATCGAAAACACAGCAAACCAACCTGGAGGGCTTGAGCTACTACGAAAATCATTTAAATTATGCAAGTATGACCACAACCCAACCTATAAAGCCTAGCATAATGTTAAAACTAGGCTTTTCTCCCTTCTTTTTTTGTCGTAAAAAATTTGTTTTGACGTCTTTCAGTTTTGAAAAGAGAAGTATCGGTAAATTAACGGCTAGTTTAGTTTATTAATTATAAATTATTAAAGTTTGTTCTATTTCTTTCAGAAATGGCGCAGATTTAGATTATCTTGAAGATTGGCTTTCCACTGCATACGCTTACACAGCAATGACGGATTATCCTACTCCCTCAAATTTCTTATGTCCCTTGCCAGCATTTCCAGTGAAGAAGGTAAAAGAAAAGAAAAGAATACTATTTTATTTTATTTTTATATTTTTAGTTAATGAAGGTGCATAATAGTAATTTGACTTTATTGGGGGTGCAGATGTGTGAGGCGATAGATGATCCGACGACTGGAAATGACACATTTGCGAAATTGTACGGTGCAGCTAATGTATACTATAACTACAGTGGGACAGTCACGTGTTTCGAACTTGATGATAACTCTGATCCTCACGACCTTGGAGGATGGTATTGGCAGGTAGGAGAACATTCCTCATTTTTCTCTAAATACCGAAGTGTTTTTTTTTGGGGGTGGGGGTTCTTTTTTAAGATTATAACGAGGGAAAAAGAATTATGCTAGCGTCAATCGTTATTGGTCTCACATGAATTTATACTTACTAATGTATGTGATAACTTAATAGGTCACGTCACGAACAAATTAGGCTAACACACAATAATTAAAATGAATTTTCGTAGATACGCAATGCTTTTTAATGATGACTAAAATGTCAAACTTGATACGACTAAAGGATATTATAATTCAGAAATTCTAATAATTAACCCCAATAAAGATCATCTTATTATAAGGTCCATATACAAGGAATCAATTATCAACCCAATAAAAAAGAAGAAACACTTTTGTGAGTTAGAATAAAAACATCTAGACTAATAGAGAGAGCACATGGGATTAGTATCCAAGAAAAGCATGTTCTCACAATCAAAAGTTGAGCCTTAAACTCATAATTGAGTACAACTAATCATTTTCCCTTTGGAGCCTGAGAAAAGAAATTAGATTTTTATCTCACCATCCAAGTTTGCAGAAAGTTACCACTCTTAACTTTTTTTATTTATTAACATCATAATAATAATGATCATCATAGTGTACTGAAAATTTTGATGGGTTGGTCACATGTTGCTCAGTTTGGCTTGAAATTTTTTAATTTTTTAATTTTGAGCACAAGCAATTGGGAATGGGGGATTTACACAAATTTCATTAGGTGCCTGGAGTTTTCAAACGTCTATCAATATAAGTGAAGGTGGAAGAATTCCACCAACAGAGCTATACTGCAATTTGACTTGAAATTTTTTGATTTGGTGCAGTCTTGTACAGAGATGATAATGCCAACCAGTGGAAATAATGAGGACAGCATATTCCCAGCTTCTGATTGGGATTACAAAGACCAAGCCTCTGTATGCAAAAGCAGATTTGGCATTGAACCTAGGCCCCTTTGGATCACCACTGAGTTCGGCGGCCATGTTAGTCCCATCATTTTCTATCATTATTTTCTACCAAAATTTTAATTTTTGGTTTTTATTTTACTTTTTATTGTTAATTTTTGGCAGGATATTGAGAGGGTTTTGAAAAGATATGGAAGCAATATTATCTTCTTCAATGGCTTAAGAGACCCTTGGAGTGGTGGAGGGTAATAATATAATTACCGCTTTCCAATTTCTCAGTTTTGTCAGCATGGTAAAACTGGCTAATGAATGGTTAATATTATTGTTGGGGGTTTTTTTTTCTGGCAGGGTGCTGAAGAATATATCCAAGAGCATAGTAGCCATTGTTGCAAAAGAAGGTTAGTAGTTACAATTGATACCAAAATTACAAATAAATAATAAAAATAAAATAGATGGAAATTAAGGAGAATATTGACATGTATGATTGTGGTATATTGGTTCTTAACAGGTGCTCACCATGTAGATTGATGTTCAAGAGCAGTGAGGATCCAGAATGGCTTCAAGATGTGAGGAAACAAGAGATCAAGATCATTGCAAAGTGGATCTCCCAATATTACCATGACCTTGCTCAACTCTTTTGATCCTATATATTCAGATCCTACCACACAGTAATTGGATTTGTCATTTTACCCCCCATTTTGATTCAAATAAAAATACTAGGAAATAAAATTCCCAGCAAATCAAAATATGAAGAATCGGTTTTAGTGCAAAATACGATTTATGCTAAAATGATGGCTCATTAAGTCAATATATACTTCATACTAAAATCCCATAAAATCAAGTTTTCGATGTGTAAGGAATAAAAACTGCCAAAAATTATCTTGAGAAAATGATTATTCCGAAAAATCATTTTTCATACTTAGTCAATATTTTTACATAAAACAATTTTTCATGTATGATATGAATGCATGAAGGGACCTAAGGTCAATCTAAGTAAAAAGTCTTAGATGTTCAATCAACAAAGAGTTTTTAGCATTTCAAAATTGCACATATGCTAAAAATTCATGGGTTTGCTAGTTCTACCACACCAATAGTCATAGTCCTGCCTTCTACATTTGTATTTGGTGTTAAAGTTTGTCCCAAACATCAATTTTAATTCTTTTCCATTAACGTATCCCCAAAAGAGAAGCATTTTTTTAAAATAAAATTCACCCTTTCATGAATAATGTGGGTCTAATTCCATTTTTTCTTTCTTGTGTTTACAACTAGCATGATTTATATGATTTAATGTATACTTTTATTTCTAGAAAAACTATAGAAACTGTTAGTATATAAAAAAAAATTATCATTAGATTTTAACCTAATAACTTTAAAAATTCTTGATTCCACATTTGGTTTTATGGTGAGAGTGTCATATATGGATTATAAATGTGGACATTCATATTGGTCACATGATTCCTCTGAATAGTAAATTCACTTATGTTTAATGAAATAATCATATGACTAAAATGAAAGTCCATATATGATATCATAAATATTGAATTTCGCATTCAGAGTGAATTTTTTTTTTTTTTTTTTTTTTTTTTTGGTTTTTGTAAGCAATGTCAATGAAGTTTATTTGCCTCAAAAGAAAATAGGCTGCAGAAATTTAAAAGCCCTTCTGATTGTTGTAGTGGGATTGAGCAAAGAAGAAAATGAAAGCAAGATTTTTATAAGAATTTTTCAACGCAGAGTAAAAGCCCAATATCAGAAATTTGCAACACAAAAAGAAATTTTAGGGGCCCAATAGACAGAAACAAACTAGAGCCCAAAAGCAGAAGCGGAACCTTTAAAAAAAAAAATTAGAAAGGGAGCCCACTAACTTATATGCACTAAATGAAATACATATCAATTACAATTAGGATTTTTAACGGTAGACGTCTTTGAATTTTACCTCGAGTTCAATTGAGTCCTGCAACTTTTTTTTTAGACAATTACATATGTTAACTCAACAAGTAGTTTCAATTAGATCCTACTGTGACAAAATCCACCGAGTTTAATCATGTGAATGGCACGTTGTTAGGGGTATATTGGACTCTCGGAATGGTTAAGCAAAATATAAGGGAATTTGGCACAAGGAGAGAAGGGCAAGGGCTTTTTCGATTTTCCATACTAGTAAACCTAGCCTTCTGTCAGACATTGGAGTTCAATTTGCAACCCTCGTTTGGTGTTCTGCAATTGAAACAACACCTTACACCAATTTCATATCAAACTTACCCGATTATTACCGCATGCCTCAAACCTTCTTTTAGGATTAAGATCTGTCCATGAAATTCAACATTTGATTTCCGACCCACACTACAATAACAATAGCTACGATTTGAGTATGTGAAACTCTATGACATTTTACCTCAAGAGTTTCTTTATTTGGGATTTCTAACGGCTTATGGAGCCCAATTGGGACTCGATGGCTGACTAGGTCAACTTAGGAGACTATTGAGCTAGACATTATGCTTTTAGCCCTCATTTTGAAGGGCAAATTGACAAACTATCACGGTAAAACCTAATTGCAACTACTTGTCAAGTTAATGGATGTAATTGCCTAAAAAAAAGTTGCGGGACTCAATTGCAACTCGAGGTAAAGTTAAGGGACGGCTATAGTTTTAAAAAAAATTGTGTAGTATTGTTGTGGGGATTTATAGCTCTGCGTGAGCCACTTAAACGATATTTTTTAGTGTGATCGTGGTGTTGCCAATTCATCTACAGTGTTCCATTCTCTCCCGTCTCCTCTTTTAGTTTTTCTTTTCTTTATTCACATACCACTGTTCACTTCTAATTTCTTGCCCAATCGATCAGTGAAAAATCCAAATATATTAGGAGCACATTTACATGCACCAATTGAATCCCTTATTTTCCTATCCACCCCCCCTAGATTTTTTCCTTGTTGCAGAAACAGGAGATGCTCCTACAATCAAATGACAGAACCCAATAGTTAGGTATTAGTGATGACTTATATATCTCTCTCTCCTCCAGCTTGAGCTAGTTTTGGAACTTTATTATCATACCTAACTTACTATTAGGAGGAGCAGAGCACAGGACATATGTCATGTGTATAAAAAAGTGTTGGAAGAAAAGGAGGCACAGGCATGAATGTCTGATTTAAGCATGCTGCTGATTAATTCTGGATAAGTGAAATAGATGGGCAAGGTCCCCGTTCAGCTTACTTTGTTCAAAGTTAGGCAGCTGGGGTCATGCAGCAAAAGGGTCGGTTCTTCGTTGTTCAAAATTTGGTAAAGGTTGGGTTTTCTATTCAAAGACATTTTTGATAGTGAAATACTGTGATGTGAAAGTCATTGATATATATGACCATATGGACCACATGATCATTATGCATATGTGGAAAAATTATTGGGAGATTCACTAATATACCCAATATAGGAGCCCAAATTATAAAAAAACCCTATATGAAATGGAATTTATAAACACACCCAAAACCCATTTATAACATAACAAAAAGGCTTTTAACTTCTTTTAAATTACAAAATTGTCATTGATTTCTTAAAACAAACCCAACCCAAAATTTCATAAAAAAGCCCAAAACACTCAATAGGATATCAAAGTAATTTAATAATTAAAATTAAATTTAATAGTTCCATTTGTCATTTTTTGGGTTTTTTTTGGGTATGTTTATAAAAATGAAATGATGTAGGGTTTATTTATAGTTTTAGTGCTAAGAATGGGTATATTACTAAATATCTCAAAATTATTCCATCTATTTCATCATGCCGTAGAAACAAGTCTTTAGAGTAGAACAAGTTCATTTTGCCTAGGTTAAATGAGATTTGTATATATGGACAAAAGAAAATAATAGGAGTCAAAGGGATACAAGGTTGAGAATGTGTACGGGGATGAGAGGTGAGAAAAGGTATTTATTGGTAATTGTTTTTATTTTAGTTTTTAGTTTTCACTTTGATGTTAAAAATAGAGGGGGAATGCGAGAAAGAAAAGAGGAATGAAAAAGAGTGGAAGAAATGAGCACGGAATGAAATGACACCAAAAATGAAAACTAAGAACGGAAAACAACTTTTAGTAGGGTTTGTTCTCTCTCGAGTTTTTGTTACATTATATTCTCCTCCTTTCTCCCTCTTTCCTCTCACTGCCCTTCCTCCACCATTCTTTATTCATAATTTCCCCCATATAATTTTTCTTTATCTTTAGCAAGAATAAATGAAAATGAAAAACCTAAAAACGAAATTTACCGGAATTTGAACACCTCTTCTAACATTGGGAAGAGAAATCCTAATAGAATAGTTGGTTTATCATTAAGAACAATTTGATGGGTAACTCAATATGGTGTCAAATACATTATATATATACATATAACTTTACGTGTGAACATATGAAAATGAGATACAAGCTACATAAAAGCTACCTAACGCATGCTGCTGCAACATTGAAACAATTTGCTACGCCATAACCTCTGAAAGGCAAGTTGACAGAGTCCCTTTCACAACCCATGTCCCAATCTTTCTCAATTCAATTCCTTGGCAATTTGAGGGTCAAGACCTCAATAAGACCCTTCTCAAGCCCTTTTCTTTTTGGTCAGAGAGTAGAGACCCTAATACATACTCATACATCATCCATAGTTTCCTATACATTCCTCTGCAAAACCCTACAATATGGTATGGTTTATGGTCCCAGCCTAAAACTAAAAACCCACCACGCCACCAGGTCGACATACGTTATTTTTCCAGTTCTACAGTACCTCAAGCCACGTGTCAATAACCCAATTGCACCACCATGCTTCTGGTGTTCCAAATTTTTACCCTTCTTTTGCTCTATTTGCTCACATTTCACCCAAGATATAAAATAAATACAGGAGGAAACACATGCAGATAGATAATAGTAATGTTTATGCAGAGCCTCGCATCCAGCCAGCCAGCCAAACAGTTAAATGGACAAAGAGTGAAAATGGGTTTGCGTTCATCATTAGTTGCGGGCCCCACACGAAGGGGCCCACTTCAAAAACAAAGAAACATATTGATCTTGTGGACCCTACCTGCTGATGGAGGCCTCGCATGCCTTTCTGTTCTGATAGGCGAAGGGAAGGGAAGCGGGAGGAGGGAAGGGGAGGGGAAAATAAATTAATTTCACGAGACATTTAGGGGCAGGTCGGCCAGAGCACCGTATAGTTTTGGATCCTGCAATTTTTTATTGTTTTCCCAAACTCCATGTTAACTTAAGCTGTGTGGCCGTGATTGAATTATGAGACATTTGCTCCTGCAAAAGACATATGCCTTGGGAATTTGCTTTTTATTTAATTTAATTTAATTTTGTTGGCTGCTTGGAAGTTGGCTAGAAATTAAATTAATATTATTATGGTTTCTTTTTGTTTTGTATTTTTTTGGTAAGTCTACAGTGCCAGGTATTTCATCATGCATGCTTTGTTTGGATGCTGTATTTTTAGTAAAAACCCACTCAGGAGTGAGAAGAGAGATGATGGGTGATGCGAGAAACTTTGGTGTTTTGTTTCTGAGATTTTAAATTGCAGGCCCAACTAATATATTTCTTGGGCGAATTCATTTTTTGTCTGATATGTCGGAACTTTCGCCGACTTATGGTGGCATACCTTTCACCATATTAAATCACTTTATTTTAATTTCTGTTGTAATTATAATTTATAATCATGCCTTTGTTGATGCACTATCAACTCTACATTTATCAACGGCCAAAATTAACTCATGCTCGTTAATATATGATGTAGAAAGTGGCGTGCTATATGGATTATATTACCTTTGCCGATCATCGTTTCAATGTTAGGCACCTCTGAAATATGTTGCACCCACTCCCTCCTCATCCATATCCCTATCAAATTGAACCCATATCACCTGGAGCTAATCATTAAAGTTGAAAGAAGATAAAATCATGCTCTGCATTGCTTAAGCTGGCATCACCCAAAAAAATTAGGTCTAAGAAATCGGCTCCATAAATTTGCAGGTGTGAACAGATACCAAAATGTGGTCCATTACAAGACATGTATTCTTCATGTGAGGAGGACCAATCCAAGGTCCCCACTTTCGACAGCTGAAATATAAAAAATAAAAAATAAAAAAATAAAATATGGGATGTAATTAATTTGCAGCTTCAATTTTATTATTATGGGGAAAGTTGAATATTATAAAACCCAAAAGTACCCTTACTATATCCTCACACCTTCACAAATATCATCCAATTATGATAACAAGTCAATGTCTGTATTGGGATTCAAATGATTTTAACATGCTAGTAAATTGATAAGGTTATTATAAAAATGTTTGTCAGTAAAATAATTGAATGGTGAATAATATTGTTTCTTTCAAAAAAAGACTCGGGAACTTGGTAGATCCCAGATGGTTTTCAGTTCCAAGCATGTTGCTTTATATTGGGTAAAGTGTGATCATTATATGTCATGTATTGTAATTCACAAAAATAAGAAAATAAAAAGAAATAATCTCATCAACAAATGAATGAAGAATCTAAAATTTCGCATTGCTGATAAGCTTCCCTTCCGATAGGGTTAATTTGGAGTTGAATTGTCGTGTCTTTTGAAGATCATTGAACGTAACGTAGGGTTTCTCGGTTCAGATTAATATTGGGTTTCGGCCATTGTCGTGTAACGAGAAGAATAGAATCATATATTTATAATATAAACAAAATAAGAATCTGCCATGTCCATTGAATTAGCAATATGAAAGTTGAATTTCAGATGCGTATCAACCTAGAGATTTTGATACATTGATTGTGGCCTTTCTGGTATCTGTTTGCCAGTTTGGTCAGGCCTCCTCCTATACAATATATTGCTACAATTAATATACTGATACATCTGAAGCAGCAGCCGCATATATATTCAATTAAAAATAATCAATTTAACAGTTTCAGAAACCCCAGAGTCTGCTCATTTCCTTTCTGTAAAAATTTTCCCAGCAAAATAATTTTAGAAGCAAGAAATTTATTGCAAAAAGAGAGGCATGGACTTTAGTGGAGAGTCTCACGGATTGGTCTTACCAAAAAACCAGGTGGTGTGTAAGTTTTTTCACTTGGGAATTGAAGAATTCCCAGAAATGGAAATATTAAATTCTGTCTCTATTATCATCATGCTTCATATATCTTCCTCATATATCTCATAGGCCCGTCTTGTTCCCTGGTCTCTTTGAAAGATAAACTACTTATTTATTTGAATATTAAATAACAGATTTTTCCAGATGATTTTAAATATATATATCACCCACTGCTTGGTTTGCTTTCTGGTCAAGGATTCCCGCACCTGGCCAACCAACATCTTTGAGAAACTTATGAAAAGATTTCAGGTTTCGGCCTTTACGTAAGACCCTCTCACTTCACCAATAAGATTTGCACCGAGTTTTGACTGATTTCAAGTACAACATTTAGATGTTACTTGAGCTAAGATTCATGGACATCCAATTTGATTTTTCCTATCTTATGCTTTCACTACTTTGTTGTTTTTTTAAGTGTTGGCGTGCTTTATGGTTTTTTCAATCACCTTGTGATTATCATTCATTGTGTCCCATCCCATCCCATGTATGCTAAAATTGACACTTCAAATATCTACAATTTCATATCTCACCTAACACAATTATGATAATTTGAATCCTTTACCATTGTGGGGGGTCTAATTAGGTATTTTGAGCACCCCTTCAATTAGGCGATTCTTGGTCAATTATTTTGTATTCCACCCAATGCTATGTGAGCAATAAGTTGAATATGGTGGGGTCATGACCGACGAGACGCGTTAAGAGTATGCTAGTAATTTAATCGTATTAAAGTATCTTGGTAATTTTATCATCTCTTAGCTTGTTTAGGCTTTTCAGATGATAAAACAGTTAGCTATATGGTCTTTCAAGTCTCTTCATAGATTTGGATACGAAAACTTATCGTAGTTTGATTTTCTAACTTCAATCTAGACCACATGCTTCAGAAATTATTGTATGTCTTGATTTTGTCTCGAAAATCGTAATTCTATCTTTTTGTTTGTCGGTCTTTTTTTTTTTTTTTTTTTTTATTTTTTATTTTATTTTTTTTTTTTTTTTTTTTTTTTATTTACAATAGATGATATCAAATTATTAACCTAGCTGACCGTCATTCTTTTCTCTAGGACGAATTATATAAAGTTGGAAATTTCTCATATACAAACACTAGTTATGCATACTCCATATGTGAAAAATGTGTTGATGATATTAACTTAAAGCCATGGATTGGATTTGAAGACCCTGACTTGTCCCATCAATATATGATTGAGAGACGAATTGCGTGGTACCACGACCCATCATGATAGGAATGAGTGAGGAAACACAAAAAAAATGTTGTTTGTATTAGAGAGAGAATTGAAGATAGCAAAGCCAACAAGCTATTATTAATGTGTTTCCCACATGTGGTACTTAAAAATTTAAAACCAACCAAGTAGTAAATAATCCAATCCAATCCAAGCCTTTTTTGTTGAGGGGATGAAATTGAAACTTGGTGTTGTGTGAATCTACCTGGAAATTGAGGTGGGTTTTGTCTGAAACTCAGGGAAAAAGACACAGTCCAACTATTAAGATAATAAGGAGATAGAATATAAAATGAAATTGCATGAAAGACACCCAGAGAGACAGAAGAGCTCAGAAACCAGTTAGTGTTTTCTGAGAAATGAAGAGAAAGAGAGAGAGAAAAAGATGGGAGCGACTTGAGTGTGAGGAAAGGATTCAAACACGACTGTACCGAGAGAAAAGAGAGAGAGAGAGAGAGAGAGAGAGAGGTGTCTTGTGTCTCCAATTGGACAAATCTTATCCCATCTCTCTGCTTATTGGAAAGGGAAGGGATCTCTGGATTTTTCCCACCCCTCCAATTCCCCTTTTAAATCCAGGAATGGCCAAACACCAATAATGCTGTCCTGCACGTGATCAAAATGCCATTCTCTTCATTTCCCTTTTATCTGATAGAGAGAGACCCAAAATCCAACTTGGTAATTGGTATATGATAGAAATTTTGACAATTAATGTTACCATTATGTATCTTTATTGCCTAATTCTCGACTGATTCTAATATCGGTTGTTACGTGTAGATCAACAACTAACAACTGCTTTTGTTTATATAAAAAAAACATATGGAAAAGAGAAAAGGATGCAATCTTAATTTTGCTCAATTGGGTTGATGGATTTACAAGTGAATTCGATCTAGTTAGAGGTTGGTACATTAGGGGGAGGCAAAAGAAAAAATATCCCAACTGTTCTAGTGCCCCATGAGAGAAGGTATTGAAAACCAAGTGCTAGGGGCGGCCGTTGGATGGAATTAATGGATGAACTAGCTAGCTGGGTTCTTATTACGTCAGAATGGCCTATCATTTTATTTGTTTGGCAGTGTAGCGGTAACATGGGGTGTTTCCAAACAAATAGTTTTACAAATAGCTTTACTTCCCCTTACCACAACACAAGACACACACACACACACTCACTCTCTCTCTCTCACATCATTTTTATTCACAACAAAAGCTTTTATATATATATATATATATTCAATTAGTCGCTCAAATCAAAATCCCAACAAAAAACACACAAACAGAAAAGTGAGTAGTAGTATATGGGGAATTTTACACTGAAAATAATGATTGAATTTTTCCCTCACGCAAAACCTTAAAGTAGTACTCTCGTACTTACATTTTCCATTCTCTCTCTCTCTGCTCTCTCTATATCTCACTCTCTCTGCTCTCTCTCTCTATATCTCTCTCTCTTGTTGTCATATCTTATAGGGTGGGTAGCTAGCTCTAGCTAGCTAGCTAAAATATCAAATAGTTCTCACAGTGACACAGTCCTTACATCAAACCCATAATCTGCACGCCTACACCGTCCCTTGCTCCCACACCGTCCCCTGTAGAGTACCTAAAGTTAAGCTTTGCCTTTGCCTTTGCCTTTGCCTTTGCTTTTGCCTTCCTCAACCCCAACCCAAACTATTCTTCCTTCCATCTACAAAACCCATTTCCTCAATTTCTCCATCTCTCGCCAAACATGTCCATAAACCACTTTTCCTCAGACCACCCAGAAACCCAGTGGTGGCCTAACACTGGCCACCAACAACAACAAGACCCCTCCAGACCCCATTTCCTCCCTCAATTTTATCAAGACACCCACCACCACAATTACCAGGCTTGGCTCAACTCCCAAGAGCAACCCACACCCATGTCTCCTACTCCTCCCACCCCCACCACCCTCAATTTCAATCTCAACCAAAACGACGCCGAATCGGACCACGCCAACCATTTACAGCACCAGCTCCTCCTCCAATCCTCCCCGCCGCTCGACGACCACGACGAGGAGAACGAGCCCATGTTCGAGAAGCCCTTAACCCCAAGCGACGTCGGGAAGCTGAACCGCCTTGTCATCCCGAAGCAGCACGCGGAGAAATATTTCCCACTCGGCGGGGGCGACTCGGGGCTCCTGCTGAGTTTCGAGGACGAGTCGGGCAAGTCCTGGCGCTTCCGCTACTCCTACTGGAACAGCAGCCAGAGCTATGTCCTCACCAAAGGGTGGAGCCGCTACGTTAAGGAGAAGCGCCTCGACGCCGGAGACGTCGTTTTGTTCGAGCGCCGACGCTCCCACACCGACCGCCTCTTCATAGGCTGGAGGCGCCGCTCCGCTGCCGCCACTCCCTCGGCGCACGATAGTGGGCCTGGCGCTACGCAGGTTAGCGGAGGAGCGGGCGAGAGCAGCGGCAGCGGCAGCGTGGGGGGCTGGACCAGGATGTTCTATTCTGCGCCGCATCATAATAATAATGATGGTGGTTCGTCTTATCCTGCGCACCAGTATCATAATCATAGTGTGGCGCCATACCCACCTGACTGTCTTCATGCAGCAGGTAATGTATATCCTCTTAATTATTTTCTTTAAAAACCAAAAAAAAAAACCCTATCTCTTACTATTTATTTCTCTTAAAAAAATTATTTTGCAAAACATTTGTATTTTTTGTTGGTTTATATAGGCACGTGAAAGTGTGAAAACACCCTCCTCTCACTCGGGAGGAATTTTCAACTGGATTAAAAAATAATTAGAGAAATGTGTTCACACTCTCGGTTTGTCATTCTCTGTTCGTTTTCATTTCCAAAGTATAAAACGAAAAATTTGGAGTGTGAATAGCAATTATCTGACATTATATGCTGCTATTTGTAAATTCTTTTGTTGTTGTGTGAGTCGAGATGGTAAATTAGGCCTTTATTTTTATCCACCCTAAAAATGGGATAATTTGTAAGATTGCTCTTTTGTCAAAATTAGTGACCCAAATAAATAAATACAATTTGTTTGTATTGTTGATTTGATTGGTAGCTCAAGTTCAAATGGCATTGGAATTTTATTTTGTCTGTGGTGGTAAGCCCTGATTGGAGGCATTAATTACATGCATGTATATGTATATATTGTTATTGCAGGGTCCGGTGTCCAGAGCATGAGTCAAACGACGTCGTCGGTTGGGAGCTCGAAGATACTGAGGCTGTTTGGGGTGAACTTGGAGTGCCAGCAGCAGGCTGACCACGAGTCCGAGCCATCCACACCCGATGGCTCGTCGTCTTTGTCCATGTCATCGAGCCAGGGTCCAACCCCACACCACCACTTGTACCCCCGAGCTGCTTATGACTATGGTGCAGACCAGAGGGTACGTGTACTCCCCAAAACCACTTTCATTAATTATCCTAATCATTATTGTTAATTATTAATATTATGCTACTGTTCATGTGTGTGACCTCTTGGTTTTATATAATAATATTATTGTGGTACCATTTTCTTTTTTAGGAAAAGAAAAAGAAACCATTTTGTTTCCTCTAATGAGACAGATTCTGAGGTTAAGGGTCTTGGGAAATTAGTAAACTACATGGTCTCCTTTCTCCCCAACAAGTGATCATGCCTAAAGGGATTGATTAGTGGGTGATTAGTATCACTATTATTTCAATTAGTAGGATTTGAACGGATTGATTTAAGCAGTGATCAATCGACGGTTCATAACTATTGACGTATAACATACGCAGCAATTAGTGAAGTTGATTAATTAATATCTTTAATGTGGTTTGGAAGTCAACTAATTTGGACTCTTTTTTGCCAAAAATTGACAACTTTTCGGTCTACGATTGAGCCAAAAGAATGCCTGGACCCAACCCAAGTCACCTAATTGAAGGTTTGTTTGGGCGGAAGAGTTGAGTTGAATTGAATAAGTGATAAAAATACAACACCACCGCAAAAGCATGAGGGCAGCTTTTGTGGAATGGACTCGCTGGAGTGTGTGTTGTTGGAACTCATTTTTCCCATCAAATGAAACCCCAAATTTGATTTGCCCTTTTCTTTCTTTCTTTTGTCCTCCTACTACTAGATTAGCCACATACACAAACATGAGCTGTTATGCCGCGTGGAATATTTTAGGCACCGACCCTCTCTCTCTCCCTCTCTCTCTCTGTAAGGCGGCCATCTGTCTGTTTATTATACAGTTGATCTATAATTTTCCTAGTTTTGAACATTCTACTTTTTCCTAAAGTAGAACATAATAATGCGACAAGCTACCTTAAGAAAATACTTCTCTCCTTCTTACTTGGTAAGTAAAAGCTCGTACATTCCTGTCAACAGTAGTGTTGAATGTCTTTTATGTTTTTAATGAATAATTTTTGCATATATGTTAAACTGTGATTCGTAGAAGAGAAACAAGTAGTTCTGCAACTTAATTAATATTTTATAGAGGGTTTAGAGTTGCAATTATTTAATTATGATGCCGCCCAAAATTAATTGATGTTTGATGGTCAAGTTAGTAGGCAGGAGAAAATAGGCTGGCTGGCTGGCTGGCTGGCAAATAAGGCATGTAGACAGCACTGATTTTCACCCAAAAAAAATGTAATGTAATTGATTTTGATGTGTTTTGCTTTGTGATTGTAACAGGATTTCAGTTTCTCCCGAGATGGGAACTCCATGAGAAATCGCCGAGGATAAAAATCTGTAGGATGTGACGTCCCTTTGATTGACTCCTATATTTTAATTTTTAACCCACTTGGAAGAAGAAAAAAAAGAAAAACCATTCTTTAATTGTCAGTTCAGTCCCCACCAGAAGAGAAGGCAAAAAAGAAGAAGAGAGGGTACATTAGTACATATAACTATATAATATATTAGAAAAAGGAGAAAAAAAAATCCCAGATTTTCAGGTCAGGTCAAGTAAGTTTGGGCAAAGGCAGGGGAGAAGGGGAACCAAAAGGAAGGTGGAGTGGTGGTGGGGAAGGACAACAGAAGGGATAGACACTCTGCTTCTCCTTCTGCTGCAGTTAAAAGGGAAAATGATGGGTGGGGTCCACCGGGGGGTGGAAAAAAGAGTAAGTAGAGCTGACGTCATCCTTGCTTCTCCCATGGAAAATGATGGGAAATTATTTTCTGGGTCTTTGAAAGTTGGGGAATCATTTTTTTAGTTATTTATTTAGAAGACACTGTTGAGATTCTGGCTGGAGATTTTTGATATGGTGATAATAATGGAATGGAAGGAAGGTGATGGTGGTGGTGGTGGAGGTGGAGGTGATTGGTGGATGGATGGATGGATGGATGGATGGATTGTTGGGTGGGTGGAGATAGTGAGTGGGTGCGTGGACTTAGAATAGATGGGTGACAGCCAGCCAGCCCAGTTTGTCTTTCCAATTGTACTAGCTGGAGAGAGAGCCCATACAATGCCACATTCTCCTTTGCCCCTTAGCCCCTTTGCCCCTTTGCTCCTTTTGCTTTTGTCTAATTTGTTTCAGTTGTTTTATTTATTCTCTCATTAATCCAATCCAATGTAGCTATCTAATTAAGCTCTTTTTTATGCTCTCTCCTACTACAATTTGCATAGCAATGACAAGTCGACAAGTTTTGCTTCTATCTAGTTTCAGATATGATATCAGCTATACATTATTAATAGTAATGATGTGATGACATCCACTATCGTCTTCCATACATCTATCGATCCACATAATAGCATTGATTCTTGCTTCATTGAAAGCAACATATTTCTTCACATACGTGTATAAAATGGATCATTGCTTGGCTTGAATTTATAATGCACCGTTTAGGTTAAAAGTTAAGTAATGTCAAGACAAAGGGAGAATTCATATCTCATATGTATAGCTACTATAATTACAAGTCTCTCCGCTTGAGACAAATCAACAAAAAATGTCTACAATATTGCGACAAATACAGTATCATAATACCATGTACATCGTAGTAGCAAAATATATGGTGTATTATTTCACGGAAGGCCCTAACTAGGAGATATATGGAGACAATGTTACATATAGCACGTTGCGGGGGAGTTTCTTTTCCCAACTAGACCTCATTCACCAACCAAGCAAATGTAATTAATAAATCTTTGGTTCATGAATTACTGAGGGAAAAGAAGAAAAAAGAAGTCCTTCCTTGCGGCCAAGGACTGAAACAAAAAAAGCATGTCTCACGCTGCACCTGGGAAGACAAAATTTCTCAGTCATCAGATTTTGAATTTGGGGCAATCTGGTAAATGGGTCAGGACCCCACTACATGATATGATTAAAACCACCACAGGTCCACTGTGGAGGTTTGCTCTTCAAGATGTCAACTCAGACCAACCCAATGCCTGTCCTAAAATGACAAATTTCTGAGTGACCAAACCAAAGATGCAGCATCAACCCATCATCGACATGGTTTTCGATTCACTGATTACATAAAGACCCCCCACCGATTTCAGTGCAAAATTTGGACACCCAATCTAAAGATTGTTGTATGATACTTGCGATCTATGATATATAGATGCTCAAAATCTTTTTATAGTGCTATGCATCGTTTTCAACTTTTTTAATGTCTGAAATTTTATTTTCGATGTGAGATAATACTCTGAGCAGATACATATCAAATATATATTAGTACTCGGATATGTACTCAATCACATTGTTCCCACAAATTCTAATACCATAAAAGCTCAAGACACTAGCACGACTCTTAATCTAATAACTTGTTAATTAAGGTTAATTAGCCAACAAGATGTAGCTTGGGTGTTTTTAGGTCGTGCCCAATTGCTACATGAGTGTGATACAAGTTGCAGAACATGTGAGACAAAGAGAGAGGAACTGTTATGCCAAAGAAATGTCATGTGATTATGAGGGCCCATAAAAAAGATTGAGACGAAAGTGATGATAAACCATTGACCTCTCAAACTGAAAGCTCTCCTGGAGATATATGGACTATTTATGGAGGCCAATATTGTTTTAGTGGCTCTGCAAGTGGGGGAGGGTCCCCAGATATGTCTAGTTATGATTGAACTGCAAGTCAGTGACCAATTAAAGGAATGAAGGGACTCTTCCTGTATATATATATACTTAGTTTGTCCTGACAGAATAATTCAATCATGCATGCATATGAGATATCACCAAGTACAGTATAGAAACACCATGTGAGTTTTTTTTCTTCTTTCTGCTTTTCTTTTTATCTTCTTCCTTCCACTTACATCTTAACAGGCTTTGTTGATATTGCTTTGGGGCTTCAGGGTCAACCTCACCCTTCACCTCACTCTGGACCAGCCATAAGGAAAAGAAGGAGAATCATTCTGTAACTTCAATTCAACCTATCCTGAAGAATATATACAACAGCAATAATGTCTATCAGCACTACTATTGCAACAAGAAAATCTTGTTTGGCAGTGGATACCAATCAAAATCTATGTATTTGGTTCATTGTCGACATTAATACTCTGTTGAGATTTCATAATTGCCGACAATGTAACATGTATTGTAGCTTGGTACACAGATACCAACAAAAGCTAGGTCACAAAACTAGTATGATAAAAACAGCTAATTTAACCTATCACACAGAGAAACCAAAGCGGGTGACACATTTTAGATAAAAGATGGGTAATAAATTAACTAAAAAAGAACCATTTCCATATTGATCATTATTGCACTGTGCGTAGAAGCACTATTCACACTTTCCATTATATATATTGAGTTTCTATTGAGGGATCCCTCAAATTATCAAATAAGCTTATTTGAGGAACACCCTTGTAGGGCCCGCTCCGCATTATATTTCGCTAATTCAAACTGTCTATTTTGTAGATATTCATTCAAATATCGTCTCTACAAAAAATCACTTGAATCCGATATTATTTGACCACTCAATTATAATATTGAAATTCAAGTGCTTTCTTGAAGCACCGTGTTTATTAATTTTGCAGGAAACAATTAGATATCTAAACGGTTCCGAGAGATCCCTCAATAGAAGGAGACTGTATATATATACACACACAATTATGAAAATAAAAGAGAGGCACACGGCATGGTGTCTGTGGTTCAATCTTATGTATTCATGATATCGATCAGATGGCTTTACTGAAGATTTAACTTGAGCAGATTACAAGGTGAAAGGGTTGATATATATACGTGAAAGGACAATAATGGAATCATGTGTAAGTAGCAGTAGTACTACTGGCAATGGTAACAAACATAAAACTTGATTGAGGTCTGGGAATCGTCCAGGCTGGATGATACAGTAATTCCTGTTCCAACCAAAATATATTGTCTGGTCAGATGCAGATAACACATTTTGCATACATATCCTCAGTTATGCTAGTGCCTCTGAAACTGTAGTTAAATCTTATATTGTTCCACAACGACCCACCAACAATGTTGTGCATCTCACTCTACCCCATTATCAAGTCCCGTCAAAATATCAATAACGTGACTCTTAAGTGACCTGTCTAATTTTTTGCTACATAGGAGCCATATCAACAGTTTTGAGGACTCGACGGTGGGAGCAAAATATATCAAATGCAAAATACCACAGAGCGGATCATTATGACATCCCAAAAGTAATGTAGGACTCGATCATACTTTCAAGAGGGACAAGAGTAATGAATCCTTTTGCATATAACTTGCCGCAGTTGAACTAGAATTGGCAGTACCATCAAACATTACTCAGAAGGCCACTGAATTTCACCCTCCTAGTCTCCAAAAGGGAGATACATTACATGAATTTATATTTTCCAGTACATGTACATTTCTCGAATTTTGCGTCAGAGTACTTAAACAGTAGAATGAATGGCGATGGCAGATTTTCTTACAAGTAAATTGAGCTTTTAGCTGTAGAGAGAAGTTGAACAATTGAAGCCAGTACTCGGTGTGTGCTTGAGAGGGAGACTCTTTACAACTTACAAAATGATGTCATAAGTTGCTCAGTAAATTTACTACGTACGAGTATCGCTTTCCCGTTGAGATCCATGTACTATCTTCCTTTTTCTTCATCAGTAGATTAATTTAGAGCATCTCTCCGTGGACCTGCTTTAAAGTGATACCACCTACGAGAAGTGCGCGCCCTGTAGATGAGTATGAATCTCACAATGGATGTCACATGCATCAACGGCTAGAAATTAGTTACTTTAAGTGCCTACGCGTGACTGACCCAAGCATTCTCTTTCATAATAACTCTTGCAAGTTAGTAAACATGTGCCTGACTGTAATGAATTAAGTAACCTCTGTGAAAGTTGAATCAGTTTCATGGTGAGGCAAACCAAACAAAACTACCAAAAACATCACACTGAGGTTTTGTTTCATTGCTTGTATAGTTCAAACCGCTACTCAAAATCCTCGTATGGTTGTGTTCTGACATTACAATATGTTAAGGCAATCCCCATTTGATTAGAGTTTGACGTTTGTTTGTGCTAACAATTTTATTTTTGAAAGTTACAATATTTTGAAGTAGAAAATAAAAATAAATGAAATGTCATTTTAATAAAATCACCATAAATAAAATAAGTTCTGATGTGGATGCTCTTTTTCTTTTTTTTTTGGCCAATATATATAATATGTTGACATGGATATGAAGTCAAAGAGCCGTACTCAATATTTAATCTTACAGCAGAGATTAATTTGAAAATTCAAACAAGTATCAAAAGTCGGCAACATCCTCATTAAAATGGTATGAAAATAAGTCATAATTGACCAGAAGTTGAAATCTCAACTTACAAGAAAATAGCCCGCAGAAACAACATGGAGATGCAATAAACATGCACCTGTGGAACGTACAACATGAAAGTACCAATACCATCCAGACATCATAATACCATTATTCAGGAATTAAAATATCACCCACCATTCGAGAGTGACATTATCAAATTCCTTTCATTCTTAGGCGATTGTTAAGATGCGTGCATCCTGATTGTAGATGCGTATGAATCTCACAATGGATGTCACATGCATCAACGACTAGAAATTAATTACTTCACTTGCCCACGCGTGACTAACCCAAGCATTCTCTTTCATAAGTATTGCAAGTTAGTAGGAGTCTTTTTGGTATCCTATTTGGATCAATTTTATAAACTACAAAACATATTTTAAGTCCAAAGCCACAAAATCTGTTTGGCATGCCCATTTTTAAAAACTCAATCCCAAGAAAACCTCAAAACAAAAAAAAAGTGAGATTTTATACTCTCTCTCTCTCCCCTTTTCTTTTGTTAATTTCAATTTGGGAATTTAGGGCTTCTAATTTTCTGATTTTAATTTCAATTTTTTAAGATCTTAAAAATAGTTTGGAGTTTAATACCAAACAAGTTTTTACATCTTAAAATTACTATCTGAAAATTCATACTTTTAAAAAGAACCATAATTTTTTAATTTATTTTTTTAAGTAAGATACCAAATAAGTCCTTAGTTAGTACTTCATCTCACACTCTTAAAGTTGAATAAGTTTCATTCAATCATGGTGGAGGCAAACCAAACTAAACTGATTGAATCAGTTGAAATTTCAACTTTTGGCTAAATGGGTTGATCTGAGGCTTACTTTAAACTTATTCAACTCATTCAATCATTCAATCATTCAATCATTCAATCAAAGATTAATTTGAAAATTCAACAAGTGTCAAGAGTCGGCAACATCTTCATTAAAATGATATGAAATAAGCCACAATTGACATCCTTAAATTGCGGCATAAAAGGAAGACGAAAATAAAAGAAAATATGATGTGGAATATGCATGCTGACATGGACATAGACTCAAAGGAGTTGAATGGGAGCTTGAATTGGGCCTGAAATAGTAGAAAACTCAACCCAAAGAACATTCCAAACGCCTATAAATTACAAGACTCTCACCAACTTTTCACAAGAAAAACCCACAATGAAGCCCAACCCGCGTTTTATTAAATAAACCCAATTAAGACAGTTGATGGGGTTTTTCATCTAAATTTAACCCAGCGGCTTAAGCTATTAGGTGTAGGCTCTTTCCAGAGGTGCAATCTTCTAGCTCTTCTTGTTTGACCCGAAACCGATTGAAAACTTGAAGAAGTATCTTGGCATGCCACTAATTCAGGAAAGAATTTCTCAGAAAACATATGCAGAACCTCTTGGTTATGTTAAATGGAGTCCTATCTAAGGAAACATAACTCTTTAGTACATGGCCGAGATCGAGAAGAAATTATAGAATAATACGGTATGACCACGTCAGCTGGTAATACTTTCACTCAAAATTTGCCATGTGTATTCTTTTTATAAGAAATTAACTATTTATTCCAGCTGAATTTGAAACTCCAATTTTACCCTTTAAAATAAAATTAAAACAATTGATAGAAATACATGGAAAGTGAAAACAACCCTTTACCATCGCGATGCCGCCATCATCCGCCCCCCTCTCAGTCTTTCCATTACAAGATGTTCATTTAAATGTCACAGTAGGGTTTAGGGTTTACTCGACAGATCCCACAACGAAGGCATAAAGCCTCACATAAATACCTGAAAGGCACACCAATACAGCCACGAAAGCTGACGAGAAGGAAAGGAAAATTCCTCACGAAATCCAGAAAACAGCAGGTGCTTCTTCCTGGGTTCAATATTGCTTTATTGGAGCAAATGTCAAACACATAGTGTGCCACTTGCATATAAGCTAGGTTGAAAGCTTCAAATTTCGCATCCCAAAGTTCCAGGCCCATCTTCCTTCCTCTTGACCAACAAAACAAAAGGAGAAAGGTTGTTTGGTTTGGTTTGGGATGCCGCTCAGCCGTGCGAAACAGAGGGCCACAGGAGTCCTAGGAGGCTCACACGAAAAAGCCACAATGGACTCACAACGAAATTTATACACTAGAGGGAGGGGAGGGGAGGTTCAAAGCCAAGATTGTAAAGAGAAGAGCTTATATATGGACATGAGATGAATCTGGGGCTGTTTGAAGAAAAAAAAAAAAAAAGTGATGGTATCGGGTGGGAAACAGAGGCTGGGGATAAAGGGAAAGGATATGGGTCATTGTGGGATTGAGTAAATGATAAGATGTGATCTGATTGCAAATATAGAGAGACAAAGGAATGGAATAAGAGGAAGGGGCGGCGGCCATGGGAGGCAGAGCGACGGCAGAGGATTGAGTGCAAGCAATTGTTGCTGGGACAATTTCTCTGCTAACTGTTTTTTAATTTCAATGGGTAAAATTGGAGTTTCAAATCTAGTTAGAACAAAAAGTTTAATTTCTTATAAAAATAATACACGTGGCAATTTTTGAATGGAAGTATCACCAACTGACGTGGTGATTCCGTACTATTCTATAATTTCTCGAGATCGAGGCTCTTCAAAAGATTCTCAAGGATTTAAAGACAAGAAGGAGTATGTCATATTATTTTGATTCTTTTGTCCAACGATACTTCAATAGTAAATGAAGGAAAGAGAGACAAACAAGTGTAACAACATCAAAATAAATTGTCACAAAAATCTAAATTCTTGATCAATGGAGAAACCATATCACCTTTTATGTTCAATAAGATACCAAAGTGTTTTTCTTTTATTTGTTCATTCCTCTCAATGAAATTTGCCATGTTGCACTAAGTTACTTATGGATGTATGCATGCAATCCGGGAACACTTTGGGGTGAACACCCATCCAAACAAGTAGGTCGGTATTTTTCTTGCTTTTGAGAGAGAGAGAGAGAGAGAGAGAGAGAGAGAGAGAGAGAGAGAGAGAGAGAGATCTCAAATTAGCTTATTTGAGGAACACCCTTGTAGGGCACACTTCGCATTGTATTTCACTAATTCAAACCGTTTATGTTTTAGATAATCATTCAAAGTTTATCTCTACAAAAAAAAATCAATTGAATCCGATATTGTTTGACCACTCAATTGTGTTATTGAAATTTTAGTACTTTTTTGAAGCACTATATTCATTGATTTTGTAAGATACATTTGGATGCCGAAACGGTTTCTGATTTGTCTAACTTTTTGCAAGATGATCTATGAATGTAGACTTAACAAAATAAATGATTTGGATTGTTGGAAAAAAAAATTTGTAGGGTACCCTAAAGGGTGTCCCTCAATATAAGAGGACTGTATATATATAAATTTCCCAATTTTTAATCTTACACAAGGATTCTCTCTAAACTTTTGAATGTAAGATTTTTTTTTAAGAGACGTACTAATTTCATTAATAAAGGGGCATTACAAGATCAAAGCCCCACAAAGGGCTCTTGCAAACAATACAAGATACCGACAATAACCACAACTATTGCAAGACAATGAGCAAAAACAATTCTACATCTTGAAGACTTAGCTCATTAGGAACTGAAAACACAAGAGGATCCATAAAGCCATTGCATCCGGTACTGTAATAAAATCATATGAGACATGATAACTCTCTAGCAATTTGGGAGTTGTAGATAGAAAACATCTACAAGTGAAAAAGCAAATCCCGCTCAACTTCCACCAGGATGCATCGTCACAATGTCTCCCAAACACCCCTAAACCCAAAGCACCATTTGATAGTAGATCCACAACATCAACAGTTCCACCCCTTAATACGGAGATTTGATGGACATCCACCTCATCAACCTCAAACCTGCAAGGACACCACAATAGGAGCAAAAAAGATAAATATACACAAATCTACAAAATCCAACCAAAAGGTTGGTAGGATGACCCTAGAACAACTAGGGGAAACAAACCTTGCAAAACACAAGGGAATTCGTTGATTGCTCCATACGTGGAAAAACTCATGTTCGTTGTAAGAAGATCACTGAAGAAAGGGTTGCAAAAGCCTAGCACGAAACCGGCTAGGAAGAAAAGCCCTCCACAAATATGGGGAGAGATAATAACATTATGGTTTCATTTAGGTGAGAATGGTAACATTCTTTGAAACTTCTATTTGTTTTTTTTCTTCTTCTCACATTTCACAAAGATTACAAAACTTTGGCATAATTCAAACGCTTATATAAACAAGGGCGGAACCAGGAATTTTTCAACGGGTGGGCTAACTAAAGTTATTAGCTTTAAAATTTAGTGATTATTTTTTTTGGTACTTACAATTTCTATAGTCTTTCTAGAAATAAAAGTAAACATTAAATCATATAAACCAAGCTAGTTCATAGCTCCATAGACTAATTTTCAATAAGTTTTAACATAAACCAAATAGGGTTTAACACCATAGTGGATTGAACATCTAAGGTTTTTTACCTAGATTGACCTTAGGTTCTTTCATGCATTCATATTATAGATGAAAAGTTATTTTATATAAAAATATTGATTAAGTATGAAAAATGAGTTTTTCGAAATAATCATTTTCTCAATATAATTTTTGGCGGCTTTTATTCCTCACACATCAAATAAGAAAACTTGATTTTATGAGATTTTAGTATGAAGTATATATTGACTTAATGAGCCATCATTTTTAGCCTAAATCGTATTTGGCACTAAAACCGATTTTTCATATTTTGATTTGGTGGGAATTTGATTTTCTAGTATTTTTATTTGAATCAAATGGGGGGTACTTCCTTATTTACATCATAAACTTAAGTAAATGAAGTAATATAAAAATAAATAAAAGTAAAATGACAAAGAAATTTACTTAAATGTTGAAAATGAAAATAAGGTAATCTATATAGTGCCACTAACTGAGCTAATATTGAAAATAAGTTAAATATATAAGTTATATATATATTTTTTCTTTAAAAACCACACTGGGCTACAGCCCACTGTAGCCCTTAGTGTGGTTCCGCCATTGTATATAAATTGATGAGCATGTAACTGAGAATAATAATTTTTTCCATTAAAAATGAAAAATCATTGTAATTGTGAATGCATCATGCATGTATGATTTATTTATTGGTAAATTTATCGGTTTCTTTAAGGGGTTTAATCGAGAAAGATATGCTTCCAAACATGCTGTGCACGTTAAGGAAAGAAAAGAACGTGCCAAGCTTGTTAGGTACGTAGCATGAAATTCAAAGTGAAGCCCAAATAAAGAAGATGACCCTGACCAAAAAAATAATAATAATAATAAAGAAGATGACCAGCCCTATTGCCTCGATTGGAAATTTTAATTTTAATTTTAATATGGAGCTAGAAAAGGTCAGTGGCCTGTAATTAATTAGCACGCAAATCCATTATTACCATATTAATATATATCCAAGAGAAAAGCCACTACTCCACAACTCTCTCTCTCTCCCTCCCTTTCTCTCCTCTATCTCTCTAACTCCCTAGACTTGTTCAAATACACAAGTTCTTTTTCTCCTTCCCCATTATCTTCTAATGGATCTCCAGCCCTCTCAACAATCTCAGAAGCTCCAATTCCCCTTTTCCATTCTAATCAGAACAGAACTTCGTTATGCGGTCTCTTTCTTCCTGCTTCTAGTCTCTTCCTTATTTATTCTTAGTCTTGTAACGCCATTTGACTCGCAGTTTCTATCTGATCATTTGGGTTTCTTATCCCAAATCCTACCAACTAATCACAAGATATCTCCGGGGACTTGTGATTATTCCTACGGCAGATGGGTCCGCGACGAGAGCCATCCACTTCAGTCCTACACTGAAAACTGCCCGTTCCTAGACCCTGGCTTCCGGTGCAGCCAAAGTGGTCGAAAAGACGAAGGTTATCGGAGATGGCGGTGGGAGCCGGCTGGCTGTGATGTTTTGAGGTGAGTTTGTCGTGGAGTTTTCAGAAGCATGTTTCATGCATGACGCTACACAGTGCACGCATGCTTTGTCTTATATTAAGTCTAAGTTAGGCTGGTCTTGTTTGTTGCGTTTGGAGTCTCGCATATTATAGCTACATTTTAGGTTAAACTCTCATAGAACCAGATAAACATTCGTGAACATTTTCGTATCCTTAGCTTCTTTCTGAGCCGGAGCCGGTTTCTATCTCATGTGGTAGAACACTAAACTCCCAACCAACAAACAAAAATTAGTCGTCTACTCCCCTTATTCTTCCGATCCCAAAGGGGGCAAACACCCCTTTAAGATGAAGTAGGTACTTTTTTTAACTACATCAAAACTTTAAATTTAAAATCGATTACGGGCTTAAATATTATGGCCGAAGTAAAATAGGGCTTTCGCATGCGTATTTTCCTAATTGCTGAGTTTTGCTTCTCCCTTCTCATGATCTCAGATTTAATGCAAGTGACTTCTTGGAAAGGAGCAGAAACGGACGGATAGTGTTTGCCGGCGACTCAATCGGAAGGAACCAGTGGGAATCTTTGTTATGCATGCTTGCAGAAGCAGTGTCCAACAAGTCTAGAATCTATGAAGTGAACGGGAACCCCATAACCAAACACAAGGGTTTTCTCTCCATGCGGTTCGAGGATTACAACCTCACAGTTGAATATTACAGGGCACCCTTTTTTGTGGTTGTAGGGCACCCACCCCAGAACTCACCGGACCAAGTCAAGACCACAATAAAGCTCGACCAGTTCCACTGGTACTCCAAACATTGGGTTGGGGCCGATGTCCTAATTTTCAGTGCAGGGCACTGGTGGAACCAAGACAAAACAGTAAGGATGTAAGACCCTCCCTTCACATATCTAATTTTCAATCTATGACCACACATTTACAAAAAGTTTCACCCAATCAACGATGTAAATTAACAGTTCCGCAACATAACAAGCCAAACTCTGGCAAAGTAAAAATCACCGGACTTAATTGTTATCTGGCCATCTTGTGTTTCAGGGGATGCTACTTTGAGGAAGGCGGGAAAGTGAACTTCACAATGGATGTGATGGAAGCATTTAGGAGGTCTTTACAAACCTGGAAGTCTTGGGTGTTAGAGAATATAGAACCTCTAAAGACTCATGTTTTCTTTCGTGGCTACTCCCCGGTACATTACAGGCAAGTATAAACAGATATCTATATGACTATAACTTCATAGTTAAAGTTGAGGACGAAAATTTTCCATTTACATTCTTCAACACTATGGATCCCAAAAGAATGAAATGCAGTCAGTGTAGTTTGGTGACTTTACAACTTTCTATTCCTTAACAGTTGCCACCATGCATGGCCTAAATTAAGGAATTGATAATTAATGAGTAAGAGGTTTTAACATGTAAATTGCAGGAACGGGACATGGAACGAAGGGGGACTTTGCGATGCCTATTTGGAGCCAGAAACAGACTATAAAAATCTTGAAGCTGACCCAGTGAATAATCTATACATATCTGAATCAATCAAACAGATGGAATACGAAAACTGGAAGGTCCAGTTCTTAAACATCACATATCTAACAGAGTTCAGGAAGGATGGTCACCCTTCAAAGTATCGTGAGCCAGGGACTCCAGCCGATGCTCCACAAGATTGCAGCCACTGGTGCCTACCCGGAGTGCCTGACACATGGAATGCACTAATTTATGCTAATCTACTGGCAAAAGGATTCAGAACCAAGTGAGAGAAAAGACAGCATACCTCGGATTCGAAAATTTATTTTGAGTATGGACAACTGTACATAATCAGCATTGCTTCTACTCAAGCTAGTTCCTCCATGCTTTCGTTGGAACTGTCTTCACTGCTTTCCATTTCCTTCAGTTTCTCAACTTGCCTCAAGAGATCCAATCTTTCTGGTCCATAGGTCGATGGTATCTGTCAAAGAAACATATCAATGGACCCTAAAAAACATAAGTTTTGATGTCATGAAGAGTAGGAACTGAAACTCTAGAAATCAAAATTCACGCACCAGAGCTGGTACATATCTTTGAATAGCAGCCAACATAGCTGCATGTCCAACAGCAGTGACCTGTGAGACACAAGTTATCTCTATGTTAAGTTCAAACAGGTCAAGAGCCAAGAGGTGCATCTAGTCTGGTCATGTGTAAGCATAAACTAGCACAGGTTTTGCAAAAATGTTAAGAGAAACAGATGAATGATCGATTTGTCATATATTTCAGGCTTTCATTTCCTTTTTTTGGCCTTATGATTGAAGATAATTTAACCCAACCCTGAACCCCATTCCATATTTATGTGAACAGCATATCCAAAAGAGACCAAGTCATATGTCCATAAACCTCCCCCAATGACAAATCCGAAGTCGCACATCAGTGCACTATATATCCAAAATGCACCAAAATTCCATAAACCTCCCCAATAGCATAAAGTCTAAATCATACGTGGCGATACTCAAACTTCAACTAAAGGGGCAACAAATGCCCTGATTTGAGACAAGACAGAGATATGATAAACCACATCATCCAGATGAAGAACCAAGATGAGAGCTATACCATTTGTATGTTTTTTTGGCCGGAATCATTCCTATGTTCATATAAGTATAAGAAAGATATCAGGAAGAAATCTTACAGGAAGAAGCATTAAGACACCAATAGGAACAACTGATGCTAAGTCGGTCAGAGTTCTTCGCAAAATTTTCTTTTCTTTTTCTGTCAGTTCATCTCCAATCAAGACCCTTCTAAGCAACCCCGTAGCAGCAGCAGTGTCAATAGCTAGCAATTGAGTTCCTTGCCACACATCCTGCTCATCATTTTTTTAGAAGAAACCAAAAATTAAATTTTATTAATGAAAAGAAATTACAATCTGTGAATAAGCAGCACACAGCAACAGAGATGAAACTAATACAACTATTATTTTCCTGCGCATCAAAGTACAAATTATAATCGAGACGTCAACAGATCTTTAATATATATCCTAAATCTTAATTGGCTTGGTGGTAATTAAATGGACGGGATTAAAGGAGGCTTGGTCCTCATTCTGAATAATTTTCCCATCAAAGTATCAAAAGAAAATTAGACTAAAACCAACATTAAACCTTATCCAATTAGAACATCACACATGTTTTGAGATCACAAGTTCAGCACATAGTCTGCACGTATACTTCTATTTCAACATGCCTAGTCTGATTAAATTTATCTACAAGGATTCAAGCAGAGTTAATAAATTTAAGGTGATGGGAATATTCACTTGATTTCTAAATATTAAAATTCCTTTTTCTTTTTCTCAATTTTCTTGGCCCAAGTGTAAGCCAACAGTGTCTTACTAGTTGACAAAGATCATCATTTACCAACTGAAGCCAAAAAAAATTCATACCGTGCTAGCTTCTTTTAGCTTGTCAAACGATTTTTCAATGATATTCTCTTTCTTCTGAACTTGGACTAGTTGAGCAGCTCCAATGTCATCCTCATACGTAGAACTATCATCAGCAGGCTTAATATCCTGTTTTAAAAAAAGAAATTCTACAACATAAGCATATCATAAGAGTTTGAATAACAGTTTTTGCAAATTGGAATTCATTGCCCATCAAATTTCTTATTCGTCCAAGGAATATGGTATCCAGTTGCACACACTTTAAATACCTCCTCATTTTCTGATTGATCAGCACTCCTTTGCACCCGCTTTTCAAGTTCTATCAGCTCATTCCTTAAAAGTTCAAAACGCTGGATTTTAGTTGATTCTGGGTCGTCAAAATCAATATTTGAAGCAGTTTGCTCAACAACTTCATTATCCTGTATGCAAGAAAGGAACATTAATCATGTAACTTTTGTTTGGGAAATTGCACATTTCCAATAACAAAATAGATATAAGCTCCTGAATCAAGTGACACAACGGCAACAAGGAATACTCTCATAATCAGAGAACCAAGAGCATACTTAATAATGATTCTCCACACTCAAAAGTAAAGTACATGCTCTTATGATATTTTTTGCATGCCATGTTGCTTAGCTGAGAACAGAGAGTGAAAGAGACAGCTATTCCATCTCCATTCAGCACCACATAAGGGGCAACAAGGTGGACTAGCAACCCCACTTAGTCAATAACTAATCGCCTAACTTTTCAAATCTGTATTTAAAAGGACAAAAAAAGAAGGAACAAAAAAAATATAATAGAGGGCTAATAAGGCAGCTACAGGGGATAAACAAACATACATGTTAATATGCATAAACATATTATCATGTGAATGCAAACAAATACTATTACGGTGGCAACTTCAACCTCATTACTCTAGTGATAAACGACCTTGTCCTAACCAGAAAATAAATATCAAAGTAGCAATATTGTTGTTAACTTTTGGTCAAAACAGTAAATTTGGGCCAGCAGTATATGCAACCTTTTTCAGATACAAGAATTCCAGTTAAAAGCTAACGCATTTGGCAATTAAATAGCATGATAGTGAATAAGCAAATGCATAAGCAATTAATGAATAGATCATTGTGAAAATGGGGCATACAGGTTCTTCCACGATCAACTCAGGATTGGACTTTCTGGTTGGACGGCGCATAAAGGAGCTCCACAATCCCCGAGAGTTACTGGAAGCTCCAAAAATAAATTTTTGAAATAAGATTTGCTTATCATTGAAATGCATTAAACCCAAAATAAAATAATATATATATATATATATATATATAGAGAGAGAGAGAGAGAGAGAGAGAGAGAGAGTAGGTCATCATGGAGTAATAAAAACTTAAGTTAAAGGAATGGTCAAGCAAATGTACAATAGCTAAAGCGACACACACACCTGTTGCCCCCATCAATCATCATGTTACCATTCTTTCTGTTTTTCCCTTTAAGGAACTGTTGCTGCTTGGTAATAGAAGACCGGGAGCGATTACCTTCCTGGATGACAAGCACACAAGTACAACTAAGACAAATGAGAATTCACAAAATTCTACGAGGACAAAAAGTCACATAACAAACGTATAAGTGCAAACCTAAGAAATGGAGGTTGGCATCAGATAGACTTTTTACAATTACAGTGCATTAGTTGGTAAAAAAGAAACTTAAGAGATAAAGTAGGTAAATTTGGGAAGGAAGCCAAACAACATAATCTAAAAATGCAGGCAAAAGCACCATCAGACTTGGCGGTTTTCATCCTCGCAATTTTCTATCTAATACATGAAATTATCTATAACTATAGGACACTTTGTAGGTAATTAACCTACATCATTTCTCGCAACATCAAGAAATGAAGACATCCACCTGTTAGTTATAACAAAACATGAAATAAACACAGAAAAGCTGAATAAATAGAAAGAACAAAAAACTGCGAAGTTCACCAACTTTCTATTAATAAATTAGTTGGATGGTGCACATACATCAGCTGTTGGTGGTCAAAACACACAATTGTCAGCAAGATATTACCATAAAATGAAGAAATACCTCCTTAAGGGAAGCTGCTTTGGTTCTAAAGGACGCCTCCAAAAATTCAGCCTCTTTCTTGAGCTTCCTTATCTTCTCAAGGTCAGAACAAGCAGCTTTTATATGCTCTTTTCCTGAGTTAGAACTTGACACATGCAAATCCTGAAGCAACTTCTCTAGTCTTATCACCGCTTCTTCAACACTCTCCAAGGCCTGACACCAAAGGCCATTTCCACTATATGATCAGAAGCATTCAACAAGTTCCAAATCAAAAGAATAAGCTTGACTACTGAGCCACAAAAGAACCTTTTTATAGTTTTCACCAGTAAGACCACAAATGAAATCAGAAACTTGTCATGTAGCTTAGCAGTTAAAGTGGGCCACGGCAATGACAAGGCTCAGAACTACCATCTATAATAATTTTACCATCGTGCAAATTTATTTGACACTGGAACTAAATAAGTCTAATTAATAATATCAATAAATCAACACAAAAAAAAAATGCAAATGCACAAATATACGTAAAGATCAAAGGCGCTGTGTATTACTTCAAAGTACTAAAAAATCTAGATGTCCCTATCAGTTCAGCATGGTGGTAAATCCACCCACATCCAAGAGTTTGTCTGGGTTCAAGCCCCAGAAGTATCCCTTATATTGTCCCCAAAAAAAAAGTATTAAAAATAATATCTTCAACACATAAATAGGAAGTATAGAGCCCTTGTGACAATTAATGCATGGTTAACCCAAAAATATATATGGAACAATACTGGCTTAAAATTTAACTAAAGAAGCATTAACTTAGTGCACTCATAATGAACATAACATAAAAGGGAATAAGCCAACCTTGTCAAAAGAATCCAATTCTTTCTCAGTTGGTGGACGAGTTCCAGATCTAGTCCTCTCAACAGTATTATCGGAATAGCTTTTCATCTTTTCATTCCTGCATCACATTTAAAAGGAGTAATCTCCAACTATTAAGTAATCAAAGTGAATGTTACGGCCAGAGAAAAAAAACACATAACTGACACAGCTCTTGGTAGGGGAGGGGGGATCCTTTGGTCGTAATAATTTTATTATAATACTAGAAATTATAAACGGAAACACTTGAGAGAGATACTTCTAATTATACAGTAAAATATAGCAGAGAGGGGAGAGAGAGAGAGAGAGAGAGAGAGAGAGAGGGTGATATAGAGACATTCACTTACTTCAATAAACCCCGTTCTTCCATACACTCCACTAATTTGTTGTGCCTAAACATTGAAGACAGGAAAAACTTCGTAATTTTTTTTTAAAATGAAGCTCTTTATGGTTCAATCATTATGCACCAAAAGTTCACATACCCTCTAGACAAGAATCTCGCTGCCTTAACATTAGAAGGGCTCTCCAGCCATTTACTGTATTTGATAAAACTCTGCATCCAATGAAGGCATACTTCTAGGACTTGGGGGATTGCTTCTGCATTGGGAGGTCCTTCCCATTTACTTTTATGCCCGTGAGACTGTTTAGGGGTGCCTGAATTGCCAGGATAAAATGAAAGCCAGTCCAGCTCTTCACAGACTACCTGGGGAATTTATGTATCATTAGATATCATATTTGAATTACAAAACATTATCCACAAGACGGTAAAGACAACACATGCTGACCTCTACATACAATTGATAGGAACTTATTGATGAAAGCTGAGGATAGTATAAGATGCTGCCCCCAATCAGGAACCTGCACATATTGAAATTACTAAATCCACAACCAAACCATAAAAATCAATTTCACACTTAAGAATTATCTGTCAAAAGAATCCAGGTATACCTAACAAAGCCTCCAAGTGGTTCATCTAAAACATCAAATCCATTTGCTGATAGAAAGGATTGAGAGCTTCTACCCAGGGCAATAAAGAATCCAAATATAGCCAGATCCCTCTCCAATACCTATACTAATTCAGTATTAGCTTCCCATAACAGCATCAACGTAGTACAGAACTGCAACCACATATACAGAAAGGCTTGAAAGCCCCAACTTATACAAGTAACCATCTATTATAGGTATCTTAACGATAGGGAATTTGCCACTCACTTTTTAGAAAATGATTTAAGCAATTTCATTATCTGGTTATTTTATTAGTTTCTTCACATTTGAGCCACATCTTCAGAAACTCTCCTATTATTTTTACTGGCCAACCTTAACATCCCTTAAAGGAACTCCTGAGTGGAGTATCAAGCATGCACTATATATTCACAAAATTTGACCATTAAGTCAACCGTTGTACATAAGAAGAAGATTCAAACAATTTCATTATCTGGTTCTTTCATTAATTTCTTTACATTTGAGCCACATCTTTAATATACTCTCCTATTATATTGACTGGCTAACCTTACCTTAACGTCTCTAAAAGGAACTCTTGAGTGGAGTATGAAGCATGCTCTAAATATTCAAAAGGTTTGACCATTAAGCCAAATCCTGTACATAACAAGATAATTCCGCTCAATACTAAAATATGAAAGAAATATAGTAGCTACGGCTGCCCAGAACTCCCCATTCCTCTGTTACTATCCCAAACATATCCTCATCAGAAACAGTTCTGTCATACCAATGGCACATACTGGTGAGTAAAATGTTTTTATAATGCATTTCCAACACAACTAATATAATTTTTTGGGGATGATAGGCCTGACATTCATGATTCACACTAATGCATTACACTCCTCATTTGCTTAACCTGCACGTATGTTACCTACAAATTTATTTCAATTGTGACCTTTGCAACCAAGCCACCTATAGAAAGGTGACAGGCCTACAAGTTGTCCCTGAGGTTATCCATAAGAAGGCTTAAGCACTTACCTCAATACTTTCAGAGGTTGTAAGTCTTGACCATATTCTCTCTCTATCTATAGCTCGCTGTAACTGCATCTGTACAAGATCCACCCAGAAAACAACTTCTTCTGAACCTCGATCATTTTTCACTCTACATGCTGCAGCTCGAGGACCAAAATGAACAAGGAACTCTCTGCGCAGACCAATATCCTTTACAGAAAGATAAGCCTGGCGTATAGGAATAAAATCAACCAGCATGTCCATCAATCTGCCGGTTATATCAGGAATTGTAGAAAAGAATTGAGGGCAAGATACTTTTGCTTGCCCAAGCTTTGTAATTGCGGCATTGCATGTCAGTGCAAGCATGAGAAGAGATATGTCACTTGTGTTGCTAGACCCCAAGAGTGTTCCCTTCCTAGACCTGGAAACAAATTGAATGCAGTATTAATTCCATGCCCTTCAAAGCCATCTAGCAAAATTATAACACACATTGAGCAATAGATGATAACATACACAATAGTTGCAGCAGTAAAGCGAGAGTCCCCTTCAAAATAATTGACAAAGGATGTTACCACCAATGGAACTTGCTCAGAGAAAAACCACTCATAAGCTTCAGGTTGCTTGGCTGATAGTTGATCCCGGATTAAGCTCTCAAGGGAAGCAGATTGTCGTAATAAACTGCACCAATGCATTAATTAAATATATTGAAAATCCTAAACCAAATAAATCATATTAATTAATCAATAAACAACAGAAGTTGGTAGAAGGTACACATCAGCTACAATTGAAACCTTTGCATGAATAAAACAGAATAACTGAAATTTCAAAGTCCTCTGTACAGTATGCCTGGCAAGCAGAGCACACATTTTCCACTGTCAAGTTAACATAGTAATCAACTTAATTTTCAATTAAAAATTATAGTTTGTTCCATTTACACAAACAGTCAATGCCATTAGAAAATAAGGTTGCTGGTGCTGATATTAAAAACTTTATGGTTGCTTTATTTCAATTGTCTGTACAAGAGATCAAATTATGTAAATTTTATCAAAGTGAGAAAAAGATGACAGGTCCTTAATTCAATACACAGGTAGAGACTCATAGTTAAAGCCCAAATTTAGAACATAAATCCTTATTAGAGGTATTGGTAACAAAGGAAATCACAGTTTAGATAGAGTAGCTAAGAAACTGATATGGCAAGCTTCTAGGTAGTCCAATTCCACACAAGAAGTCATAATTTTTGGAATACAAGTGATGCGATACCTCCTTTGGACAAAAACATTTATGTCTCTGTCTCTACCATCCCCTCGGGATGCAATCTCACTTGCAGCTTGCAATAAGGAATACACTGAAGCCTGAGAAATTATTTGTCTTCAGATAGGATCAGTGACAGTATAAAATACATTATGTATAAATGTATACATGCACACATATATTATTAATATACTTATATATTGAGAACTAATCAATCAGTACCTAGAACAATAACTAGCTCAAAAGGTTCACAAGTCAATACCCATTAAATAAGTCCTATGTAATAGATTTACAAGAAGCTTAAGCCAGTTACAAATATGATATAATGCAAGGAGATTTCATGATATATATATACAGTAATTTTGTGGATAAACCAACAACATGACTTTAGAAACACAAATTACTAATTCACCAAGAGAAATATGAAAGTCATACTATGAAAGACACATCCTGGAACTGAAGAACAAGTTCACTAACTCTATGAGGATGGAATAAACCGAGTAGGAAGGAACATGGAGTTTACTCATGCAAAATCTCCCCTACTAAAACTAAAGATTAGAGTGGTAGTGGTTTTCTTGCAACAATAAATATCCACAAATACAATTGTAGAAGAGTGCTTTCCTTTCCCAAAAATGATAGCAGCATGCAGTGAATCATAAGATGGTGCATACATGTTGAGACCTATACAGTGACATTAGGGAAGTTCATGACATCACCTGATAACACAGTGCTTTGACCCAGGCATTTTTATCTACACTAAGCCATGCAGTTGAAAACCAAGACAACTTTGAGAATGAACCCTGTTCCTTAATTGCTAACTCAAAAACCCTGGCTGCTTCATGTAAAAATTGGACCAGTCCATCGCTAGAATCTTCACCATTAAGTGATTGATTAAGTTTGACCTTTATGGCCTCAACATCCCTGCTGGTACTTGCTTGAGGACTCCCGTTGACTGTGACACCATCATCAGCAGATGCAAGCGGAACTAGGTTACCCATCCTCCTTGCTTTTCGAAAGTTTAGATAGCATTTCCTATGTCCCACTGCTCGGAGATTAAGACTGTAACCATTACTGTGCTCTAACAAAGCAAGTCTTATAAAGCATCTCTTCCTTGAATAACCCCAGTTACTTAATAGATGGTCCAAATCAACCACCTTATTTCCAGAATAATATATTCTAGCTGGCGTCCGCAAATGCCATGGATTTGAAGAGCTGCAAGGAGCAAGTACAGGAATAAGCAACAAATACATTCAACACTGCATAACTCTAATGGGTCAAGCCATAGTATTAGCTGCTACATTTTTCAGGTTTTCTATCACTCGTCATACGTCAACACAAAAACACTTAAAACCTACAAAACTTGTCACATTATTTACTTCCACTCTCAGACACAATACAGTTACACATAATGCACAGTGATTGCACAAAAACAGGCACTTGAAACCTAAAATTTTAGGACTCCATCTGTTACAAGGAACACATTCCCAATTAGTTTTCGTAAAAGACCAAACGAACAAAACGAAAAACAAAATTCTACAAATTTTTACATTATCTACTGTTTGGTTTACAAGAAAATGAATACTAAACACGAACAATCAACTAAAATCGAATTAGATTGAATGAAAGCAAATCAACATTCACTGATTTGCCATAATCTTATCTTCTTCTTTGCTTTCACTTTCAGCTTATCAGTAGCCAAACATTGAAATACAGAAATTCATAATTAAACAAAGAAATTCCAACGAGTAATCGTATATCATATCCTCAAGAACCCTACCGCAGTTTATTATAAATTAAATTACCTACGGCAACAAGAAAAGAGTAAGCTGTGAAGAGTTCAGGAAAAAAAGCGCCACAAAAAAAAATGTGGAAGAGAATTTGAGCACCTTGGTGATAGAAAGCCGTTGTGGCACAATTTAGTGGCCATGTACAAGCTAGGAGATAAAACTGGTCGGAAAATCTGCTTGGTTGGCGAGAAAAGCAGAGGGAAAATGGAGCGAAAAGTAAAGAAATTTTTTGGGGAAGGCTTAGGCTTTAGGCTTGGTGTGTGGGCTGTCTGGGTTGTTTGTGTACAGAGAAAGCAAGGGTGACGTGACAAAATGGAATTATCCGCATACGTGGAGAAGGGTGTGATCACATAACAGATTGTTGGCTCTCGTGGTCTCCCTCTCGAAATCTACACTGTAGAACAAGCAGAAGAGTATAGTGGGGATGGATTGTGTGTGCTCAATCTTATAGTAAGCAACCTGGTGCAGCCATGCGTAGGGCCCAACAGGCCTGTATTGGCTCAGCTCATCTTTTGATTATTTTGGGCCTTGTCCCCATTTAGGCTGCAAATTAAGTCAATTAATTAAGAGAGTGTGACGTATCTTCGTATCGAATTCAAACTTAACTATCGTTTATATAAAGGAAAAATTGTTTATATTTATGTTTCTCTCGTCAATGAAATATACAGCATAAAGATCTGGCAAATGTGGCGACTAAATGTTTGCTTTAACTAGCTAGATTTTGCAATTTATTTATTTATTGTAGAAAGTAGATATGGGTTCGTTTTCTATTAGTACACAAAGCCAAGCTTGCTTCTAGGCTGACAACAGCTTTGACAAAAAAGAACAAAGTTGACAAGAGCTTGTTCCATAGTCTTTGACCAAGTCAGGGAAAAATTTAAGCTACTTGAAACTACACTAAGTTACCAATTTAGACCTTAAACTCGAATTAGTTTGAATTAGTCAGTTTGATTTAGTCAATTCGAACCGGTTCGGTGGTTTTTAGCTGGAATTTAGGATAGTACGTATTTTAATCAAGGTGGAAGTCTATAAAATTAACCTAAATTGTATAGTAAAAACCTCATAGTCAGCCTTCAAGAGCTAGTTAGCACACCTCCTTTCTTGTTTGCGATACTTTCAATTCCCATGTGCTTACCCTCTAAAATTTCAACAAGTCATGGCAATTAAGTACGTAACAAACCCCACATCAATTAATTAAATTGATCATACCTCATCATGATCACGAGAAAATTTGGAATGTTACAGTAACAATTTACGTCTCAATAAAACGAGTTACAGTCACACCTACATATATAAAAATGAATTAATAAAATAAATGACATCTCAATCAATCACAACAAACAGCCTGTTAGTTGTAAACTTAATGGGATTTTAATTTAATTTCTTCTTAAAATATTAGAAGCCGGTGCCAATTGCTAGTATATATTTTCTCCTTAATTCTTATGTCAGTTCTGACCAAAAAATAATAATAATAATTCTTATGTCAGTTAATTAATTAAACTAAACCTAAAGTTGACATATTTGTTTACTTTTGGGCCGGTGTCGTCTCATTGGGGTAGATGAGTCGTGGTCAAAGTGATTCGTAATAGAGACGGCAAAGGTGGTGGGAAATAGATAGGCTACAACCGAACTAGCGAATCTAAAGTTCTAATTATAGCAAAGCAACCCTATCAATATGGTCATCAATTAGGAAACATCTTTTCCATCCTTCATTCTTTTTTGGCTTTATAAATGTCCATAAGATTTACGAAACTATCAGATTGCATCCTTAATTTTTTTTTGTCACTAGTGGTCCTCAAGGTTAGTATGTGCAATCACAAATAGTCCATGCCGTTAGGTTATGTAAAAAACTCTGTTAGTTTGCTGACGTGACATACATATATATTACAAAACATCCTTCAGTTTTACACACTTATCACAAATGGTCCCTACGAATTTTTTTTATTTTACAAAATTTAAAATTCATAAAATTTTGGGTTTATTTTAAAAATTATTTATAAATGAAAAAACCATTTATAGAAGGATTTTAATCTTAAGTACCATTTATGAACCCTAAACCTTTATTTTTTTTCATTTTTAAATTTTATGAATTTTAAATTATTTTTAAAAAAACTTCATTAGTTTGTTGGTGTGGCATATATATGGAGCCCACAACTACAATAATATAGTGTCACATGTATTTAAAATATAATAATTTTTTTAAAATAATTATAATTCATAAAATTTTAAAAAGAAAACAAAAATTTTATGAATTTTAAATTTAAAAAATTTAAAAATTTCGTAAGGACCATTTGTGATAGGTGTGTGAACCTCAATGATATTTTGTGATATACATATATGCCACGTCAGCAAACTAACGGAGTTTTTTGACGGAATCTAATGACAAAGACCATTTGTGATAATGCATACTAACCTTGAAGACCACGAATGACAAAAAAAAACATTAAGGATGCAATCTAATAGTTTTGTAAACCTTATATACGTTTTGTGATAATAAGCCTTCTTTTTTTTATAAAAAAAAATTATTGACTAGCAATGGAAGCACCTAATCCAAGTAATTCGGATTTAAACAAACCCACTGAAAAGGACTTGTGCATAATAGAGGTTTTGAACTCAGTACAGCCCTCACTCTATTCGACAATTCCTTAAAGCGTGTTTCTCACCTAATTTTAATTTAATAATAATAAATGAATAAATTATTCCCTAAAAACAATTAGGATAATGGGGTGATGTTAACCTGCCTACAGCTATCAAATTATTATATTCGGTGTATAATAGTATGGTTATGGAATATACAAATCAATCAAAATTTGGTTTAAAAAAAATTAATATACATGTCGAGCCTATCAATTTCAAAGGACGAAACTTATGAAAATATATGACCGCGACATTCATTTTATCGTCACATTGATCTTTCTATTAAAGAAATTTTAGAGGGTTTAAGTATGACTCCTTTGTTTCATTAAGATAATCCATGTAACGTCATGTCCATCTCATTGGCTTGGACCTTCAACCGTCTTTCAAGGCTTACCCTAAGCAAATAGAGAGTGAAGAGAAGAAAAATTTATTAAGCATACCAAGCAAATAGTTTGATGAGATTTTACCATAAAAAGTTAAACTTAAATATTTGTTATAAATTAATTACGACGAGATAGGTAAGGAGGCACACCTAAGTACTGTTCTTAATTTATACCTAGTAAATGGCCACCAACCTACAAACCCCATTACATGCAATGCAAGTTTAGATAAATCCTTTAAATTGAGTGCAAGTTTATTTTAAAGATTTTTTTTCAAAAAAAAAATTTAAGTGCAGCTTCGCATTTTCGAAGTCAAAGCAAGTGCACGATGAGTACCGACTATGCAGTCAAACATGAAGTACCAAAAAAAAGATGGCAATCTCGTAATTAAACGACAATTGAAGGGCAATCAATAACAAACTCGATTCTTGACTTCAGCTTTGTCTCTCCTTACCACATTCCTATATAAACCCCAAAATACGAAACCTCTCTTCAGTGTGTGCCCCAAAATATCAGGCACCCATGGCTTGCTCCTCCTCCTCCTCCCAACTACCATCGCCATCCACCACCGTCGATGAAACCAGCCCCGCGTCAATCTCCACCGTCCATACGGACATAATCCAGACCCACATCCTCACCCGCCTCGACGGCCCCACGCTTGCCTCCGCCGCCTCCACCTCCTCCCAACTCCACGCCCTCGCCTCCCACCACCCCCTCTGGGCCAACATCTGCCGCTCCACGTGGCCATCCACTTCAACGCCACGTGTCCGCCAAGTCATCTCCACGTTCCCCGATGGCGCCTTCTCCTTCTTTTCCGACTCCTTCCCGCTCCTCACCAACCTGGATGCCGCCGCAACAACTCTCGCGCCGAATCACGATCAGGACCGCCCGTGTGAATTAATCTCGGCCGTCGATATCTACCACCGCGACAAGCTCATTCTGAGCAAGGTCGTCGAGACGGAGACCGTGACCGGGTGGTTCCGGTGCTCGCCGTTCCGGATTGACCTGCTGGACCCCAAGGACGTGGTCCCCACCCAAATCAAGTACCCAGCGGGCCAGGAATCCGACACGTGTCGCGACCTCGGGGATGATCTGACCCTCAGCTGGATTCTGATGGACCCGATCGGACGGCGGGCGATGAACCTCTCGAGCCACAGGGCGGTGTCGGTGCAGCGGCACTGGCTGAGCGGGGAGGTGCACGCGCGGTTCGCGTCGATTCTTCCAGGGGAGAAGGGGTCGGCGTCGGAGCAGGTGCAGTGCGGGATCTTGGTCACGTGCGGGGAGTCGGAGGGAGGGGAGCTGCAGGTGAGGGAGGTGAGCTTGCAGGTGGAGGACATGGATGGAATGCATTTGAACGGGAGGGATGGTTTGGTAATTTTGCAGAGGGCGTTGGAGGGCAGAAAGGGAAGAAAGAAGAGCAGGAGAGAAGAGGAGGGAAAAAAGAGATACGAAGAGTATTTAGAGAGGAAGAAGGAAAGGAAAGAGAAGAAGCTGAGGACAGAAGGGACATTAGATACTTTGTGTGTGGCTTTTGGGGTATTGGGGTTTTTCGTCTTCTGGTTATTTATTCTGTGCAGATGAAACTCAAATTATTCTTCTTTTTTTCCTGTTATTTTCTTTCAGCGGTTTAGAAGAAGCATATTGATAGGAAATATATATATATATATATATAAACAAAAAAAGTGTTCACAGCTTTATTTCTCATCAAGAATATAGATGTAAAAGGGATGAGGCTGACACTCACACGACACGGTTTATGTTGTATCATGTATGAAGATTCATGTGGAAGGAAATCATGTTGTGTTTTGTGTCTTATTGTGTTTAAGCAAGATATCAAGTATTCAAATTCGATCAATCGAATTATTGTCATATGTAGACACATTGTGAATCACGTAAAATAGTAATTTAAGAGAAATTTAACTAATACATAAAATGAATTATGTTGTATTGTGTTTAAGTAAGATTATTGTAAGATATAAACTCATCGTGGATTATGTCAGGAAAATATCTCGTGTCACCAAATATAGCAACTTTAAGAGAAACTTCACTAATGCACAAAATAATTATGTTGATATCGTGTGCTCAAATTTGATGAATCGTATTATTGTTAGATGTAGGACTATGATGTGGATCATGTCAACAGGATATCTCACTTGTGAAGCAAAGCATCTGAAGACATCGAAAAAGGGCAAAACGACTCGCTTAACTAACTAATTAGCAACTACTACCTACTTGGGCATACAATTAAACTAAATTAAATTAAATTGAATTGAAAAATGTTGTGTTGTCGAGTCCTAGAAAGTGGCCATGACATGAGAGCGTGACTGCCCTTTCTGACGCGACAAGAAGCCACCAAGAAAACCGGTTTTGGGCGGTGGTTGTAAATTCACGGGGAAATGATTTAAGGAGGAGGAGAAGTGGTGATAAGTCTCTCTCAACTCTAAACTCTCTCATGTCTCATGTGTGTTTTCGGTTTGTCTTTTGGGGGCTTTTTTTAATAATTTTTTTTTAATTTTAATTTTATAATGGAGGCCCCTTGTTTTTTTTAGCAAAGCATATTATGTTTTTGTGGGTCTCAATTTGGGTTATTGTTTAGATGGGTCTCCCTAGCAGGTAACAGGCCAAGACGTAGGAAGAAAGTTTTATAATTGTCATGCTGCTCTGCTTCTATTGTTTGTGGCACAAGTCTGTAATCAGAGAGAAACTTCCATGTAACGGGTTTATACCCTTCTTTTCTCTGTCTCTCTCGTCACATGACAACGACCCACTTGTTGTATGTGCAACGAAATGGCCATTTAGTCATGGAAAATGAAATATTTTCTGCACTCTACATCAAAGCAATGAAATTTCAGTGTATGTATCCAACATAAGGAATTACAAGCATCGAAAAAGGAAGGCAAAAGAAGAAGGAACATGAATAGGGTAAAAAAAATATTTGAAATGCATGCTTACATAAACAAAAGCAACACATACATGTTCACATATTAGCTAAGCCCATCCTTCCATCATTCTTTATCCTTACCAAAATGTGTAGTGATTTTGGTATGTTTGCCAAAGTCCCATCAATTCATCCAATGCAAAATTCCATATGTTCTTACTTTGTAATACCCTGCTACGCTTCTAAATTGTTTTCGAGTATAGGATAATACAGCAAACTCAGATGAAGTTGATTTTCCTTTCTTCAGGCATTTCATTCTTCCTGCAAGTGCCTCCCAGTAAGTTAAATGTTTATGTAAGTGGATCAACTGTCCTTGGTCGGATCAGGAGGTCCTCTTGCAATTGGCATTCCGCCACCATAATTGACTTTCGGCTTTGCATAGTCCACAAAAATCACACGTCCATTCAGTGCCTGCCGGTATTTTAAATCTGTTATTTTGGGATACCTAAGATCAAAAGAATCAAATGGATAAAGGAATACAGAAGACAAGGATTTACCTTTCCATTCATCTCCTCTAGGGCTTTGTGGGCTTCATCTTCTGAAGCAAAGGTCACAAACCCAAATCCTTTTGATCTGTCAGAAACTCTGTCTGTTACAATTTGAGCTGCCAAAAAAAACAAAGGGTTTAAGCACCTAATGACAGAATTTAATCAGTTCAGAGACAGTTGCCTCAATATTCTTGCATGTGAAATATCCCACAAGTCACCTTCAATCACTTGACCATACTGAGAGAATGCTTCAGATAACCCCTTATCATTGGTGTAAAATGACAGTCCTACAAAATGGAGAGAAAAAGAAGAAACAATAATAACCCCCATTGAAAAAGTTAAGAAGATAGTAAAAAGAACAACTATGAACTCATATGTCATAACATGAAAATTTGGATGAGGGATCATTCTTTTTGATAGCTTGAGCAAAACTAAAGCAAAAAAAATCTTTTCTCAAACAAGCTTTACAGGTCAAATCATACAAGAACAAATTATCTCATGCAGAGAGTACAGAGTCAGAGAAGTAAGAAGTCACTCCCATAGCTTCTCATTAGAATAACAACATGATTGCTACTTAAAATTCACCATTCTGATGAGAAATGTTTGAAGTACATAACGAACTGTTAAATGATATGTTTTCTTATAAAACGTGAGATTAGCTTGAAACAGAGTATGTGTATGTTTTTAAGTGTGCGTGCGCACTCTGTTTCAATATATAATTTCTTTTTTCTTGTGGGTAAATAACACTGAAGAAGCATATCTCTATCTCTAACAGGCATTACTTCAAACACTTTGTCAACCTAGTTCAATTAATCATATATCACCACCAACGTTAGCCAAAAGATCATCTTCTTTCTTCTTCTATTGCGTGTTACGTGGAAAAGATAACCCACGCGGATTAATTTCAGTTTTTAGGTATTATATCTAATAAAGAAGAACAGATGATCAGAAATGGTAACAAAGCAGAGAGAGAGAGAGAGAGAGAGAGAGTATATATTACCGCCAACGAAAAGCTTAGTAGTTAATCCCCGGCAAGAGAATAGAAGAGCGGGAGGAATAAGGGAGGAATATGATAAACTAGGGCTTGACCTCACCAGTCTTCTAAGCATCGCCATACTCTGGTTCTGGTGCTACTCTTGTCTTACCAGAGAGAAACCAGAGGGAGAGAGAGAGAAGGAAGAAGAGGAAGGAAGGAGGGAGGGGGGAGGGGCGGCTGGTGCTTTCTGAAACAAAGTAATTTTAACGTTTACAGGGTTATTGGGTGGGCTGGATCCAATCCAAGTGACAGAAGAACCTGAAACCAAAAGAAGAAAGCTTTATAAAATCTTATAAACGACGTCGTTTTTATGTTCTCGATTTCGAGAGGCTTATTTGTAAAGAAAGCTTTTACAACATTCGTGTGTAGAGACAGATAACGATATTCGTGCACGTTGCACATCGATATACCATCATCAGACACCATCCACATGAGGGCACCATTGTCAAATTCTATCTTGTGTCTCACGAGAAACACTAACACAGTGCTGTCGCAGTGCAGCACCCTCTCACATCCGGGGTGGGATTACATATCAGCCCACTGTGATAGGGTGCTTCAATGCCGCAGGACTACCGAAGAACTCGTGTCTCACGGTAAGAAAGGATGGCCAGGCTATGGGAATTAAAAAAAGGAAGAAAAAGATTATTCATGTATACTGTGTACCTGCTACGCAGCAATAAAATAAATAAAATAATCCATAATCACAACGTCTTAACATAAGTTTGAATACAACTAATACAACCAAACCTCCTAAAGAACCAAAATTACTCCAAATTAAACATTGGAAATAAAAAGAGCAAAAAAAACTCAACTAAGTGTTACAAACATTAAATTCCAGGGGGAGATACATATGGATTAACAAACAGGCCAAGTGAGTGCCACCCTTGCAACCCTCCCAAGTCAGTAATTCCTCACGAAAGTTGACAAGCTTAGAGCGGAGAGAAGTTTTAGCGGATGTTACCCGTAAGCTGTTGTGCTGCCATTATTCTTGAGGACCAAAGTAGAATAACTATATACAGAACTTATTCTACATGACTTTGTACTCATATCAAATTTGCAGAGGAAGACCCCACTGGTTCCACTAACTAATCATGTATGGTGCACTTTCAGCAATGCTTGGTATAACATGTCGATGAATTGGTCGTCCTAACAGAATAACAACACACGAGTCAGCCAATAATTGAATAACACATTGAGGATGCTTATAACGTCGGAGGCCAAATGTACAATACAAGTAAAACATATTATCACTTTAAGATGCATCTATAGTTGATACACTGACTTCTTTTCTTGCTAGAAACTGATAACATATATACACTACTTCATCCTTTTTTTTTATTTTTAAAGCGACGATAATACCTGAACAGGAGACAAAAGATGAAAATACCTGAACCAGCATCAGCAGTGCTTCGCGAACTTTTTCTCTGTTAATAAGAGGCCCGTCATTGGGAGCCGGAGGCGCAGAATTAGGAGTTAAAGATGGTGGGGGCGTCGGTGGTGGAAAGGGTTGAAGCATTGGAGTACCATAAGGGCGTTGCAGATTCAGGGGAGGATGAAGTGCAGCAGCAGTTGGCACAGCTGAAGCAATAGGTGGTATAATCAACGAAGATGAGGATGCAGGGAGAGGGAAGAAAGAAGAGGGCTTTATAAGATTAGTGACTCGATTGTTGCTGGTGGTTAGATCAGAGGGGACATGCTGTGGGGTTGGTGTAGATGGGACTGAAAGGGAAAGGGGTGGTGGTTGTGGAGTTGGTGCAGGAGGTGAAACAGCACTGGGTGCATAGGAAGACGCTGGAACAGTTCCAGCAGAATGATAGGCCTGTCTTGAATTTGTTGGGTTTGTAGTATTACCTCCAATATTCATAGCTGCCTGCAGTAAGATTAGGGGAAAATATGTTCAGCCCTTATTGGAAACAAGCTACAGCGAGTAAAGAGATACTGAGTAAGGACAACACACAACACAAAACTACATCAGTCAAGTTTCTTAGAATACTTCTATCCCATAAAAATAAAAAAAAAGAAATGGTTTTTTAGAGAAACATTTTAGCCACAATCTGTAAAAACTAAAGCATCAGAAATAAGCTTTTCTTCATCTCCTGCACCTCCTTCTATCTCTAATACTTATAATTCCAATGTCCATTCTCAAACTTAATCTTACACCCACACTCTTTCTAATATTGGTATTGCTTCTGAATCATATTTTCATTATCCAGGCCTAAGAAAGAGAAAAACAAAATGTCCTCAAACTATAAAGAACTTCAAAGCATTGCTAAGTGTTTGGTATTTTCTAGGACCAATGGATATCTCAGAGTATAAGGATTAGAATTAAGTTCAGTCAACTGCAGAACAAATAGATTTTAGAGAGGCGAAAATAGCTCAGACTTGGGGTGAACTTCATCCAGACATGCCCAGTACCAAACAATGAGTTCTTTAGGCAATGCCTATGACCTTGAGAATTTGGCGTTCTTGAAATAAATTTAAAAGCATTTCAACCATAGGATTAAATACATATTTACAGATGATGCATAATGAAAATGAACCACAGTTCTCAACTTCAAAAGTTCTAGATGACACAAAAAAAATCAGATTGCCACCACATTCTCTGGGAAAGCCACTATGCATAAAATCATACCAGGTAGTTCACAAAGGAAGAATCTTCAGGGGCATCAGTGGCAGTAGAGGCATTCAAAGATGGCTCCAGTGGCCCCTCCATGACCAACATGGATGGGACTGCTTCAAGTTCTTCAAACTCACTACAATGTAACATGCAGAATGAAAATTAGATGTAACCCAACTAAGGATGCATCTCTTGATATGGCAGATAAAATGGCATATTATATTCCCAAAAGACAAAGCTTGTAACATAAAAATATTAGAAACTACATGACCTTGATAAGAAAAGAGAAACCATACCAAAGAAGTTATCTAACAAAGAGATATTACCCCTCCTATCACATTTCCATTTTCGGGAAATATATTATATAAGTTATTTAACATCACACCAATTCATGCATAAGCTAAATTTATATGGCTAAAATTGAAGAAAATAATTCCGAATCTAACACAGAAAGTAAATAGAAAATGTATAATGCAATTGGAACTATGACCATTCCAGTTTCAAAACTTATACAAGGGGGAAATTGGGGGAATAACCTTTTGCTTGAAGCTACTTTGGACTTTGGAGGAACCTTTGAGTATGCATTAAGGATCCTGTAAAAAAGAGAAAACATTAGAATACAAATTTGTAAATGTGGCTTATTTACATCACCATAGCTGCATGCAGACACTGATCTACGTATCCAGTAATTTAAAATCCCCATTTTACTGCTTTAGATCCCATGATATGCTATGTGTTTGTATGCATATCATATGCATGCATCTGGGACACATGTATATTCTATATGTAAAATTCCTAAAGTTGCTAATGTCAAACTCTTGTAACTGCAAATCTCATGGGCAAGTATTAACCAAAAATAAATAAATCCTTTATGTGGTATTACCATCAGCCATGTGCAATTGGATGTTTTGAACTCTATAGTAAACTAACAACAAACAGTTTACAAACAAACTGGGAAGTATAAAAAGGATAAGAAAGATATTGCACCTAGTAAAGAGATTTGCAACTTCCTCACATTCACGGGGATTATAAAACCAAATTCCATTAACTTCTTGGGCTGCATTCCTATACAACAAATATGGAACTTGTACTTCATACTCAAAATCTCCCAAGAGATTCTCCACTAGGTTATCTGTACAATATAAAACCACATATTAATGTAAAATTAATACCTACAAGGGCATATGCATAGTTGTATGTAAATGCATGCACAACATATTTTACTAACATAACTAGAGGAGATATTGTAAGAAGATAGTATGTACACAATTTCCTAATAAGAATATGCTCATAAACGAAAGAGAATGACCTTATGAAAAGAAAAAACACTCATTTTAAAACCATCTAGAAATTTAACCACTTAGTTCCATCTTCTTTTCTGGGATAAGAAACAAAGTTTAGACCCTAGTTCATAGGTTAGACAAGAAGCTAAAAGTAGATTTCTTGTGACAGGCAACCAGTTACCTCTGAACTTTCACTCTCAATTTCTCATACTGATTTTATTTTCTATGGCACTTAAAAAACAAGCTCCATCTTTTATCAACTTTGTGACACTTTTGACTTTACATTGATCTATTTCTCAAATTTGCATGAACATGAATATCATGCCACTTTGAAGGGACCAAATATCCCAAGATTCTCATCAACTGATATGAATCAATCTTGAGAATTATCCATAGATCAGTGACGTGCTTGAACCATAAGTTTCGCTTATTTATATTTTTTGAGGAAGCAGACTAAACCAGTTATTTTTATTTCTTATCTTCGCTTAAAAGACTGTCCAAAGAAACATTTAATCACAGCAGAATAAATGGTAATGATGATTGATACAAACAGTAGCAAACCAGCAATTCAGATAAAGATTTGACCATAGTGGTAAAATGCGCTACAATACTGTGATACCAAATGGAAATCAATAAAGAGCATACCTCAAATACAAACTACAGTGACCAGTAAGAATCAGTACCTGTATTACGCCGATTCATTACAATGAACTGGAACCGTGGTTGAGTATTCCTTAACAATACAATAGTATCAATATTAGGTAAGTCAACCATCTTTATGAATAAACAAAATACTAGTTCCTTGATAATACAACAGTTTAAGACTAGGTGAGCCAATCATCAATATAGATAAACACAACCCATAGAAAAATTCAATCAAAATTTTAAAGGAACAAAATGCAAGCTTACTACCAAAACAGATACAAAACAATCACCCAAAAAAGAATTATTTACCTTTTAACAACAAAGAGAGACCCTTCAACATCCTTGCGACTCTGCAAAAACCCAAACATATTTTGAACACTATTAGATATTACTGTAACCAGTAGAATAAGTCAACTATTAATTTGGTTTAATTCTGAAAACCCTTGCATCTTCTTATGTTTCACTTAATTTTCTCGGCAACCAAGCGGAGAAGTGAAATACGATTGAGAAACGAACCCATTGATTGCTCTCGATGTTGAATTCGTAGAAGGTTACATGCGCGGCCGTAATCAGAATCTCTTCGATGAAGGGATCGATTCTCTGCAGCACTGTGAGATTGAGCATTTTGGTGCTTTGCTGATCGAGATTTGGCATCAATTTCCCCGTCTGAGACATTTTTGATTGGCGGAGAACAACCTTAAACCCTAGAGGTGATTTCCCTTTGAATTTTCCGTTTTATTTTCCCGGGAAAGTTACAGAAGCTAAGGGAATGGAGAGAGAGGGAGAGAGAGGGGGGGGAGAGAGAGAGAGAGAGAGGGTAAGCGTGTGATGGAAGAACACTGTTCCAATGGAGTTACACAGATTTGCTGCGCCTACTTGTTATTGTCAAATTACAATAATGTCCTCACCATCTCAGTTATGTTGTGGGCTTCGAGGCCCATTTTGTCAGACACATGCGGACCATAGTCCAATGTCTCCAAAAAGACAACAGAAAAAATAAAAATAAAAGTCTAACTTTGTAGATTCTTGTGATCAACCTATAAAAAACCTAGACGGTAGAATCTACTTATATATTTAATTAATGCAATTTAATAATCGAAATTAAAAATATATAATTAATTCTTAATTTAAATATTTATTGAAAAAGTGTTAAACCTAACTTTTTAGTTAAAACCACAATCATTGTGTCATTTTATTTGAATTAATTAATTTTAAAAATTATTTTAAATTGGTATTCAAATTTCGAAAACTAAACAAACTCATATCTAAATTTGTGAAAATCATACATCTAAACCCTATCATGGTGCCATTATTTTTTTATTTTTTTATAATTAACTGCATAGAACCTTCAGAATTTGGAAAGTCGTTTCAAATCGGTATCCGAACTTCAAACATCCATATCCAAATTCACAAAAACCTTACACTTAAACTTCTGTTAGCATCTTTTAACAATTATTTTAAATACTAATGTTAAGACCACACTCTTTAGTTTTTTGTGCACTGAATATGATGAGAAAAGCAGGAAATATATTTGGTAGGAAATTAATGCTGAGATTGTTGATTTTGGGGTTCAAATATCCTCTCTTCTTCTTCACAAAATCCTCAATCAATTGGCCCGGTTTGATATCCTACTAAAAAAAGAAAAAGAAAATTATGATTCTTTTTAAAAACATGAGTTTTCAAATAGTGATTTTAAAATCTAAAAACTTGTTTGTAATGAACTCTAAACTATTTTTAAGATCTAAAAAGATTGAAATTAAAATAAAAAAATCAGAAACCCTACATTTTCATTTTTAAAAATAGGCCTACTAAACGGATTTTTGTGGCTTTAGACTTAAAATATGTTTTTAAGTTTATAAAATTAGATCAAAGTAGGATACTAGGCCCTTACTTACCCATACCGTTTTTTTTTTCTGTAACAAAGTAGGGTTCAGATTGTTGTAATTTTTTTTTTTTCCAAATACAATAAGAAAAATAAATAAATAGAACTGATTATATATTGAATGGTTTTAATTGTTTAGGATTCTCAAACAAACAAAAAAACCTAAATCCAAGGAAGCTGCTGGTTCTATGTTTAATTGGAGGCCTCATTGAAGTGTAGCACCAGAAACAAACTCTGTCACTTGGGTTCTGAAAGCTCCATCAGTTGAAGATGAAGAAATCAGTGCAAGTCTATATCACTTCGGTTCCGAAAGCATGCCGCCAGAGGAACTATCTCGATGCCGTCGGCAATACTTCTACTTCTCCTGCTCCTGCAACTCGAACAACTCTTATAATGGCGCCTCTATCCGACAACTCCATGGCCAACAAGCTCTACCCCTCCCGCGGCAACCCCTGCCTTGATCTGTTTTACAACGCCAAACCACACGACGCCTACCCCGTTCATTCCCTCCAGTATCTGAACCAACTGCTGCCGACGGCATGGGCTCACAATCCCACAACCACCTTCAAGCTCATCTGCAACCTACTAGACCACCGTCCTCCCTATTGCAAAAACTACAAAGAGGGTTTCGACACGGCGGCGTTTTGGCTCCACCACAACCACCCCAAGACCCTGGCCTGCAACCTCCCGTCCATCGCCGGCTCCTTCGGCAGTTTAGAAACCGCTCTGGATATTCTATCCCTGATCCTACAACGCCATGACCGCCGCCTCCATCTCTCTGTCCACTCAAAGGACAGAAGAACCACCGGGGTCCCCCGGAGCGGACAGAAGTTCCTCGCCTACCTCGACAGGCACCAGAGCGACCCAGATTATCGGTTCTTACACGACTGCGTTTCGGATCTGTTCGCAGATTGCTTGAAGTTCGACATACAAAATTTCAACAAACACCATCAGCAACAGCAGCAGAGTATCAATGACGGCGATGAGGGCGAGACATCTACTGAGCGCTTGGAGATAACCTCGGCAGCGAAGTTTTGTCCTGACTTCGACTCCCCCTTCAACCGCGCCACCTTGCTCTGCGAGAGCATCGCCAAGAAGGTTTTCCCGCGAGAATCGTACCCGGAGTACCAAGGCATTGAGGAGGCGGATTACGCCGACAGAGTCCGGCGGCGGCTGAGGGAGGAGGTTTTGGTGCCCTTGAGGAAGCCCTTGATGCCCCCCAACTATTCCACACTTGTCAACTGGTCGGGTTATAATCCGGACCCCGAGCCCAAGCCCAAGACCAAGACCTGTGCGGTGGAGAAGTATTTGGAGAAAGTGAAAGCAGCAGCCGCCGCCGGCGAGTTGAAGATTAAGGCTTGTGCTTTGCTTCCACATCACATAGCACGCTATGTGAAGAAGGAGGATTTGGGTGAAGTGGCCGAGCTTCAGTGGAAGGCAATGGTGGAGCACATGAAAAAGCAGGGCAAGTTCAAAAACTGCTTGGCTGTATATGACAACTGGTTAAGCTTAAAGGCAGACTGCGGAGATGAAAAAGTGGCGATGGGGGCGGCTTTGGCAGTGATGATCTCTGAGCTGAGTGAAGAGCCATGGAAAGGAAAGTTGATGAATTGCAGTGTAAATACGCGGCTGCATTCGTTAAACGGCCTCGATAATCTCAAGGCCAAGCTGGAGTTGGCGTTGAGGATGGAGATGGAGTACGAGGAGCGGCGGGTTGATTTTGAGAAGGTGTTTGATTTGGTTTTGGAGGTTGCAGTGAAGAATGATTTGAAGCCGGAGCAGATGATCAGGAGGGTGGTCGTGTTCTCTAGCGAGAATGACTTTGATGGGTGCTGGAAGACAGCGTATGAGGAGATACAGAGAAAGTTCAAAGACAAAGGGTACGGCGATGTGGTGCCACAGATTGTGTTTTGGAATTTGAGAAGGTGTTCGACTGATGCAGATGTAGCTTCTGCACAGCAGGAAGGGCTGGAGATGTTGAGTGGCTTCAATGACAATTTGGTCAGGTCCTTCTTGGACAATGACGGCAAAATTAAATTTGGCCCTTACCATGTCAACATGGAAAGAGCCATCTCTTACCCCAGATATCAAAATCTAGTGGTTGTGGACTAAATCTCTGATGATCGTCACCATGGTATGTTTTAATTTAGTTGCTTCATATAGCTTAGACTAGCTAGACTTTTAGTTTGTGTGAATTGGGTAGAGGTGCGCCCGTTGCCCCTGATTTTATTCAAGACGTCCTTATAGTCAAGTTTTGTGCCCCCCCATTGTCAAGGTTTGATTCATAGACCGTATAGAAGTTCCAAAATTCAGTTCTTCTGGAGTAGACTTTGGAGAATTGGAATAAAACTAATGGCAACTGATGTTTAATGTTTAATATAAGTTGAAAATTTAAGAGACAAGGAAAAGAAAAACCAGTTGACAAAAGGATGCATGTAGAGAAAGAACAGTAAATTCAATTACAATATTTTTTCCACTTGCATTAGACAAAGTAAATTACATGAGCTACAACCAAATTCACACGACAATTGAAAAAGCACTTATGCAGAAAAGCACCAAAACAGAATCACAAACAGCGTTCACAGTCATTTTTGAAGAGCTTTTCCCCTTCCATATCTTGTCTCAATGCTTTCGGAGAGCCACAGCAGACAGCAGAATCAAGAACATGAAGGAAACAACAGTAACAAACGAAGCCACCACAACCCATCTAACTTTCTGACAGAAATCACCAAACTGGTTGCAGATGGCAAGCCAATTGGAGCTTGAATTGCCATTGAATAGACTATAGGTATGTTACTTAGCTAAATTGTCAATATGGCACCACGCATTTAAATAAATAGTTCATTTAATCAAACAAATCAAATTGACGGTTTAACAAAGTAACATGCAAGAGCACAAAATAAAAAATAAAAAGATTTTTGATATACATAAGTATTCATTGAGGGGTTTGTCAAGAGGAATTGAGCTAATGATATGTTGGAGGAGCCCAAAAGGGTTCTAGGAAAAAGAAACTGCCAAATAATTGGAGGCCAAGTAAGGTTGACTGATTGAGTGGAGCACAAGAAACAAAATCCACAAATTCATTGAAATAAATAATAAGAGTCTCGCTAAGCTAAGGGAGGGGCTTGGATATTGGGATTTCGTGAATTTGAGTATGAATTTGAAATGACCTCTAAAAATTTGGGGGATTTTATATAGTTGATCCAAATAAATAATAAGGTTTTTTAGGTTTTAGACATAAAAAATTTTTCACTTTTGGAAAAAGCCAAAGCTTTTTCAAAAAAGACAAAAAAACCGCTCAACTTTCAAATCAAAGACATGCAAATGTATTGAATTCCTTAGGAAATCTAAAAATAAATAAGGGCATTTTTGTCCATTTTTGCTTCTTTTAAAATTTTTCTCTCTCCTTTTGCTTTTTCTAAAATGTCCCTAAATAATATCAGTTCCGAAGCACAAAATTCAAGGAAGATGAAGAAACCGGTGCAAGTGTATGTCACTTCGGTTCTGAAAGCATGCCGGAAGAACAATCTCAATGTCTTCGGCAACACTTCTTCTTCTTCTTCGCCTTCGCCTCCACAACTGAACATCAAAAGAGTAGCAGCTCCTCCTCCTCCTCCTCCTCCTTCTGTCGCTCTTCCACAACTCCCAAGATATAAACCTAAGTGCGACATGACCAGCGAGCTCTTCTCTTCCTACGGTAACCCTTGCCTTGATCTGTTTCACAACGTCTTACCAGACGGATACATGGAATTCCACTTTCGTGATATCATAATGCCGTGCTCCGAAACCGACATGTATCTGAAGCAACTGCCGGGTCCTTCGGAAGTTTAAAAACCGCTCTGGATATTCTATTACAGATCCTGGAAGGCCAAGAACGCTTCTTCCATCTCGATCTCTACTCGGAGATCGAAAAGCCCCCCGGCTTGGCTTCTTTCAGTCTAGAATTAATGACTATCCCAAAATCATGAAAGAAACTTTCAAGGATATGTATGCGGATATGTCTGCAGCTTATCTCGTGGAGTGAAAGAAAGAAGATAAATATTTCATCATTCAGCTGTGCAAGGATGAAGTACAGCAAATGATGAAGATTTCTCTACATCATCCCTTAAGAAACTGATACGAAAGGCTTGAATTACACAATTTTACCATAACAACTTGGTTTTGAAGCAGAGTATGTGAAGCCCCTTATACTGACGTCTCCTGGCAAGGACCTAGCATTTCCATATACAGTTTTTTAGTCTTAATACTACATAATATATCACTCAACACTCAGAAATTTAAATATTTGACACAGATGACAAACTAGAACATCTGAAAGCTTTGGTTTGATTTGAGATCACATTCAACGCATTCATTCCTATGTTTTCTTGTTACCCCAAATGATGAAAATCTTCTTGTAAATTAGCCATTTTGACTAACCATTATTTTCCCCTTACATAACACAACAAAATAACCACAATCATGATCGAATCCCATCACTCATTGTCACTGCTTAACTATACAATCAACATATTGATACCAAATGAAGAAGAAGAGGAGGGGGACTTAGATATTATAAGAAAAACAAATAAAGGATAACAAAAGCTCCCCTAACTCTATTATCAAATGCCAAGTTCTAAAGATTATTATATGTATCCCAACATCAACACAATTGAAGAAACAATATATCTCCCAAAAAAAAAAAAAAAAAAAAAAAAAAAAAAAAAAAAAAAAAAAAATCTCTCATCAACAGGGCTGAGAAATATAGCTCCATCTTTGGTTTGAAGGACCAAAGTGTTCGACAATGACTCTCTTTCACTAAGCAGAAAAGCCTAATAAGTGCAACGTAACTTGTATTGTATCAAGCACATTCTCATGCTGGATCTCTCAGTGTTTCTAGGCAATACATATCCAAATTTACAAAACTCAGCTCAAGAATTCAACAAATATATGCAAGAATTCAAAATCCAAAATGAATTCATTTTCTGACCAAAAAGAAAAATGAAATCATTTGAAACGACAGAGGATGGATGTGCTTGGTTGATTGGCAGTTCCAGGTTTGTAGTTGACATTGTAGCGCCATGGAAGGATGTATTATTGACAAGTAATAGTTCTTTAGTTTGTATTCTTTACACTTCATCCTGCATTGTTATATGCAAATCATCAATACATCAACAGGTGCAGTCAAAGCAAATACAAAGCAATGGGATCCAATGCACAAAATCACAAGCTTAGCAGTATTCTAGAAGATTAGGAAACGGCTAGTCATATATCCATCATACACATGTCATCATGTCCATATTCTTTGTAACTAATTCCATTCCAAATGATTCCTTTTTTTTTGTATATAAACAATACTGTTTTCACAAGAGTGAGAAATACAATAGAAATATTCAACCATTTCTAGTCTTTCTTTTTCTCCATTCTTCATTCTTCACAGTTTATGTGGCTATTGGTGAATTTTTATATTGGAAAGATGTCACACCTAAATAGCTTAAGAAAATAAAAGGCTAATGAAGGATGTAGGGGACCTTTTTTTTCCTGCAACTAATGGGCTGGGCTGCTGCAAAAGGCAGACTGAGGAGATTGCCCCTTTTTGTTTAGGTTTGAAAATTAAGCCCCAAAATACCTCGAAAGGGCAGCAAAACCTTAAGAGATATTTTGGATAATCTTCACCAACGAGAATAATGGTGACTTGCTGATAGTTTTGGCATGCTTACAGATGGTCCTTTTAGCTCAGCATGAGTGGCATGTGGCATGGGAGCAAAACCAACATGAGTTTAGCATTAAGAGAGAGATTAGGCTTGGTTTATGAGAAAAGAAAGTGTTTAAGTAAGGAATGAGGTGTTTTGTGAGGAATTTGACTAGGGAAAGAGGAAAAAGAAAGGCAGAGTTCTTCTGGCAGCTGCCAGAAAAAAAAATTGGAGAAGAAGATGAACAGTGCACGAGTTTGTTGAGTTTTTGCAAGTTAGAGAGAAAGCTTGCTCTCTGCAAGTTGTGGGTTGTCTCTGTTGGGTAAGGGAAGGCTCAATTTATAGTTGCTGGAAATCACCATTTTTCAAGAAACCCTAATAGCTTCTACTTATTTTGGCTAAGTTTTTTCTTCCTTTCTCCTCCTCTTCTATGACTTCCCTTTCTTGGCAAAGATTGCTTCTGTCTATTTACATGAATTCAGGGGATTTGGGGGCTCAACATCCTCCTTTCCCGCAGCTGTGCAGTGGGAGCTTCCACTCTTGGTTTGCTGTTTTTTCTTATTTCCTTTCCTCTGTTTTAACCAAATCTGGCGAAGGAAAGGAAGTGAAGATGCATACTGGTCCAAGGGATGCTTCTGACAGCATGCGGGATAGTACTCATCGATTCTTTGGATGTCTCTGGCTTGGGACTTGTTTCTTCAAACAAAAGCTGAGGTTTTTGTGGACTATTTTAGGATTTTTATATGGGCCAAGGTGGTTTTCTAAGCAAAGGGTTTTTATTAAACATTGGGCTTCTTAGTTTAGGCTTTATTTTGGTTGGGTTGTTTTGCTTGGGTATTGGGTTATTTTTTTCTCTTGTGCTTACCCATATGTTTGGGCCTAAGAAATGGGCTTGAGCCTCGAGGCTCCCAAGTAACTCGAGACTTTTCATTTCCCGGCCCATCAATGAGCCTCATGTTGATTTATTACCATCCATGCCACAACTCACTCAAGCAAGCCCCGGGTTTTTTGAGTGGCTTGGGCCCACCTAGGCTTGTAGCGTGGTTGGGTGCGAGATAATGGCATGGCATGTTGCTCAGCATATTTTAATTTATCGCCCTTGGGAAGGATTGTTTTAATTTTAGCATGAGTTAATCATATTTTTATCGCGAATCATAGCATGATAATTTATTTATTTAGCGCGGCATGTGGATTATAACTCGCATGTGATAGACCTTTTTTTTCTTTTTCCTTATGGAATATTGTATTGGGCTGATAATTGCTCGGGCCCAATCCATGGATTTTTTGGGCCTCAACAAAGGACAATCAACCGACATTATTTCCACTCCCACTGAATTTAATAAAAGCAATGGCATCTTCTACGTTGCGATCATTCATGCAATGAAAGACTAATTTTGCATCTTCAGTTACCTCACACTTTGAATATGCCGAGATTATTACATTACAAACTGAAACATGACTTCCATATCCTGATTTAATTGTCAAGCCATGTATCTGTTTTATGTTTCCCAAGTTCTAAATTCATTTCATGACCGCAAGCTGAAACTGCACTAGTAAATGAGACATGATCTAACCCATCCCTTCTCCCACCATCTCAATAAAGACAAAAATCGCCTCTAGCTCATGATTTCCTTCTTGAGAGTAACATGATAGTATTGCATTCCATGAAACCAGATCCTCATTCGCCATTTCATCAAACACATTCCTAGCTTCTATTAACCGCCTCTACCTCGAATACATACTTATCAAAAAACTTCACCATCTAAACCAAACTTAAATATAAGAGAATGCAGTTGTAATCCAAATAGAAAATCTTCATGATCCGTACAAAAAGCAAGAATCGTAGTATAAGTCACTGGATAAAAAACAACTCCATTAAAATTCATCCTAAGAGCAAAATTCAATGCACCCTCACTTGTTCGAAACCCCGAAAGAATAGTATTCCAAGAAAATATATCAGTATAGCACATAGTCTCAAAGATAAGTAAGGGACCATTCAACTGTCCAGCTTTAGTGTACACACTCATCAAAGAATTTGGAACCGTAGTATACGAAGCAAACCCAGAAGAATTGCGAACCCGTGAATTTGGAATCCGGGTTTGGGGTCCCCTTGACAGGCCTTGATAGCAATGGTAACGGTATTTTCATCGATGTTATGAGACAAATCTAGTTGAAGTTGATTCCAGAACATGTCAAGGTCTCTAAGGGTAACAGTAACTTCATCATGTTCGTTTCTCTGTCTCTTCATTTCACTCGCGCACCACATTCCTCTGCAAGTGCAAACAACGTCTGTCTTCATTTGGAACAAAAAGGAGGCGGCCAGACCCGCCCAGGCCACCTAGGTGCCGCCTAGACCCACCAGCGCCGCCTAGACCCGCCCAGGCCGCCTAGGCGCCTCCTAGATCCGCTCAGGCCGCCTAGGCACCACCTAGATCAGCCCAGGCGGCCTAGGAGCGGCTAGATCCGCCTAGGCCGCCTAACTCCCTTATAGCATCAGAGTTGTTATCTTAGTGGAGATTTCAATAGCTGAATGACATTTGATGGTTTTCATAAAGAGAGTCCAATCCAATCCAATGAACAGAGCAGCCGAATTGAAGGAAAAAAAAATCGAAGCTTGAGTTGAGAGAGAGAGAGAGAGGCTCAAGACAGAGTCTTTGAAGCTTCGAAATGGCTGTGACTGGGAGTGCAAGCTTCGCGTTCGTTGTGTAATATATGTCACGCGTATAGCCGCTCGGCTATACCTTATAATATTTGAATATATTGAAAGAGTATAGCTGTGAATAATATATTTAAATAGTATAGCCGCGTGTCGATACCTTTAAAATATTTGAATATATTCGAAGAGTATAGCCGCACGGATATACCATTAAAATAATATATTCAAATCGTATAGCCGCGCGGCTATACGATTTAAATATACTATTTTGTCATGTTATTTTAAAATACCACTTTAGCCAATTAGGATAGAGTTATTTCTTCAAGTATTTTTATTTTTATTTTTTATACCAATGATATTGGGGAATGAGAATTTAATTTCTTTACGATACCTCCCATTCTAATGAATTCCAGCTATTAGTCCATTAGGCCAGAATAAAAAATGGATTTTATTTATAAGAAATAATACGGGTTAAACCCATAAATACAACAAAATATAGGGGTCCACCAACATTTTGGGGATAAAAGAATCTTGAATTTCATAGTATAAAATTGCTTGTGTAAGAATTTACTTTCTAAAATGTATCCATCGTAATTATGAACTAAACCCAATGATAGCCTTTTTCTCATTGCACTTGACAACCTTGCTCTTCTGCCATGAGATATATCAGTTCGCGTTGTATTCTCTGTAGATGAAAAATTGGATACAAAATAGTCTAATGAGACAACAAAGAGAAGAGTTTTGAAATAAATTGAAGGTATCTGAGGTCATATGGCATTGATATATATATACGAACTATTCTAAATGAGATTTCAAACAACGTGTTAGATGTGAAGTAGCATCTCAATCTTACATATACCATACCCATGTGCACCTGAAATTCCCAATGTTAAGAGGGGGGAAAAGTGCAATACCTCCCTTGTATCTCGCAAGCGTAGGAGATCCAACCTTTTAGGAGGACGCCAGTTTGATAAAGAAGCAAGTTGCATCCAATCATACATTAATACCGGCAATCACAACCCACAATATACTCAATTTTAATAAAGAGAAATATAAAGTTACCTAGAAGCTGAAACACTCAGGATCTTGTAGTGAAGGCATCAGTGCTTCCACGTCGAGAAGTCTCTCAAGTCGTCTTCGATAAGTAAAGAGATACTATAATACATAGGTCACATAGGTACACTGAACACAAGAACAGGGGAAGAAACCATTCTTATGTACACTGGCATTACATATAAATAAGATATGTTGATCTAGAGATAAAGATCCTCCCCAAATGTTCCAAGCAGAAGCTTCCTAAAGATGAAATCTGAATATGACTGACATTTCAGTGGAACAAAAGGTTTCACCTAATAAACTAATCTTTTATTTCCAACCATTACATTTGACCACCAAATTGAAACATGCAATCTCAATCTGGCAGTAATATTCACCCAAAATAATGGAAAATTTGATTCAGGATATTCTTATAGGTCATCCATATACCTATTATAGAGGACTAAGATATTTAACTTATGGAGATAACCCATTTAAAAACAAACAAAAAAGAAGGTAAATTCTGAGTTCATTCAATTGATGTCATTCCTGAGCATTTTGCCTTGACCTGCTGCTCTTTTACCCCGCCCTATCCATAACCGAGCATACTCTGCTGCATTATTTGTCAATTCCTGCAACTGGACAGGTATTGAAGTTAAGCCATATAGGCGCAACCAATATGAGGGGGAAAAACATGGAAGAACTTTGTCCTTCATCTTCCTACAGTGATGCATGTTACACTTCAGGCTATTAATACATTAGCTACAGGGCCCTTTAGCAATGACATTATTAGACTTAATTCAGTGACAACTATAATACATTTGAAGATATACAACCAAATTCCATTAGGTCACTTGTCACATGTAAAATAATATGCCTCATCCACAACACTTTAAGCTCTGATTATTGCACTCAAGTTTTGCCAATTGAAGTTGAAAACTACGCAACTTTGCAGCTAGAAAAATGTGTGACCAATTTATTAATATAAAAAAAAAAATTTTAAAACTCAAAAGCATTGTTAATTAAGCACCAGATCAAGTTTAACTCAAGCTTCTTACTATTCTCTACAACAAAAAATTTAAAATATATATATAAGAGAAAAGAGCACACTCCAATAAAGAGATTACAGCAAACCAAATTGTCATGAACTTACGTCTGCCCTCTCTCTAGAGCCTTCTGGTGGATATATGTCATGTACCAATACGGTACCTGAAGATCACATCAAAAGACAAAAATATTGAACAAGAGCAGTAACTAAAGATCAAATGAATGGCTAGACATCTCATAAGACAACTCACCCATCTTGGTCCCAAGATCGAATTATATGAAACCATCAGCAACTTTCAAGAAGAGCACCTGCGATAATTGGGCCAGTCACTAATCCAAGTTTGATCAAGGAAGAGTGGCATCATTGGCCATATTTCAGAGAAATATCCTGAGCATCACCAATTGCACTCAAGACACTACCAAATGTGTAATTGTTTGGCTTCGACTCCATAGTTGCTACCAAGAATGTTTTTAGTGCATCTTGACACAACCCGTTCTAAGCATACCCAGAAATCAAAGCATTCCACGATATGATTTCTCTACAGTTTAACTCCTCAAAAACTTTGATGGAGTCATGAATGGAATCAAACTTAGTATACATGGTGATCAAGCTGTTGCAAACATTATGCTTTGATAAAAAGCCAGTCTTTATGCAAAACCCATGAATCATTTCGCCTTCCTCCACCAACTTCCTAATTGATATAGCATGGATTAGTCCAACAAATGTAACATCATTTGGATATACTCCATCCAATCTCATCTCATTAAATAGAGAGATGGCATCTTCTTCGTCTATAGAAATCATAGTTGTCCAAGACACTACGTTAAAATCATTCATGCACTGAAAAACTAATTTTGCATCTTCAGTAACCTCACACTTTGAATATGTCGAGAAAAATACATTACAAACTGAAACATGACTTCCATATCCTGATTTAATTGTCAAAACATGTATATGTTTCCCAAGTTCTAAATTCATTTCATGACTGCAAGCTGAAACTGCACTAGTAAATGAGGCATGATCTAACCCCATCCCTTCTCCCACCATCTCAATAAAGACAAAAATCGCCTCAAGCCCATGATTTCCCTCTTGAGAGTAACCTGATAGTATTGCATTCCATGAAACCAGATCCTCATTCGCCATTTCATCAAACACATTCCTAGCTTCTATTAACCGCCTCTACCTCGAATACATACTTATCAAAAAACTTCACCATCTAAACTAGACTTAAATATAAGAGAATGCAGTTGTAATCCAAATAGAAAATCTTCATGATCCGCACAAAAAGTAAGAATCGTAGTATAAGTCACTGGATCTAAAACAACTCCATTAAAATTCATCCTAAGAGCAAAATTCAATGCACCCTCACTTGTTCGAAACCCCGAAAGAATAGTATTCTAAGAAACTATATCAGTATAGCACAATCTCAAAGATAAGTAATGGACCATCAAACTGGCCAGCTCTGGTGTACACGCTCATCAAAGAATTTGAAACCGTAGTATACGAAGCAAACCCAGAAGAAACTGCAAACCCGTGAATTTGGAATCCGGGTTTGGGGTCCCTTTGACAGGCCTTGATAGCAAGGGTAATGGTATTTTCATCGATGTTATGAGACAAATGTAGTTGAAGTTGCTTACAGAACATGTCAAGGGCTCTAAGGGTAACGGTAACTTCATCGTGTTCGTTTCTCTATCTCTTCATTTCACTCGCGCACCACATTCCTCTGCGAGTGCAAATTTAACTTCGTCTGTCTTCATTTGGACAAAATGGAGGCGGCCAGACCGGCCCAGGAAACCTAGGCGCCGTCTAGACCCACCAGAGCCGCCTAGACCTGCCCAGGCCGCCTAGGAGCCGCCTTGATTAGCCCAGGCCTCCTAGGCGTTGCCTAGATCCGCCCAGGCCGCCTAACTCCCTTACAGCATCAGCGTTGTTATCTTAGTGGAGATTTCAATAGCTGAATGACATTTGATGGTTTTTGTAGAGAGAGTCCAATCCAATCCAATCAAGGGAGCAGCCGAAACGAAAGAAAAAGAATCGAAGCTTGAGTTGAGAGGGAGAGAGAAAGGCTCAAGACCTAGTCTTTGAAGCTTGGAAGCGCTTATGGAGAAACAAAATGGCTGTGACTGCGAGTGCAAGCTTCGCGTTCGTTTTGGAATATATTTAACGAGTATAGCCAAAAAGCTATACCTTAAAATATTCGAATACATTCGATGATAGTATAGCCGCACGGCTATACCGTTAAAATATTCGAATATATTCCAAGCGTATAGCCGGAAGGCTATACCGTCAAAATAATAAATTTAAATAGTATAGCCGTTCGGCTATAGTTAACTTACATTTTGCTCTATTATTGCTTTGTCTTCTGGTTGTTTCCATGACTCACCATATCTTGATGGTTAATTTTCACTCATTTATATGACCCTTTTGTATATGCAACCTTTCGTTTTTTCTTTTTATTCTAAACGTTAAACAAGAAGATTATAGGTGGTGAGGGACAAAGGAAACCCATACACGACCTTTTGTTGTCGTTCACATCAAAACTTCATTTGTATGTTACCTCAAGATGAATTTCCTTTTTTTATTTTTATTTATTTATTATTATTATAGAAATTTGGCTACAGAACTTCTTAACAATCATGAGTTGCTTTTGAAGTTTTACATGTACAGATTCAAGCCTTCAAAGTGGGCCTTGAGAAGGAGTTCATTTTCAGTGAATTTGTCTCCCACATGTTCTCTCTCAGAATTTTCATCTCTAATCCTAGACATTTTGCCATTCTACTTATCTCCCCAGACTCTGGGTGGGATGTATCACCTGATGAAAACCCATGCAGATACAAGGAACCATCACCATCACCAGTATCCACCCAACTATATCCCACTTCCTTTCTCACTCCTTTACCTCTCATCCCTTTCCTAACTTTTGCTACCATTTCCCAGTCCCCTTTCTCAGCATACAAGTTGGACATCAACACAAAAGAACCTGATTCCATTGGTTCCATTCTCATCAATGTATCGGCTACTCTCTCCGCCATCTCCACATTCCCATGGATCCTGCAAGCCCCAACCAGGCTTTGCAACAACGAAAACCCTGGATGAGGATGAAACGTCTGCTGCTGAGTGCTTGGAGATAACCTAGGCCGGGTTGTCGTGCCCTGACTTCGACTCCGACTTCAACCGCAACACCTTGCTCTGCGAGAGCATCGCCAAGAAGGTTTTCCCGCGAGAATCTTACCCGGAATACCTAGGTGTTGAGGAGTCGGATTACACCGACAGAGTCCCGCAGCGGCTGATCAAGGAGGTTTTGGTGCCCTTGAGGAAGGCCTTGGAGGACTGTGATCTACACGAAGATTTCAACAGGTGGGGTTATAAACGGGAGTCCAAGCGGGAGCCCTGTGTGGTGAAGAAGTATTTGGAGGAAGTGAAAGCAGCCGGCGGCTGCGGCGAGTCGAAGATTGAGGCCGGTGCTTTGCTTCCACATGAGATCGCCTGCTATGCGAACCACTGGGACCTCCTCGAAGTGGCCGAGCTTCAGTAGAAGGCAATGGTGGAGCACATCAGAAAGCAGGGCAAGTTCAAAAACTTCTTGGCTGTGCATGACAACTATGGAAATGCGGCGGTGGCGTTGGCAGTGATGATCTCCGAACTGAGTGAAGAGCCATGGAAAGGAAAGTTGATGAATTTCAGTCGAAATCCGCAGCGGCATTATTTTTTTTCCCCAGAAAATCCGCAGCTGCATTCGTTACAAGGCGATCTCAAGGCCAAGCTAGAGATTTTGAAGGACACCAGGCAGTGGAAGGTTGATTTGGAGGTGTTGTTTGATTCTGTTTTGGAGGTTGCTGTGAAGAATGATTTGAAGCCGGAGCAGATGATCAGGAGGGTGTTCGTGTTCACCAGCTGCGAAGACTTTGATAAGACTCTCCCGGCTGCGATGGTCGTTTCTACTGCTGGAAGATGCAGTATGAGGAGATACAGAGAAAGTTCAAGGACAAAGGGTACGGCGATGAGGTGCCACAGATTGTGTTTTGGAAAGCGAACAACAGTATGCCTGCATTTGCGCCTTATGCACTGCATGGGATGATGATGATGAACCGCTTCAACGACAATTTGGTCAAGTCCTTCTTGGACAATGACAGGAAAATTGGCCCGGATCATGTCATGGAAGCAGCCATCTCTGACCCCAGATATCAAAATATAGTGGTTGTGGACTGAATCTCTGATCATCATCATCATGATGGTTTGTGTGACTTGGGTAGAGATGCCCCGGTGGCCGCTGATTTTATTCAAGACGTCCTTAAATTGATTCTATGAGTCAGGGGGTCAAGTTTCGTGCCCCCAATGTGCTTCTTGATATTTGATAAATGAGTCCTTGTTTTGTCCAGGTTTGATTCATAGACCATATAGAAGTTCAGAATTCAATTCTTTTGGGGAAGACTTTGGAGAGTTGGAATCAAATTCACGGCAAATGATGTTTAATTTTTAATTTAAGTTGAAAATTGAAGAGACAAGGAAAAGAAAAACCACCAGTTGACAAAAGGATGCAAGTCGAGAAGAACAGTAAATTCCATTACGATATTTTTTCAATTTGCATTAGACAAAGTAAATTACTTGAACTACAACCAGATTCACACAACAATTGAAAAGGCACTTATGCAGAAAAGCACCAAAACAGAATCATAAACAGCGTTCACAGTCATTTTTGAAGAGCTTTTCCCCTTCCATATCTTGTCTCAATGCTTTCGGAGAGCCACGGCAGACAGCAGAATCAAGAACATTAAGGTAACAACAGTAACAAACGAAGCCACCACAGCCCCGCTGACTGTCTGACAGAAATCACCAAACTGGTTGCAGATGGCAAGCCAATTGGAGCTTGAGTTGCCATTGTGAGCCAAGTAGACTATGGCAGTTGCAGCCCCAGCAGCAGAAGTGGCCAGGGTGAGTGCCACCTGTCATGATAATCATAAGTATTATTATACACAGATTAATTAAATTAATTAGTGAGGATTTAAGCATGATTGTGAGGTTAATGAATATTACAACGTCAAGGATGAGGAGCAAGAGCCTTATTCCACTTGCATGGGGGCGAACAATGGAGACTATGGAGAAGGGAACTGAGAGCACCAAGTAGCCAGCTACAAGTGACATTGCTATGAGGAAAAACCTGCATTGCTTGCATGAGTGTGTTAGATAATAGATAGGTATGTTATGTCGCTAAATTGTCAATCTGGCATCACAGATAGAAACAATTGTTCATCGAATTAATAGTTCAGATTGACAGTCTAACAACGTCACATGTAAATAATGGTTCAGATTGATAGTCTAACAATGTAAAATGCAAGATTGTAAAGAGAGGTTGAAAGTGACGTACTGGAAACTGGGCATGTCATCATAGCTAGCTTCAAACTGGAAGAACTGGGTGAAGAAAGGAAGGTTTTGATCACTTGTTCCCATGGTGGCTGCAGCAGCCAGAGCAGCCACTACAGCACCAATCCTCAAAACCAAGTCAATTATGGCCATCCCTCTCCTCATCCCTCCCTTCTCTTGCCTTGCAGGGACTGTCAGAATTGCCCCTTTTCCTTTCGATGCGCCGCCACCGCTGGCCTCATGATGGGGAACATCAATGGTAGTTGAGTCACCGCTCTTCATTTTAGCTAAGAGAGAAACAGGCAAAAGAAATAAGCTAAAAGGCTTTGGAGATGAGAATTGCTGAATGGGAGAGACTTAGAAGCTTGTGATGAAAACTGCTTAACATGAGAGGCCTTATATAGTGCAGCAAAGTATAAGAGATTAGTAGATTAAAATTGGCCATAATACAAATTAGTTTGTAATTTAATCAGCTAATGGGAGGCAAAGGAGAGTTGTTGATATGACTTTTTGTTCATAGAGCAAGTGAAGAGGTTTTATCTGGCAGATGGATCAAGTGGTAACCACTTCAATATTATATGTTTTTTTTCACAAAAATAAATTAAAATAAAATTATATGTTGTTAAAAGGAGGAGTGGATGGAAAAGTTTTATGATGCATACCATTTGGACTTTCAGCTTTTGATGATATAATGCAGAAGAGGGAAGTTGGATTCTATTAAAAGAGTAATATAATTTTAAAAGTCAAAAGGGCTTCCTAACTAAGAAACTTTATTCTCTTTAATCACTCAACTAAACCACAGCTAGGGCTCCCTAACCCAACAATGAAAACTGTTGTTTAATTATTTTTTTTGGTCTGAGAAAGGTGTTGTTTCTATCATTGTTAAGTGTAAACCACATTATTTGCGTACACTTTAAGGTTGTCCAGGTTACCAATATTGTTTTTCCTTTGCATGCATAGCCACATAATATACGTACTCTTTAATTGTCGAGCTCATGAGTCATGTTATGGAGCTGTGTTTGGAAAAAAAAAGAGGAACAATAGCCCATTGTCTCTGTAATCTCTCTCGTCACATGACAAATGAAGTTTATCTCAGTTACAAGAATTCGGGGCCCACCTTATTAAGTGTGGGCCCCACAGAATGTGTTGTAAGCGTGATGCGCTTGCAATGAGGAAACGGGAAAAGAAAAAGAAAGAAAGATTGTTCAAACACTCTAAAAATTTCAACAACTTAGTTCCTTGAAGCCGCTTTTAACCGCACTTGAAAGCAGAAGCAACATATGGCGAGGACAGGCCATGTTTAGGAAAAAAAAAATTTGCATCTCTAGGTGAAGAATGTGTCCTTGATCTTGCTTCTTTCATTTGCTCTTTTATTGAAGAAATTGTTTATGGGCAACACCCCAAAGACTTGATCGCAGGATAAAAGCAAATACAAAAGGACGTGCCTTCCCTAACCTTGGGGCACGATACAGCAAAATTTAATACAAAATAATAGTTACATTGGTAAAAGATGAATTGGACAAAACCGGGTCAAACAAACTACTGAAGTAAGCTAGACAAAGGGCTTCGCAAGCTCATTTACCTAAGTTACTATATGCTCCATCCACGCTCAGCAAGTGCCATCTTCACCCGACTGGCGGCCTCTGCTGTGTCATTGAGTGGTGTATAGCTCCAAGACTTGAACATCTACGGAAACAAAAACAGAAAAAGAAAAAGAAAAAGAAAAGAAAAGAAAAACCTCATATTAATAACCAAAGGTAAACTTTGTTAATACCCTCCTCTTCAAAGAGAGCCTCTTACATCCTTTCTTTCCTCATTTACTACATCCTTTCTTTCCTCATTTAATAACCAAAAGAGTAAGGAATGGCCAAAAATTATTTCACAACAAAACACTATCGTTCTACAACAGTATGTCGACGGACTTACGTCTTCTTTACCAGTGAACGGTCGAACCACTCCTCGTTCCTGCAGGGAGTTCTGGAAGTCTGCGAACTTCCACGTACAGTGTTCAGCACCGATCACATAAACAGGTTTGCTGAAGTGAAAATTATGAACTTTTAGAAACACACAATCCCATACCAAAGAAGGAATATTTAAAACAACTGTAAATAAGTGACCTAAATTTCTCCTTTCCAAAAAATGAAAAGAAAAAGTGACCTTCATTATCATCATACTTGGAACATACCCGGTACTGCAAGCCTCACTCAACATACTGACTGAATCCGCTGTGATGACAAAAGCATCCGCGCAGGCTAAATGGCCCATGTGTGGATTACAACCTAAGCAGTATTACGTAAAAAATAAAATATAAAACATCAATACTTCCCCTCTTCTGTACACACATAGATACATATTAGATGCATGTATTCTAAGAATAAGGCAACTAAGTACCTTCACCATCCCAAATGTAGACTTTTGGATTAGTACTGAATTCTTTCATCAAAATTCTGGACAACTGTTGAAAACGTGTACCAGAGAAAGTAAGTATGCGTCCATAAAGCCTCTAAAGGATCTACTCTCAAAGCAGCACTAGTACCTTCTCAGGAGTTCTCCTAGAGAAAGATATTCTCACACATCCACAGCTCCAAAGAACATTCTGCAGCATAGCTGCTAACCTTTTCCCAAGATTGATACCATATGAACAGTTTCCTATGAAAACAATATGGATGCATTTTGATTATCTTTTAAATAAAAGACATACAGGGAGAAACAGCTTGACCAATGTAAACATACAAGAGAGTTCAAAATGTAACTTTAACAAACACATAACTCTTGAGCTACTGACATAGCAACACCAGATCACAAGTATGAAAGATAGCTGTACTCAATAAAACAGTACAGCACTAAAAAAATGTGATTTCCTCGCAATGTCAGGATTTATATAATCAAACTACACATTACAGAATGACTTTTGCTGGTAATCCTGTAAGCAATTCCATAAAACTACAAAGCAAATAAAAAGGCAACCACAACATTAAAAATGATATAAATCCATCACAGTCATCCCCTTATAAAGATGACAACATGAAAATCATGACGGATTCTTAGATGAAAAATATTACTTGCAGGGCCTCCAATATTAACCACAAGCAAAGGTCTCGGAAGTGGTGCTAATTCAGCATGCCAGGCAGATGCAGCATTCCTAAGTGCAGTGAAATCCGCCTGATGAAGTGCTCCCACTGTGAGAACCTGAAACTCATAGAAGTGAACCTGTCAACACAATTATTCTAGAAAGGCATTTGTACAGATCCTATTCAACCAAGATACTCACCACATTACTGCCAGGTGGTTCACGTGGGGTAATCCACCTCCGCAGAAACCAAGGAATTTGTCCCTGTCCCTCCGGAGTCAAGGGGTAATAATCATGGCGAGGAGTTATCACCAAATCAAACCTATTCAGATGCGACCTTGGATGTTGTATCTGAAACACGTTTCCAAAGAGAACTAATAAAATCAGATAATCTAGACCTGCAGTATTTGCATGTGTCAATTCATTACAATCAAATTACACAGCGATCCACAGAAAAACATAATATGATACCATTAATATCAAAAATCAACTTTTAGCTAAACATATGATAAATAAATAAGCAAAAACCTTATTTTTTTCAAAAGCAGAAAATATAATCAAAGATATGTGCTTCTTAAGCAGAAAACGGATAACTTCATGGCGTGTAAAACTTATGCAACAACATCCTATGCTACCATTTTATCTAAACCAGACAGTTTCTGAATATCTTTCCGACAAAGCCTGTCTCCAGAAAAATTTCATAAATAAAAAACTGAATCTCCAAATTCTTATGAGAATTGTGACAGCTCAATAACATGAACAGCAGTAAGGAAGAGAGAGAGAGAGAGAGAGAGGATGGTTAGGCCATCTTCATGAATGACGATACTTTCATATCACCAGAGTTCATTCAAATGCTCACAGGAAAGAAAAAACACAAATTGTATATAAACTGCCATAGTGCCTCACTTTGTATATCAGTGTATTTTTTTAATAAGAGTATCAGTATTAAGTATTTACCAGCCAAATATATGCAGCTCTTTTTAGGGGGGAAGTGAACTTTAACCTGGACAACAAAAACATTTTCTGGAGCTAAATGTTTTATGGCGCTTGAAACAGGAATGGTATCCCGGCCAGATGCAACCACCAGCAACGGGCCGTCTCTGGAGAGAACATGAAGCATGCATGTAGATATTTTTTTTTACTAATAAAGAAATTACCAAACAAAATTTGAAATAATTCAAAAACCCCTGCATTAAGACTAAAGTAACATCATATATGTTGTATGAGCTCCTGAGGATGATGAACACGAAGCACAAACAATGGAACCCACGTATCTAACTAAAAGATTTAATCATTGAAAAATAGAAAGGAAGTAGCAACATACGTGTCAAATGTTTGACGAGCCATTTCTGCAATCTGCTTTGCATCAGCTTCCAAAACATCAGATGAGAGGCCTGAGCTAGAACCATTTTCAGCAGAAAAAGGAACTATTAGTTCAAGTACAACCTTCTTCCCTTCAACTATGAAATCTAAGTGGGCCCCACATAAAATAAAGTACAGTAGAGATAACTTGTTGACAGAATTCACATTGCAATGCAGCATGAAGGACTAATAACAACACAAGTACGAGTACCTGTTCTTTCAGCAGGAAGAGGCATGACTTTTCTATGGAGAGAAAGTGGAAGCCAGTGAAGCCATTCATTAATTCCTCCTTTTGGCCGAGTAACACGCTGCCCAATCATTAATCAATCAATAAAACCAACCAAAAACAATGCTCAAAACCAAGCTAAAACAATATCAAGAGTTTTTTGTTTTTGTTTTCTCTTTACAAAAAGATTAAAAATTTATACTCACGTAGAGGGATTGACGACCCCAGAGGTCCAGAGCACGAACCAGACCAATGCTCTGATTCTCTGCACCCGCGAACCCATTTCCGATCACAACAGCTCTTCTGATTCTACTAGCTCGGTGGACCCCACCTTGGAACATCTCCGCCATGCCCAAAAGCCCCAAGTGCTTCAAATCTCTTCATTCGTCATTTCATTTCTCTTCTCAGTTCTGAGTCTCCTCTTCTCAGCTGCTCATCCTCTTCCTCTTCTGCTGCTTGTTCGTCCAAAACCCCCCCGAAGCCTTAAACCACGAGTGTGAAACAAACGACAGGTCGTATCTGAGTAACGACATGTCGTGCTTTGAGGTGTCTGGGTTTATTTACAGGACGAAACGAAACGACTTATTGTAAAACCCTTTCCAAGTTGCCTTTTGCTCAGTCTGTGCGAGTCTTGGAGTCTGAAAGATGTGGGCAAGTGCAGAAGGAGGGTCTCCGGAGGTCACTCTAGAAACCTCCATGGGCGCTTTCACTGTTGAGGTAATTTTCTTTCTTCCCAACTTTCTCTTACTTCCCCAGAAGCCAAGCTGAGACTTCAATCCATCAAATTCGTATTTTGACGTTATTTATTTTTTTGTAAATTGTGAAAATCGTAGCTCTACTACAAACACGCACCAAGGACTTGCAGGAACTTCATTGAGCTCTCTCGCAGAGGTTATTATGACAATGTCAAATTCCACAGAATCAAATTCAAAGGGTTTCAAATTGATTTGGTCTTTTTTTTTTTTTTTTTTTTTTTTTTGTTTTCTGATATTGAATTGTTAATTGGATTTAGGATTTTATAGTGCAAGGTGGAGATCCCACCGGGACAGGAAGGGGTGGAGAATCCATTTATGGGTATGCTTTGCTTCTTCTTTTATTTATTTATATTTATTATTTAGTTAAACGTTGAAGGGTTTTTATAATAATCTATACCCATTTAAGGGTTGTGGGAAACACTTTTATCATAATTCATAGTTAATGCCTTCTTGTATCATACGTTTCAGTGCAAAGTTTGAGGATGAGATAAGAACAGAGTTGAAGCATACTGGAGCTGGCATCTTATCTATGGCGAATGCTGGTCCAAATACAAATGGAAGCCAGTTCTTTATCACGTTGGCGCCATGCCCGTCACTGGATGGTAATATAATCTTTACCCAGTACTGTCTAGACTTTGTTTAATCAAACTGGTATGGTCCTTTTTCTTTATTTTGTTTCATATGTGTTTTGTGCACTGTGCCACCTTTTGTTTTACTTAATATGCATAAAAGTGGTGCTTAGCAGTTACCAGTAAATGTTTTTTGCTTTATGATGAGCTAAGTGTACAATGTCGTTGGGTGCACTTCTGACTGTAAATGGCTTTATCCCATTTGCCCAGAAGTTATTTGCATGAGACATCAGTGCATCACTGTGTGAACTATTGAAACGATTGGAAACTGAAAAACAGTTCTTGCCATAATAATTTTATCTGTATGGTACTGGGATTTTTTTCTGTATGGAAACCTTAGGCTTTAGGTGACAATAAAAACTGGACCACCGCCGTTAGGATTCTGCTTGAGCAACACTGTTTACTTGGATTTGTTTGTTACTTACCATTGAGTTATCTCCATTCAAAACTTCATGAAGGGGTTTCGATGGAAGAGTAGGGAAGGCTCTCTCTATTCTTTTGTTCAGTCTTCATCAGTACAATTTTGTGCTGTAAAAATTTGTCTTGCACCAGTAACACTTAGCCTTTTGTTTCTGTTTTCATACAGGAAAGCACACAATATTTGGAAGAGTGTGCAAAGGAATGGAAATCATCAAAAGACTCGGCAGTGTCCAAACTGATAATAATGATAGGTATGCCTTCCCTTAGTTGTATTCTTGATGTTTAGTTCACATACATGTCCCTATCGTGTTTACATTTTATCTGCAAATGATTATTCATGGTTATACTTTTTGTAAGAAATTGGCAATTTTTCTAGGGGTTCAGACTGCTAGATCCCCTAAATTGCTCAGCCTGTTGTGGTTCCCTGCACTAAACCAAAAAAACTTAAGACTTTACATTTTCGGGATTTTGAATGGAGTGAAAATAGGTGACATTGTGCCTTGTAAAATCTGCTAAAGGAATCTGATGTGGTTTGAGTAAAATTTTATGAGAAGTGAAGGGAGAAAATGAGATGTCAAGCGATGATGTTATATATTTGAGAAAGTTAGGCTATTGACTATTTTCTTTTTTGGATTCAATTTTGTGGTACAATGTCTTCACTGGTCAAGCTTGTCGATATTTTGAAAAGGATGTTGGAAAAATTATAAAATGTGTCATGAGTTGAGAGTTATCAATTCGTAGTTAATAGATTTAATGTGTGTTTAGGCAAGTACGCATTGTGGCACCTTGTCATGGCTTTGGATTGTGGAACCATATTCCTCCATACATGCATCCTTAACGTGCCTAGATTTTGTAAAGTTTGCCATTCATGGCACAGGGTCTACGCTATCTAATTGTTGCTCCTTTTCACTATACTTCTTTAGAAGACTTTAGTTTGTGTGATTTGTCCAAAACTCTATTTAACATAGGCTTTTGTCCGAAATACAGGCCGGTGCATGATGTGAAGATACTGCGGACATCTGTCAAAGATTAGACATTGCAAAGCTGCTGTCAGAGATAAAAAGCCAAAGAGCTGCAATAAGTTAATTGGATATTTGTATTAACTCAGAACTATGATGGTCAATGTATTTCAGTTTCTTACAAGGATACTAACAGTGAAAAATTCTGGATTTAAACTTTATATGGAACCTCACAAATTTAGCTGATGTTTCTGAAACTGTTTAAAAAATTTCCCCGACTTGAATTTTATACCTTTGAAGATTACTTTTACACAAGTAGTTTTCTACGACTCGAATATATACCCATTTTCAGTTATCTTTCATAGAACTACGTCTTGTTTCAAAACTCCAATTCCCACTTTCATATGCGGGCAGAAACATTTCATGAATCAATGCCTCGACACGTGCAAAAATATCAGGCTGCATTTACAAGAAGGCATCCATCTCATAGAACTGATTGGCAACACTTAAACCCCCATGCCAACGTCAAAATGATTAAATCGTACAATTTTGAATTTTTGCGAGACGAAAACAGGATTCCACTGTAACCAAACCAGGTAATTTCACCAACTTTGCTGTTTAAAAATCATAGAAGCAATCCTAAAATAAGTAAAAAAATCTTAAAATTTACAAACACAATTCTATAGTCGGGAAAAATTGCTGGCAGCCACCTAAAATATCAGTTCATGGTATCACCTCCTTTTCATTGATAGTGTATAGCATCACCTCTTTCAATTCTTCATTTTGTACGCAGATAATAATATATAGACTCCGAATGCGGCCAGCAGTTGTTTCCCAAAAAATGTGATCCTAGGCGAGTAAACATAGTGCTTCCACCTTAGTTACAACCGGACTCGATTCCACTATAGGCAGCCACGACTAAATATACCATAGGAGATCAATTCGCCCAGAAAAGCAATATGATTCCTATCAAACAAATCCCCGTACAAACGCCTCCAATATGTGCCCATCAGACTCCTCCATTTTCTTCACAAGTAGAGAGGTTAAGCACAGGCTGTGGAAGAGGAATAAATCCATTCGTCTTAATAGATCCAGGAGGACCTTCTCTTGGTGTTGTAATACTTGTTGACTCAGAGATTTCATCAGCTGGCTCTTCAGTGATTACTTCCTGTTGTAGCATTTCTATGTGCCTTTGTGATGGCACATCACCTTTGCAGTATCTGTGCCACATATTCCTGTATGCTGACTCCAGCCCAAGGGTAAACTTGGTCCGTCACAGACAGGCGACCTAGACATAAGGTCCCGGAGACCCATTCTCAAATTTGAAAGCGCTGTAACATCAGAGGCCAACTGCACTGCCAACTGGACATATTCATCCTCATTTTTAGCAATCAGATTTCCCAACCCTGTATTAAGTCCACTTTAATCGGTTAAACAATGCTGAACTCATCAGCAAGAACACACATATTAGGCATTACCAAAAGAAAGACTTGCACACATCCATCAAAGGTTCGATATCGAGAGAATTGATCTCTAAACTGATAAAACTATTTGCCTAGTGAGGTGTGAAAAATGTATATGAACCTGTTACAGTGAGGAGATACTTAGAAGATTGTGGCTATATGAGCTCTCCCACCCCAATGACCAAAGGCATTTATTTTTCATATATTGTTTATTTTATTGTCCTCTTTTATCCCACTATATCTCAAATACTAGAATAGTTAAATCCACCTCTCCACAAGATAACAGTTCTTAGCCATGTATGAGATATAATCTCACACTTCTATTGGCTTTGTTTATGCATTTATAGCATAAACCAAAATATATGCATACCAACCATAAGGCAGATAAAGCAAAACAGTAATCTCCCGTGCAACCATACACCATTGATTAAAAAAAATAAAAAACAAAAAGCAGAAAGAAAAATTCCTTACCAACTTTACTGAGAATACTAACACCAACATTGTGCGCATGTACTGAACCAGCCATAGTAACACATGGAACTCCCATATATAAAGATTCACATGTTGTGGTTGTTCCAGCATATGGAAAAGTATCCAAACTACATAGAGAGAAGATAACTTGGGTCAGAACCTCCAAACAAGATCCAACAATAAAAAAGTGAAACCGTCACTAAAATGTTCAACCAGCAGGACTAGCATAAATGAATCCAGCGAGACTTTATTGCATACACATCATAAATTCTCAAATGGTTCTCTAATTTCTGTCCTAAGACTAACCAAATCTCTTTTTCCCATGCAAAACAACCTTTCAAAAAGTGATATTTACAAGTAGCATTACCTCTGCAATCACGCATACAATGACAAACATGGAGCAAAGCTATAATGCAATAAAGTAATACCCAATGAAAAGTTTAAAGCACCTTTCAGTACATAACACTGCAATTGATTTTAGACATCTGACTAATTCTTTAAAAGAACACATGCTGACTGTAATTCGAGCATTGCATGCAAGAGGAAGAAAGAAGGATCCATATTTTAGTTCAGGAATCAACTATGATTTGTTCTACTTGCTTTCCTTAGTAGTCATTAAGCTATGAGTAAACCTTGTCCAAGGAGGCGACTCATTTTTTTTATATAATATTCCATCTACAGAAAAATATCGTAAAACACTCCATAAAAAAATACTCCTTATTAAACTAAATAAAAACATTGATATATAACATTCACTGGGCATAAATATCCTTATTACAAATATACCACACCATTTAAGAGATAATTTCTCTGTTTTCCCTCTTATTCCCCCAATATTGTAGCCCTCCTTTCATACTCATTGAAAAATAATAATAATAATAATAATAATAATAATAATAATAATATTAATGCATCTCACCATCTCTAAAAAGCTTAAATTCATTAACTATGTTTTGATTTAAATATTTCAATGTCTTACGAATTTAAGAATACCCTAGCAATTTCCCTAACCAAGATTTTAATAACTAATTATCGCAACTTATTTAATATGTCATCAAGATAACATCATACACATCATACAATGCTATATCATTCCCTTAGAAAAAGTACTGTCAACTTAGTAATTAGTAACTATAGTATCTTAACATTCATATGATTGGTTCCAAATAGGCATGTAAGTAAGTAATTTATAACTCATCCCAACCAATTCGAATCACATTTTTTTGGGTAACCTTCATGTCTTGAACAATTTTTGCAAAGAATAAAAAGATCTCTTATTTTTAATGCCTTTAATTTCCCCTAACAAACATAATTTGTTTTGTTAATTTCTATCATTATTTTTAGAGTCATTCATAAAATAATTCAATTCACATATTTTAACTTTAGTTACGACTGTGAAAGATCAAGTCTCTTGTTTCCAAATTAAAATATTTTCCTATGTTCATTTTTTATATTACATAATCTATTTAATTCAAGATCCAGTGTGGAAACCAGTTCACAGTTTGGATTCGAACTCCATAGATAATATGGAAGGCTCAGACAACCACACGATGTAAGAAAGGTTTGAGGTATAGGAAGTGTTCATCCAACAGAGATAAATAAACAATATATATAAGCAACTTTCATACTACTGTCTTCCAAATGTAAGAAAAAATATCTTAGTTTTACCTAATGTCCATGAGAGAATAGGCTTGCATATGATCGTAATTGAGTAAAATTAGAGGTAGAAGATCAACACGTAGTGGTTCCAACCCCAGCTGCTCCAATGTTGAAAGAAATCTCTCTCTCACACTATCACAACTAAACGGCTTACATTTCACCACAAGACGAGAATTTGGAATTGCAGAAAGAATTCTCGCCCAAACTTGTAACACTTTTGGAGTGATCTAATAAGAGAGAAGAAAAGAGGAGTGAGGCAAGGCATTACACGAAAAGTATGATCTTTTTTTTCGAAAGAAACAAGAATTTTATTATATGATAAGTAATCTAGTTGCTTATGGTTTTAGCTATACATCTGATACAAGAAAAACAACCTAGCCAATACCTTTGCCAGATTATTAAAGCTGCCAAAAGTAATAAAGCCATTGGAAAGAGCAGGAGTGGGCAAAACGGGCCCCGCCTCAGGGGAAGGTGTATAACACAGGAAGCAGTCTGGTAATCGAACTAACTCCTCAACATGCCTGACCCAAAAAACAAACAGATCAAAGTTACATAAAAATGTACTGGTACTACCTACTCTAGCGGATACTCATGCTTGAATTCAGAAGAAACAAGAGTACTAATCAGAGGAGTAAAAGTAGTAAGACCTACTTCTGCTTTGAATCAGGAGGATCCGCCAGTGAATCTGTGATTCTATAGTCAATTGCCGGTAAACCAGTTGTGTTTGGGTAGCCAATCCAGGTCACCTGTAAATCCAGCAATAGCAGGTTTAGCTACTTCAAGCACACGATCCAGTACAAATACACAATCAAACAGTGAATGAGTGAGGTATGTGACAACAAAAGGAACAAATTTGATGGGAAGCCCTTGTTTTTTGAACTGAAAAAAAACATCAGGCTTTAATAAATAAAGCAACTCGCGATGCTTAGAAAGTTGTACAATATATAGGAAAATCATATGGTTATTCCAGGATAAAGATGCTCTTTTAACATTGCTCCACTTCCAGATTTTCCAAGGCCAAAAAGAAATTTAGATTTGCAATATACTATATACTACACACTATAAGATATGAGTCAACAAAGAAAAATTGCACAAACTAACAATAACAAGAATGTTTAAAGTCATATGCTATAGAAAAATCAGTACACCTTTCAGCATACCTGAACAGGTGAGGGCCTGCACGCCATTGTTCCCAATTTGTTGTTAGCAGTATGGCCAGTAAGTTCCACCAGGATATCAACCTTATCTTCTCTAACCATGGTCGCAACCTTCTTTTCATCAATCCCATATATATCTCTCCAAATCCCACCCTTTTTCAAGACTTTATCCCTAAACCTAATAGTCTTGGCATCTGCCTGTGATATTTATAAAAATCAATTCCAAATTGTCTGTGGGATAAAACTATCTAACAATAAAACATCTCAAATAGTATTTTCCATATAAGCAATAAGACTTTAAGAAACATATACAACATTGAAATAAAATAAAAATCACAATTTCAAGAGAACATGAGAATTTATGACCAGTGAAGCAATAACGAAGTAACTTTTTGCACATCCTAGGAGAGTATTGGTTAGTGAACAGTGGAAGAGATGATAGATACTGATGATAATCAAGATAGTGTTGGCAGCGATCATGGCGTTATTCACAAATGCAATAGTTGTGGTCGAAAAAGTGCAAGCACCAAATGTACTTAGATATAGTAAAGATGGCCATTTGTTGGAGGCCCAAGCTTTACAAAAATGAGAGAATTGCAAGCTTTATGGAGGCAATACCAATGCCTATGGTAGGTGAACTTAGTGGTTATGCTGGTGGTGGTGGCTCATGGCTGTTGTAGAGGGTGTGAACTCTTAACACTGCAAAATTAAACGATGCAGAAAGTGGCAATGACAGTGACAGTGGTCAAAGTAATGGAAGAAACCAACACACACTGGCAACGATACATGTAACATGCAGCATATAAAAACAAAAGTGAAAATAGACAATGAAAAGATTGGTTTCGTCACACATTCTAAGTGGTCGTTGCGTCTTTCCAGGAGTCAAAGTAGAACCAGGTGTGGATTTCTGGGAGCTCCACATGGGTGTCAAAACTCATAAGTGAAGCAATCAAAATTTTCTATTTACCCATCAATGAATAGCACAGGAGAGAGGAAATCAGAAAAATAGAAGGATACAGACATTAATGATCATCCAGTGTATTGCGAACGGTTGAGGAAAACTAAAGCACATACAGAGAGAGAGATGATAAGTTTTCACCAAACATATGGCTTTAGAATGGAGTTGTAATGGGAATTGAAAGCAAATTAGAATGTTGGCAAAATATGCAAATGAAAAAGTAAGACACACAGGAACCATGAACAAACTTTAAAATAAAAATGCACAACCCCCATAGATGAATGTAGGTATAAATTGACAAAAGAAAGAAAAAGGATACCTTCACTACTGCAGAATAAATAACCACCTTGTACTTTGCATATTCATGATGGGCAAGCGGAGCTTCTATAAAATATGACACGGAATGAGTAAAATAATCAGGAGATATGTATCCGATCACAAGGGGTCGTTCTGGATCTTTTGGATTATCCCATGAAGTGTACTGTGGATATAACCTCATAAAGCGTCTACCCCAGTCCCTGCATGTACATAAATTCAGTTTAAGCATCATCAAATTTACAATTACTGATTCTTTTTGTGAACTGACAAACAGAACATAAAAAATAATAAACAAAAGCCAATAGGAAAACTACAATTACCGCTACACTAGACTAAACACGTTTGATAAGTCTAGGCTATACCTTTATAATATACCAACGTGGTTATCAATACTTGCTTTTTTTCATTAGAAGTTTAGTATAGTCATTGAACAAGGAGAAGGGAAAAGAAATCATGCAAAGTTAAGAGGACTTAGTTGAGACCTGTGAGCCACAAAAAGTTTCTCATCATGTCCTTCATTTATGTAGTTCATTGCAAGCAATCGATTCTGCAAGAACACAGTCAACCATATAGAGATTAAAAACAAAACTTGCAAATAACAGGTTCTGCCATAAGAGAGACCAAGAGCACCAACAACAAATAAATACTCATTTATTGCAATATATAAAGGCACTGCACCAATGAGTTTCATGTCAGAAGTCAGAACTGTTAATATCTATCCCATTTTCCATTAGCAATCAAACCTGGAGCATGCCACTACCAAGTTTGACATTTTTTTCACTGACACAAAGATTACAGATATAAACCACAGCAAACAGATTGAAAGACCTTTAGCACTCACATGAGTAAATCTTATGAGAGTGTAGAGAATTAATACCTGGCCTGCATTCCGGGAATCAGGATCTATTTTTAGGCATTGCTCATACGCATCAATAGCCAAAGTAATATTTCCAGCATCTCGGTAGAGAACCCCTGCACAAAAAGGATAAACAGATATGAATTTACAACAAAATTTATAATTAAAAGAAAATGGAGCATAACCCACCACAATAGAACAAGTACAGAAATTCAAAATTCACTATGAATAAAATCAGAAGAATATCTTCACCATTTCTATTTATAAAATTTCCCCTCCTTACATTAGCCAAGTAGGAAACAACGATTTCAATATGGGTCAAAGCAGGTGTTTGGCATTTTCTCTTATATGTACGAATTCTTATTTTCTTAGACTCTGCCTTTTGAAGGATCCATCCTCTTAGACTCTATCAAATGATATAATATATATATATATACACAATCCCCTTCTATTGAGGGACACCCTTTAGGGTCCCCTATGAAATTTTTTTCAATGATCCAAACCATCTATTTTTCACATCTTCATTTAGAGATCATCCTTGCAAAAAATCATGCAAATTGAAAATCATTAAGGCATCTAATTGAGACCAACAAAATCAATGAACACAGTGTTTCAAGAAAGTACTTGAATTTCAATAATTTAATTGAGTGGTCAAATGATATCGGATTCAAGTGATTTTTTGTAGAGACGATCTTTGAATGAATATCTACAAAATAGATGGTTTGGATTAGTGAAACACAATGCAGAGTGGGCCCTACAAGGATGTCCCTCAAATAAGCTTATTTGAGGGACCCCTCAATGGAAGCTCTCTGTATATATACAATCTTGCTTCTAGGAATATTTGAATTTTGAATTAAGATCCTTTCAAATCCCAACTACCCCTTTAAAGCCTAAGGTCTAAAGACTACATTAAGAGTTAAACACTTTCCCATCAACAATAAAAAGAAACAAAACAATCAAAAGCAGAGGCATTTGAAACAAATTTGAGAATTTCCTTTCACATCTTTAGGACTAATTTTTATATAAAATAGCAAGCATATCTCTGCTCCGAGCTTGATAACTGGATTAAGATGGATTAAATTATATTAGAAACAACAAACTAAGAACACATTTAACAGCTAATATATGTTGTCAAATAAATTCTATGATTAACTCTAAAACAAATCAGATTACTCAATTTAAATATCTAGCATAATACCAATTCCATTATGAGTTGCTAAAACTCAACTCACAGAACTACTTCCACATACAAAAACAATCACAACGCCCAAATCTTGCATAGTGTCTCTAAGAGTAATGTGAATGGCAAAAGCTCAGTGAAGAAAAAACTCAGAGAGTCTTAGAAAAAGAGAGCAACCCAAGTTGTTATATGCCTCTGCATATGTGGGATTTGCAATTATAGCTTTCTCAATCATGTTTGCAGCAGCATCCATTTTACCCTGCCAATAGCAAAAAGCAGTCATTGATATATGATATATAGACATTCTAGAGTCTAACACCTAGAAGGGATTGAAACCAAACCTGGACAGTGTAGACAACACCAAGATTGTTCAACGACTGTGAAAAGTTTGGTTTGATTGACAAAGCCAACTGCAAATGGATAACCAACGATGATGATAACAAAAGTGATGATGGTAACATCATTCAATCAGTATTTTAGAAGGGAAAAAAGAAAGAATTTTTTTTGTACAAGTATCAAAAATTGCCTGATAACACTCTACTGCTTTATCAAGGTTGTCTCGATCTTTGTATATTACTCCCAAATTATTGCATGCTTCTGCACAATGGGGATTAAAGTGGAATGCAAGTTCATAGAACACAATGGCCTGCACAAACAGAAAATGATTACCACCGCCATGTCGAACTGACTTAACCAATAAAGAAAATATATCCAAGTGAGCGCGCGTGCGCGCCCGAGAGAGAGAGAGAGAGAGAGAGAGAGAGAGAGAGAGAGAGAGAGAGAGAGAGAGAGAGAGAGATCCTTTCATAAAAATAAAAACTTACCATGTCAAACTTAAGCATTTCACCATAAGCAACACCGAGATTGTACATAGCATCCGCATAATGCCAGTTATAATAAAGAGCCTTCTTGTAATAGGATATACCTTGATCAATGTCACCTTCCAATTTAACCTAACAAACATGTTACTGAATCCAAAATCAGATAATAAAAAAATTGGAAATTTGATCATAATGAGAAAATCAGGAACATGAGAATGTCTTGAAAATGAGTTAGGGTGTGTTTCATATAAATGAAAGGAAAATAGATAGGCCGGACAGATCTGAGGAAAGACTCTGGAACAGAAAAACATTTGGGTCACTGCAGCGAATATGTACCATCATGTTTATCTCACCCAAAGTCAATAAAATAATCAGGTTTGACAACCAAAATTTCTTCTTGGATGTTACTGATTGGAGTTAAGTAAGATGATGGACAACAAAAATAATCGAGTTAAAAATGTTGAAGAAACACTATGATGAGATCTCCGGAGTCCAGACACCCTTTTCGGTTATTGAACTATTTGAGCAACGACAAATAAGAGCAAATGAAATTGAAGTCATAACTCATATAGTTCCCCCTTGACTGACACATCTAATTGATGAGCGGCAAACAAAATATTTCTGCTCTTTAAATAGGAGAACTAAGAAGTTAGGACTTCTATACACTCTTTACCAAAATGCTTCAATGATTTTCACCAGCTAATATCTCTTTTATTTAAGTCAAATTCCCATAATTAATACTTTGTCAAAATTTTAAATTCATAATTACCAGTTACAACCTATGTCCTTGGTGCTAGTATATAATATTCTTAGGATTGGCAAATGCCTGATGTGTTCACTTGAACTAGTCAAGAAGAAATCATTAAGTAGACAGCTTGAAGAGTTTAGAAGAGCCTTGAAGATACAAATCTAATCTATGTTTGGTCAAGCATAACACTCCCCAGGCTCACCCTACCGACATGGCCCAGCCAACTGCCAACTTATCAGGCACATGCTACCAGTAAAATTTAGGTGGTAAAAAGCCTAGGATTTTTTTTCTGTGGTTGTGTAGTTGAGTAATTAGTGGGTTGATTCTCATTTCCAGGTGATTCAACAGAAATTTGAGTTGGGTTAACCCAATAACCTAATTTGTCCTGGTGGAAAGTTTGATTTTGAGTCCATGATGCCAGTGCCACAGCTTTGCCAGAAAAATCTCTTCATCATTGAGGATTGATTAAATCCATCTCGGTGAAACATCACACTAGTGACAGGAGAGTGCGATAAATCTGACCAGACCTATTCACTGCCTTCTAGGGCACGATTTCTCTTGGGCCCTCGGCACAATATTTTTTAAAAAAAATAAAAAATAAAAAATAGCAGCCACTACTTAAAAGTTACACCAAACCAATCATTAGAAAATAAGCCCAACAAAACAATGATGATCACAAATAACAAATTAGGTAGCAGAACCAAAATGGAAGTCCTAGAAGAAAAGTGATGAGGATAACATAATTGATTACAACAAGACAATGAATATGGCAGGAAAACCCAAAAAATAAAAAGGACGAGATATCACCTTTGTTCCTAAATCTGTCAAGGCTATGGCCATATTATTCTTTGCAATTTCAAAGTTTGGTGAAACAGCAAGACACCTAGGACAGCATAGCAACCAAGCAAGCATAGCATCAGCATACATATAACCATCAACAAGATTTACAGCTATCTATGCAAGCTTCAACTTAGACCGACCAATAGAATGCGAACAGTAGACTACCTCTCATAACAAGCAATAGCAGACTCCAAATCACCACGATTTTTGTAAATGACACCCATGTTGCAATATGCTTCAGCATACATCGGCCTCTCCAGTGCAGCCTTCTCATAGCAACTAAGGGCCGTGTCAAATTGCATCATTTCAGAGTAGACAACACCAAGGTTATAATATGCAGGCTGCATTTACAGAGGAGGTAAGAATATAAATCTGTAAGAACAGAAAACAAGAAGAATAAAAAGGGTAGAAACCATTAGAAAGGAGGACAGAGAATATGAAATTACAGCATAGTGTGGATCTGTCTTCAAAGCTTCATAATACTTCTGCAGTCCCTCTTGAGTATTGCCAGCAAGCTTTAAGCTAGTTCCAAGATCTGTTAATACAATGGCTAGGCATTCTGAAGCGGGTTTGTACGAAGGGTCTGCTTTTAGAGCCTTTTGATATGACTGTTCCAAGCAAAATTGTTTGTTAATTGGTAATATTTCATAGTTTTAAACATGATTTATCAATCACTCAAAGCACAAAAAAGTAGTAGATAACAGATATACCATCAAAATGACCTTACTTGGACAGGATCCATTCAAAGGTCTAGAGTAAAATAGTTAAATGTCATCATTTTAATCAACGGACAATCAAGTGTACTTATTCATTTCTTTTGCATACACTCAGTAACTAGTAATGCATTGAAAAGGGTGGTTCGGCACAAATAAACAAACACTAAAGCATTGCAGTAGGCCTGCGAAGTGCCAAGCACCTTTGTATTGTTACTCACAAAAGAAATTTCTATTGTTTTTTTGTTCTTTTAGACAAAAATAGTAAGTTAAGTAAGGGGAGCATACCTCAGCAGCCTCCCTTAGGCGGCCCTCATCCTTATACAAAATACCACAATGTGTGAGGGCGCATGCATTCTGCGGGTCCAACCTGATTGCTTCCGTGAAACTGTCAAAAGCGAGCCTTCCCATATTTTTCATTTGCAAGCATATTCCTTTTCCAATATGAGCTTCCACATTTCCGGCATCTTTCTCCAACACAGTCTCATAAAGACTCAGAGCATCAGCAAACTTATTCCTCGAGCGAAGAATGTTGGCATAAGACAGAGCATCTTTCACTTCAAATCTCCTCCCTACTGGAGACACAGCAACGATAGAGCCACTAGTACTAGGAGAAGGATGTGAACCATCCAAGAATCCATTTTCTCCAACTGAGTCCCCATCTCTCCCATTACCAACATCTTTCTCCGTCCATGCCATTTGGGAATGGTTAAAAGGGCGCTACTTTTCACTTGAAAATCTACCTACAGACAAATTAAACATAAAGCTTCAGTTTTAACCACAAATTTGAAATTTGGCGCACTAAAAAATCAATCATTTAAATGCTTGTTTGGCATAAGCCAAGCAAAACCAAGATTTTGGAAAATTAGTATAATGCTGACAGTTGGATGAAAGCTCAAGAGTCGAGCTTAACAAAGTTAGATAGCCACGTACCAGCAATTACTATCAGAACAATGCCCAGAAAAACCTAATAAACTAACCATCGTTTTCATATTCAAAACGCCCCTATTAATTACAATTTCAAACCCTAATATAGCACGATCACAGTAGCCCTCTACTAAAACCAAACGATCATTAAGCAATCAACCAAAACCCTAATACACCGCGATCACATATGGATAAAAGATAGGATTTTGATAACAATAACACGCTATTAAGCTCAAAACAGGGGCTTAAAGAAGAAAGACGAGTGAGAAAAAATGGCAAAAAATGCAAGGGAAATTAGGAATTTTGAAATTTGAAGCGTACACTTGGAGGTCGACGAGCTCCTTCTTTACCTAAACAGAGTGGGCAATGGTGAGAGATCAAAGGCTACGGCTAGGGCACGGCTATGGTCTCCGTTGGAGCTAGTCGAGCTCCTTTGTCAAGCACCCGACTTTAGCTGGGGGTTTTGCCGTTTTACAGAGTTAACTAGGGTAAAAAGTAGAGACGCCCTGCCACAGCAGCCTCTGGCTCTCTTGGACACACAGGTTGAATTGAATGTGTCCAAAATGAAACCCAGAAGATGAAGAAGAAGAAGGGAGGCCGTTAATCACAACATTTAGAAAACGGGACATATGAGAGGGACTAAGGGAGAGACAAAGCTCTGTGTGTTCTTTAACCCTGTTTTTTATCCGTATTTGCTTTTATACCACTGCGCTAAAACGAGTCTTGAGACCGCGCAAAACACAAATCACTCGGCGACTCGGCGTGGCGAAGTAGGAGTGTCGTTGTCGGCAGCCCCAAAATCCCCGAAAGCCCTGAAAGGATTTTGTGATTTTGAGCATAGGGGTGAGCTGGTTTACCGTGCCATTGTCGCCAATGTGCTCCGGCTCTATGGGTATAATTGGCATTTCGCCTCTTTTATTCAAGTAATTATTATCCACCTAGAAAAAGAAAATTAAAAGAGTTACGTTACGAAACGTACACTGTCAACCACGTGTCTATCTTTAAAAAAACCGACATCACTTAGAGCACCTCTACTCCAAAAGGCAAGGGCAAGGTTTGACACTATTTATGTGAATAGTGACAACCTTGTCTTTTTTGGTTCCACCCCAAAGGGCACGGGCAAGGACAAATACTATTCACTTTACTTTATTTTAAATATTTTTTTAATACTTAAACCATTAATTTTGATAAGCTTTTCAAATAATATTTTCGGTTGTCACGTGTCACTATTTATTATAAAGTTACCTTAAATTGGAAATGCAAGAAAAAACAAAGATTATGTAAGAAAATATAAACAAATTGGAAAGTAGTAGAAAAAGGAGAGTGAAAAGTAAAAAAATATTGGAAGGAGAAGAGTTTGTATAAAGATTTAATGTGGAAAGTGAATAAAATTGTTAGGTATGTATAGGGAAAATATTCAAAAAATTTTGGTATTTTTTAAATTTTTTTTCGAATTTTTTTAGCCAAAAAAAAATCAAGAGCGTCGGATTTCTGTGAAAAAAATCGATTGGAGAGTTCAGGAAGCTCCAAGTGGCATCTTGCCATGGGGGCTGTAACAAATTTGATTTTCACCTTGCTAACGTCACGCATGACGTTAGCAACTTCAGGCTAGAGCCCAATCAAGAATTGCCCTTGGGCTTGCTCGGGCTGGTGGGCCCCAGGGCTTGCCCAAGCTTGAGGTTGCGCGCTAGAGGGGGAAACTTGGGCTTGGGGGGCCTGTTGCCAGGGTTTGAAGCTAGCGGTGGAGCTGCTCTTACAGAATGAAACCTTAACACAACACATATCACATTTTTGTAACAAATATTGGACCACACCTGTAAGCTGCAAGTGCAATGGCGTATCCATTAATTTTTCTTCATTCGGGACAAATTTAAGCTCGCATGTTAGCTGCCTTTGGCTCTCTGCCATGCCTCAGCCTTTTGAGGCATTTTGTCGAACACTTTGATTTTTTTGCAAATCTACCCAATTAAAACGCCAAACAAACATTAGGCAATTCCATGCATAGTCATAATGTAAATTCATCAGTGCCTACGTATATAAGTGAACAAAGGAGCTAGGATTTTAAGTTTTGGGGGGGCTCAAAATAAGCTTTGGTTGGATTGATTTTTACAAAGTTTACCAAATCTCTCATATCATATACATGTTTGGAAGAGCTACTAATGTAAATATGAAAGTTTTCTTGTAATATTTATATGCAATGACATGTTATTGTATATGTATTTGAAAGTTTTAGGGACATCAGCACCAGTGGTCTTTAAGTGGCTTCGTCCTAAGTGAGTTTGACTATGATTTTATCGAAAAAAGAAGAAACAAAATTCTTCTAAGTTCTTCACATGCAATTATGTTGTTCCGTCGCTTTTTCCTCACTAATTAATTGCCTTTGCTTCTTCGTTTCATTGAATTGGAGTAATAGTTTGATAGATTGATAACTGTGAGTAAGAAAAATCATGTCGCTGTGTAATACTAATAATAGGTAATCACACGTAATATTGTCATGATGCTCTCTTCAATCCATAGTTACATTCGTCGATGATAACTTTTCTTTGCTTTGCTAGACAATTAATGAGAAAGAACTATTGTACTTGACTGATGTATATAGTTTCATTAACTTAAGAGTTAAGTCAGTGTTAGCATCTGTTAAATATAATAAACCTATTTACAATTAAGTTTTAAATTTCAAGCCTCCGATCTAAATATTCTAACTCCGTCACTATCCTTCATGACATCAACCATTTTTCATAGGACAAAACAAAACCATGTGTTTCATTTGGTTGTGCATGTGTTTGATCTAAGGATTGAAAATCTGTCAAGAACATTGCATTGTCAAGTCGATGTTTGGGTATTTTCGAGGTGATTGTGAATATAAAACGTTGAAAATCAAATCAAATCAAAGGTGTATGTGTATATGTTGTTGCAGCGGGGGTCATGAAATTTCATTGTGCGTGTCAAATTCAAATAGCGGCCAACAAGCAATCAATATCAATCAACATAAACGTTCATCGTTGGGTGGTGCAGAAAAGAAAACATATAATGGATTGGCATTATTGGGAGGGATAGAGATATGCTGCCCAAGAGTGAAGAAGACCCACCAGGCACTCTTCTCCACTGTGATTTGACATTATTGGCCATGTTGTATGTTTAGAATTATAACCAATTTGATTTGAGGACCAAGTGTAATGCAATAGGGCGCACACAAAATAATAATTAAATAAATAAAAAAGTATGTGGGAGACAATACTAAGTAGTAAAGAAGAGTGAACTAGTCAATCTAACGACTACACCAATTTGTACTAAAGATGAATTCGCACTTTTGAAAGTCAATCAAATAGAGAAGTATCAAACGAAAACGGTCCCTTGATGCCTAATTATATAGATCTTTTTGCACAAGCAATGTTCTCATTTTTTGTTTGACAAAACGATATTCTAAACTATAGAGAGGGAGATCAAACTCGAGTGCAAGAAGACAAACACACTGTTTTTGGCCAACTAATTTAACCTACACCAACTTAATGTTCTTATTTATTGTGTTGAACAATGGTAAGGGATTTAGTCACGACTGGAATTTACTATATGATATTTATGGACTTAAATGTGTTTCATCCTCGTGTTACATCTTCCAACTATATATGCTTGCACTTGACGTAACTGCTTTTATCATTTGCTTATCATTTTGCTATGAAAAGCCTCTGGGGCCTCTCTGCAAAGGCAGAGCTAGCTAAGGTCCCTAACCCTCCTTTTTTTTTGTAACAAAAAGTTTAGGGGAGGGAAAGGATACCCCCACGTACAAGGTCAAGACAAACCCTAGATCTTTTCGGTTTTACAGAGGAATTTACAAATTACCCACCAAACACAAAACTGTTGGCAGCGGGACTCGAACATTGATGGGAAGACATACAGTGCAAGGACCTTACCAACTGAACCAACTTGTGTTGGCCACAACCCTCCTTTTAGAGTCCCCAGCTCACGCTTCTTGAATTTTTTTTCCCTTTTAAATTATTTATCAATGAAAATTGGAGATTTAAATTATTATTTTTTTAAATATGAGAAGTATCACTTTGTTATGCATTTTTTTAGAGGTGAGACCGTGAGCTATATATTGAATGGTGATAGAGAGTGACCTAGATGAGGATGTGAACATGAACTTTATAAATTATGGCTTCATTCATTAACTGAGGGGCTCATATTACAGGGAAGGACTTGCTTTGTCATATAATATGTCTTTTCTTTCTTTGATGAAACTGGGACCAAGGCCCAAACGTAAGAGACAAACTAAATAAAAATGGCCCCAGGCCTAGGGACACTTCACATGTTTTATCATTTTTGTTTGTGTTTGGTAATAATTCGAGAAGGTTATACATAAAGAATTAAATATATATAATGGCCAAATTCTTTAAAAATATTTATTTGAATATACCTATTTTATTTTTATTTTTTAAAAACAAAAGTGGTTTTTTATTTATTTAAATATTTGTAATTAAGAAATATCTTAGCTTTATTTAATTACTTTAATTACTAACTAGCCTCTCTGCATATGCTTTTGCGCCTGCGAGATGCTTTTTTAAAAAAATTTAAATTTATTTTAGAATTACAAAAAATAATGGGTAGTTGTGTTCCATAAAAATAGGAATCATTGTCTGATTTTTTTTTAATTTTAATTGTTTAAATATGAAAAGTGTGAATTTACCATATTATCCTCATTTAATTAATTATTTCAATTCTTAATGTTTGCATTAATCAATGGCATTTTCTGGTATTTTGAATGTTTCACCATT